GGATTATTATATATATATATATATAATATGGGTCTTGACTCATATTTTTTCAGCTTTGATTGTGATTTCAACAAAGAATTGGATGATGGGTATTTTGGTTTGAGTGTTGTAATTTGGTTTTCAGTAAGGGATTTGGATTTCAGCTAAAAATAAAAATAAAAAGGACTTGGAAATTATTATAATTGTGAAAAATATAATACACAAATATAACACAAATAATAATGGAAAGGATTTCTATTTAAAAAAAAAGGATAATGAAACGATGTTGGACAGCGCAGTCAAATAAAATAAAATAATAAAATATAAATATAGTTTGATTAGACGTGATGTGGGGCCCACTTTGGAGCAATAGGATGGTCAACACAATTTGTTACGAAATGGTGTTTTAATCGTGACAAAACCCGATAGTTACAACCACAAAAGTCACGGGATCAAAACTTGTAAGTGCACCGTTACTAATGGCTTTAGTCACGAATATTCGTGACTAATACTACCAAAAGTCACGAAAAAAAAAGTGACTGTTGTGTGTTTTTATTGTAGTGAGACCACGTATGTAAAAGCACATACATTCACAGATTTGGTCAAATTATAATCAATAATATTTTTTAGTGGAGATTTATGTGTGCTTGCTGCTGCTGCTGGTGACTGTTGTTTTACTTTACTTTTCGTCAAAAACGTTTTCTTGCTTGTTATTAGAATTTGTGATGAAAGGGACAGCTTTTGTTTTGTGTGGCGCCTCTTGCCATAAAACGTTTTCTTGCTTGTTATTGAGAAGCAAATGTTGTTACACAGACTTGCTAGGTTTGGTTTAAGTAATGACGATAGTTTGGTTTGAGGTGCCTTTAATTTTATTCAGGATGTTTTGTTATGTAATCTTTAGAATAATACTAGTCTTACCATATTTTTTATACCACAATTTTATACCACATGATGTGGCGGCTGATGTGTATATACCACATCATGTAAAATACTAGTTTCTGTTTTTCTAATTTTATTTATTAAAATACACTTTATTCATTTAATTGATATGTCATATGATATGGACATGCCACATCATGTGGTATAGAAATATGGGATAATAATGTGGTAAGTGTAGCATTACTCAATTCTTTAAGTCGGAGGGAGCATGTTTGTTTTTTGTTATAATTCTTTTATTTATTAATAACGATAAAATATAGAAAGGGCTTTTTTTTAGCATAAGGGATCTAATTAAGATGAATGTTTTCGCATTATAGATCTAAGGTGATTTGCTTTTCATATGAAATGCTGAAAGCGAACCTGATACTTTCATTTTTCAATTAAAAAAACAGTGCTGAAATTAAATAAGGTCAGGCATTTTTTGGCAAATTATAATAAACCATTAAGTGTCTCCCAAATCACGTGTAAGAGACACAATAATTTATGGTGAATCCAAGTCTATATAGAAAGAAGATAAAAACCATCATATTAATGAAAAGAGAAGGCGCCAGCTTGGTGTCAATGCTGACATCATCAACTTTCGGGCAATAGCATGAGCTCAATTTGCCTTTGGGCTTGCCTGAATCGATAGCCCCCACCATTTTCCCAGGATGCTCTAGCGCGCTGGAAGAGCCAAACGGCCCAGTCCCTCTTCTGCCAGGGCCAGCCCAAAGAGCTGGAAATTCTCTTAGTATTTCACTCTCAGAAAACTTCAATAATGGTCAAGGCCCGACAAAGAAGAAAATAAGAAGAGCTTGGAAGCTAACACCACTTGACATTTGTAGTAGAGTGGGACCTCAAGTTGCTTAATGCTTCCATGCTCATGCTGACGCGTGGTTGACCTAATAAGGCAGAAAGATGCAATTGTGGATGAGTAGTGATTTTTCACTCCAATTTTATCCACTTACACTCCATTTTATAACTAAAATGATGCTGAGAAAGATTGAGGTCAGTTGATTTTGAGCTTGACCAAATTTCTAACCAATTTTGACCAAATTGTTGCCTATCAGCAATAACCTGATTTTATTATTATTATTTTTTTGAATACAAGTGATAGTGAAAACAACAAGAGGAGGGGGTTTTTCATACTATCAAAGAGACACGAAGGTTCGAACATGAGACTAATGAATTGCAAAGATTTTCAAATGTGCAGCCATCAATAGGAGCCTATAACAACAGGGTATTGCTAAGAAAAGACATGCACCATTGTTGTAAATTTTTAGAACCTTAACATGATTTGCAAGATTCTTTGATATGAGAACGCAGCTTTTCTTTATTTATGAAAAAGATAGTAGGAAACTTATTAAATTACATCTGTATGATATGGATGATGGAAAAAATCATCACAACGCCCTTCTCAATCCCAATCCACACATCCCTAAATTCACAATTCAAAGCATGTCAAGCTAGGAGTAGTGTGAGCAACTCATAACCTGTATGCATGCCTATATAATTACACCCCACACATTCTGAGTCCCAAACCCAAAACTATCTAACAATTACAAACAATGGAGCTCAAGAAGTAACTTTTTTTTTTTTTTTTTTTTTTTTTTTTTTTTTTTTTTTTTTTTTTTTTTTTTTTTTTTTTTTTTTTTTTTTTTTTTTTTTTTTTTTTTTTTTTTTTTTTTTTTTTTTTTTTTTTTTTTTTTTTTTTTTTTTTTTTTTTTTTTTTTTTTTTTTTTTTTTTTTTTTTTTTTTTTTTTTTTTTTTTTTTTTTTTTTTTTTTTTTTTTTTTTTTTTTTTTTTTTTTTTTTTTTTTTTTTTTTTTTTTTTTTTTTTTTTTTTTTTTTTTTTTTTTTTTTTTTTTTTTTTTTTTTTTTTTTTTTTTTTTTTTTTTTTTTTTTTTTTTTTTTTTTTTTTTTTTTTTTTTTTTTTTTTTTTTTTTTTTTTTTTTTTTTTTTTTTTTTTTTTTTTTTTTTTTTCTTTCCCCCTTCTTTGGCTAAATCTGATGAAGGAAAGGAAGTGAAAATATACACTAGTCCAAAAGGTGCTTCTGACAGCCTGTAGGCTAGTATTCCTTGGTTCTTTGAGCGTCTCTGTCTTGGAACTTGCTCCCTCATGTGCTGCAACCTCCAGCAGTCCTTGTTCAATGATTCTGTAAAACGTAATTTCTATTTTTTTTAGCAAAGGGCTGTGGCTTTGTGGCTTATTTTGTAGTTCTATATGGGCCAAGGTGGTTCCCTAAGCAAGTGGGGCCTTTTTGTTAAATATTGGGCTCTTTGGTTGTGTCCATAGGCTATTTTGCTTGGGCTATTGGGCTATTTTTCTCTCTTGTGCTCACCCACATGTTTGGGCCTAAGAAATGGGCTTGAGTCTCGAGGCTCCCAAGCAACCCGAGACTTTCCATTTCTCGGCCCATCAATGGGCCTCATGTTGATTTTCCATGCCACAACCCACTCAAGCAAGCCCCGTGCATTTGAGTGGCTTGGGCCCACTTAGGCTTGTAGCGTGGTTGGGTGTGAGATAACGATTTCGTGCTTGGCATGGCATGTCGCTTGGCATGTTTTAATTTATCGTTCCTGAGAAGGGCTGTGATGTTTAATTTTGGCATGGGCTTGTAGACCCGGTATATTTTATTTCAACCCCTAGCAAATTTATTTATTTAGCGTGGCATGTGCATGCGGTGGGTTTTTGTGTACCCTGCTTTACGCTTGGACTGTCGTTCTGGGCTAATAATTTATTTGGGCCCAACCATGAATTTTTTGGGTCTCAACATTAGCCCCCTTAATTATAAGAGCCATGGACAAATGCTGGAATGGGCCGAATAATTAAACCTAACCCAAAAAATTAGATTTCTATTTGTAGAGAACTCCTCCTCTTCCCTCGTGCTAAATGACGACACGCCATGATTGGTCCCAGCGATTATTTGTAGTTTCCCAACGCCAACCGCCTTCTTCTTCTTTTTATTATTATTTTCTTCTTTTTCTTCCCTTTCTTTCTCTTTTTTCTCTTTTCTCGCGCTAGACACAAACTTCCTCCAATTTTCTTCTCTTTTCACGCACCAGACCAAAATTTCTCTCCAGTCCTCCTCCCTTCGTTCTCCTTTGCTCCTCCACGAACTCAGACCAAGTGAGAGGACGAAATCAGGCCGAAATCATCCATCTCCAGCCGCTGGGAAGAAAGCCCAGGTCAAACTCGACCTCGTCATCCCGTCTTCGTCCAAAGGTAGCCCGTTCGTCGCTGCTGGAAGGGTCGTGGGTTTCTTCGTCAAATCTCCCATTTTTCTTTTCTTCTTGGTGCATTCAAGGCCATCCCTTGGGATTTTCAATGAGGTATGCCTTTTCTTGTTTTCCCCTAAGATTTATTTGGTGAAATTTGGTTGGGTTCCTCATACCCATGGGTATTTCCCCTTTTTTGGCAGTCACGCATCAAACCCTCTTTTGATCTTTTTGTCATTGCAGCAGCGTGGATGCTTTTAGCGTGGGTGCTAGCAAGGAAATGCCTACTCCAATCCTCTGAGATTCCCCTCTTCTTTGATTTGTTAGGGCTACCGGAAGGGTACCCATTTTTCCTGTGGGAAGAAACCATTGGTTTGGGTTTCTCCCTCTTTTCCATTTTCTTCACTTTTATTTTGCACGGGCTTCCTCTTTGTATGTGAAAAGGCTAATCTTGGCATGATGTGCTTTCTCTTTTATTTATTTCTGTGCATATATATATATATGTCTCAGGCATAGGTGAGGGTAGGTGTTGGAAGCCTTGACGTTTCTGCTGCTGGAACTTTCAAATCCTTTAGTTTTCTAACTCGGATTTTTTGTGCTTCTGTCTTAGCCTTTTGGTAAATGACTCTGCCAACTTTGAGTATTTAGAATAGGTGTAGACTGGTGCTTGGCCTATGCTTTCTTTCCTTGAGAACACATGCCTGATCAATCGTGGATTTTTGTGTGTGTTGCTTGTGGAGAATAAAAACTGACAGAGTGCATGTTTTGTACTGCCTGGTTGAAATTTTATTTTATTTTATTTCATTTTGAGAAGGGACCTACTTGTCATGCTTGTTGATCACGGAGTGAGACTTTTTCTTGTCATGAGCTTGAATTTTAAATTGCATGTTTGCTTGGATGAGCTCAACTGGCCATGCTTTACACGTATCTTACATGTGCTAATTCTATTCTGCTTCTTTCCATATTTTTATGTGCAGATACTTATCGTTTTGCCAAGAGTTATCATGACCTCCATTAATCCATCGTCCATCCTTAGGGATCATCTCTATTCCATAGATGACAGATTGAAAAGAGGGAGGCCGCCTCCTTTGCTTAAGAGCGCTGATGAAGATATAATCATTGACGAGGAGCCAGCGCCGGAAACAACTCCAGTGGTTGATCCCGCATCCATATCGAGATGCTGCATAGAGAGGGGTCTATTTTTGGTAGTCCCTTTATTCTTCCAATATCCGTGTGGCACCAGCAAGGGTTGGTCAGAGTGGGTTGACCGTGAATTGAGGAACCCCTCCACTTGTGACATTCTAAGTCGGGCAGGGGTGCTGGATGCCATCTTTATTTCTAAAGCTTGCGACATTCATATTGAAGCCAAGATGCTCCGGCACGTGGTTAGGTGATGGAGCACCGAGACACACACCTTTATCTACTCATGGGGAGAGTTTGCTCCCACACTTGAGGATGTAGCCAATATTTTCCACCTTCCACATTGCGCTGACTCCGGAAGATAAACTAAAGCTTGAGATTTTACGGAAGGGTGCTCCGACTTCTCCTAGCACTTCCCTGCAGTTTAGAAACTGGATACAATTTTTCGGGGATGTTAATTGGAATGAGCCGTGTCGTCTTGCGGCGTTTATATCATTATGGCTTGGGAGATTCATCTTCTATGATTTTTCTCAAGACTGTATACACGAGCAGGTATTCCCTTTGGCTTTGGCAATAGTGCACGGCAGCACGCTCCCTCTAGGCCCCATGTTCTTGGGGCACCTATACCGCTTGCTTGACTAAGTTCAGCTTCTTGAGAAAGGGGCGGCATGAACCATGGCTGTAGAAACCAAATTCCCAACACTCGCTTGGAGGAGCCGGATGCCTCAGGCATGCCTCCCGAATTTGTTAGTGACCATGAGCGCCATGTTGACATTGAACCGGTATCAAATAACCTTATTGCTTGTTTTACTTGGTATATATGCGTTGCATGCTGCATGTTGTGACTTGCAATTCATGCCCCGTATTTCTCCCGCAGGTTGTGCCCACCTTTGAGGACAGGACGGGTTGCTCACGGGAGGTTGTCCTTGGCCTTCCTGCTACTGTTACTGACACTGTGCAGACTGTCGGCAAGGTATTTATTGCTTACTTTTCATCTTTCATGCTTTAATTGGCTTCCCTTTTCTCATACCTCCTATCATTTTGGTTTATTTTCCTTTGCATCATTTTCCCTTCTTCTCAAGTTGAGAGCATCTCACAAGGTGCGGAGAATACACTTCCTATTCCATCTCTTGGGACGTCCAGCGTAGCTGCCGACACTGCTCTGTACCTTCCAGCAGCGTAGCTGCCTGCTCCTCCTTCCCCAAGAACGTCCGAAATGGTTGTCGGCACCTCTTCGCAGCTTCCAGCGGTGCTACCTCATACTCCTCCTTGCCTGAGCACATCTGACACAGCTGCCGGCACCCTCTCCGCAGCTTCCAGCAATGCTGCCTCCTACTCCTCCTAGCCTAGGCACATCCGGCACAGTTGCCAACACCTCTCCACAGCTTCCAGCAGTACTGCCTTGTGGTGAGATGGGTGATGCTCCTATCATAGGTACCTGCGAAGGGCATTTATCGGAGAAAAGCATGTCTTGGGAGAATTCCTTCATGGCGTTCAAAGCCTTCTTTGACGATGGTACTAAGATCCTCCGATCTATCGATGAGCTTCTCCCGCTTTGTCAGAAGTTTGATGGTTATGCATCCGTTCAAGGCGCCTTTGTGTATCCAGAGACAATCGCGATTTTCTTTTGGACACTCTAACAACCATGTCGTTATGACTTTGTAATGTAGTGTTGAATCACTAGAGCTTGTATTAATTTCTGTATGCTTGAGGCATGTTGTAATTTGCATGTCTTTTATATATATTGCTTGGTTGGCAAAATTTATTTTTATGAACTGCTGGCGATTTTTTGACAGGTTGGATATCCTTAAAAACAAGGTATATGCTGCCAAAATTTTGTCTGGCCACTAGGCCTGAAAAAACACCTTCTTGTCATGCCTAAAAAGGGTCAAACTAGTATATGCATGGTCATTCTAAAATGCCCAGATGTTTTGCATATTCTGGTTGCTTATCAAAAGGGGGACAATGGTTTCGTTGTTCCAGCAGCTCAAGAATGCATGCCCCATATTATTTTGCTTAGGCATGCTGCTTGTTGATGGCCCCAGACCCCATCCAAATGACTTTGCTTCGCATGTCTTACTGCTAAGTGGCTTGTGTTTTTTTTTTCGTTAATTTATTTGTATAAAATGTAAAATTCCAGAGACATATATATACATTCAAAATAATCCTTCAATCTCATTGCAAAGCCCCTGCTACCATGATGGTACACCATGCAAAAGAGTCTTTTTTTCAAAATATGAAGGTAAGACAGAAGGAGTTCATGCCTAAAACAAAAGGAAATGCAAATAATAAAAAGTGCTTGACGTAAGATTAACTTAGCAGTAGTAAAGCTTGAGCCACTTTGCATTGATGAATACTCCAATCAAATCAAGCCCCCCAAGTATGAAAGGGCCAAGGAGTGCGCATGTCCTGCAGCAGCGTGGGAGGCTTGTGACTTAAGTTGGCATGAACTTGGCATGTGTGGCACCTCTTCACGAAGTTGTATGCATCGTTCTTCATTGTAGGCCAATAATACCCAACACTCAGTAGCTGCCGGTAAAGCCTCTTCATTCCTTGGTGCTCACCACATTCTCCAGCATGAATTTCTTGCATGACTTGCTGTGCTTCTGACTTTCCCAAGCATTTTAATGGCTCTCCATTAAACCCTTTGCAGTAAAGAGTTGACCCATCTATGAAGTATCTTTTCATTGTCCTTTTGAGCTTGCGTGCATGCTTGGGATTCGTTGGCAGGACTCCGTTGATGAAGGATGCCAAGTACGGAGCCCTCCAATCTTCCATAAATGAGATGGTGAATGATTCTTTGGTGGAGGGTATCGTTGCACACTTGGGACAATTGGCTTGCATTTCAGCTGCTTGTTTCCTCATTTCTGGCCAGTAATACCCCTTGCGTTGTAAACGCCGATACAAGCTTATTATTGGCTCCAAATTGCAAGTGACCTCATGTACCTCTTAGAGCTTCACTTGTGCTTCTGTTGTTCCTATGTAGCGGGTCCAAATACCTCCTGGAAGGCATCTGTACAGTTCTCCAAAGATGATCGCATAATCTTTCAATTCTTTGATGTCACTTCCCTTGCCTATTTTTTCTTTCATAGGCTTCCTCCAGTCATCCTCTTCCAGCTGCTCCTCTTGAGCCATTGCTTCGATCACTGGCATATCTTTCTTGATCACAGCAATGTTGGGTTGTTCTTCAACAAATGAGAGCTTTGATCCCAAAGTAGCCAATGCATCAGCATACCTATTACTAACTCCGGGAATATGTTCTAACACTACTTGTTTGAAAGAACAAACAAGCCTTTCAGCAGCTGTACGATACGGCCCCAATAATTTTAATTCTTTCGACACCCATCTCCCTTGCTGTAGACATCCCTATGATAAAAACTTCGTACTCCGCCGTATTATTTGTGCATGAGAAATTCAGCTTAAATGAGAGGGTCGTGGCTTGCCCCTCGGGATTGACAAGCACTACACCTGCTCCTCCACCTTTCAATGTAGAAGACCCATCGAAGTAGAGGGTCCATGGTTCCGCCTCTATGACCACAGCAACCATTTCTGGCAGCTCCCCCAGAACTTCTTTCGAGATTGTTGATTTTTTAACTTCGGGAAATAGAGCCAGCATGTCAATCACAGCTTGTCCTTTGATGGCTTTTGGGGTGGTGCATGTGATATCGAACTCGGACAGTTGTAGCAACCAACGTGCAAGACGTCCGGATAACACCGGCCTTGTGAGCAAATATCTTACGGGATCAGACTTTACTATGAGATGTAGCTTGTGAGCAAGGAAGTAATGCCGCAAGCGCTGTGCAGCATAGACAAGAGCAAGGCACGAGAGTTCGGTCTTCGGATATCTCATTTCAGCTCCCGTTAGTTGCCTACTTACGTAATAAATGAGACTTTCTTCCCCGCCATGATCATCTTGGGCAAGTAAGGCCCCAACCGCTGTGTTTATTGCAGCCAAATAAAGCTTGAGAGAAAGCCCCGGAATGGGTGCCCTCATAGTGGGCAGCTTGGTGATTATTTGTTGCACTTGCTGATAAGTTTCCTGGCATTCCTTACTCTATTTGTATGGCTTGCCCTTCTTAAGTAAGGGAGTAAAAATACTCATAGTGGCAGCAAGACCTGGGATGAAGCATCGAATATACGACAATCTTCCCATGAAGCTTTTCAATTCCTTTGGGTTTCTAGGCGGTGCAAGAGAATTTATGGCTTTAGTCTTTTCGGGATCCACGTCTATGCCACACTGGTGTACTTGAAACCCCAAGAATTTACCAGATGAAACCCCGAACGCATACTTCTTTGGATTCATCTTTAAACCGTACAGCCAACACCTTTCCAGCACCTTCCTCAAAACTTCCCAATGGCTTTCTCTGGTTTTGGACTTCACCACAAGGTCATCCACATAGTCCTCGACTTCCTTTCCCATCATGTCGTGAAACACCACTGTCATGGCTCTTTGGTAGGTGGTGCCAACATTCTTAAGGCCGAATGGCATGACCGTATAATAAAAATTCCCATATGGTGTTCGAAAGGCTGTCTTCTCAACATCCTTGGGTGACATCTTGATCTAATTATAGCCACTAAACCCATCCATGAATGACAACAAGCCTTGACCCGAGGTTGAATCGATCAAGATATCCATATTAGGCAGCATGAATTCATCCTTTGGGCAAGCTCGGTTCAGGTCTCGATAGTCCGTGCATACTCTAATTACTCCGGTCTTCTTCTTCACAGGAACAATATTTGCTAACCATGTTGGATGCTTGATTGGCTTGATGAATCCAGCAGCCAGCAGCTTTTCGATCTCCACCTTGATTTGCTTTTCAATTTCGGGATGGAAATTCCTCCTTGGCTACACAATAGGCTTTGTACCGAGCTCAATATTCAAAGTGTGGCTTACCAAGTTTGGGTTTAAGCCAGGCATTTCCTCGTAGCTCCAAGCGAACACATCTCGGAATTCCTTTAGCAAAAATACCATGGCCTTCTTCTCTTTATCTGTTAAATGAACGCTGATGGAGATGGGCCTTGGGGCAGAGGGATCCTCACTCAAATCAATTGTTTCCAACTGCTCAGCTACTGCTGTCGATCCATCTTGCATGTGTCTAGGTGCTGTCATCGGCTCTTGGAAAACACAAGGCATGGGTGCCTTGTCATTGGGACCCTTACGGTTGTTTGCTTGCATTACTTCTCCTCCATACTCGGGGCTTTCCCATAAGACACGGTCAAGTCCCCAACCCCGTCATAAGCGGTACACGGTACGTCCATCGGGCAGCGTCACCTTCGAGCATGGGGGATAATCATAGGCATGATTATTGACCTCCGAGTGCCTCTTCCTCTCTCGATCGACAATGGTAATGAGCTCCTCATTGCTTAAATCACGAATCTCAGTCCACGAAGGAAGGTAGGTCCCGAAATCCTTGGATGGGTTGCTTCCAGCACCTGTGCATTCAGTGTAGAATTCTGCCTCGGAGTAGTGAGCTTCATCTTTGTTGAACGGTGCTTGATTTCCAGGTATGCGTAGTGGCCTCAACCCAATCCTTCCCTTTACGCATTGATGATAAGTAGAGACCACAAGTTTATGGTCGTTGAGCCATGGCCTTCCTAGCAAAGCATGGTAAGCCACATCCACATCTATGACATAGAACTTGGTAAGTGACCGGATCGGCCCAACCTTCAAATTTACTTGCACATGCCCGATTGTGACCTCACTCTTATTCCCGAAACCGCTGATACTTGTTTGTGATTGGACAATTTTGGATAATGGGATACCAACTGCCGTAAGCACAGACAGAGGTAATATGTTGACCGAGGAACCCGTGTCTACCAAAGCTCTTCTTATAAACACATCATTGATTTGACCCTCCAAATAAAGCGGCCTCCTATGGTCCGGGTATGGAACCTCCATGTCTTCGTCCGTGAAGACAATAGCATTGTCATTTCCCAAAAATGGCCTTTGTGGTTGAGCGGTAAAGCAACGAGGGTTAGACTCCGCAGAGATATTCATAAGAGCTACTGCAGCTGCTTCTCTTGCTTGAGGCCCGAAGCCAAGTTGATCAAAGAGTGATTTAAACTTCGGGTTCCTTTGAAGGACCTGCGAAGCTGTGGGCCCTTGTTTCAGACTTAAATAACGCTCCATCACGCTTGTTTCAGCTTCTGTAAGATTATGGAATGTCACAGCAGCTATTTCCTGCTGACCCGATGAAGCCCTCGAGTTGCATTCTTCCGGCATGTCTAAAAAAACTTCGCTGCCTGAGTTGTTACCCCATCCATCAGCGAGCGGCCATGGTGTGTTGTAAATTGAAGGCCTCGAATATTTACACCAATATGCCTTCTCCATGTTTCCGCAAGGTTCCCACATAGCTTCCAGCGACTTTGGGTCATTTCTCCAGGGGTGGCACAATTCACCATCATCGAGCAAATCATCGGAACATGTGATGACAGTAGCTACCTCCTTTCCCCTTCGTTTTGGCAAGGGGTCTTCATCAATTGTTTGCTTCCTAGAGGGAAGTTCAAGGAATCCTTCATGTATCTTGGCATGTAAAATCCTCCTCAGACTCTGACAGGCAGTAGTTGGATGCCCCACAAATTGATGATAACGACAGTACCTAGGATCATTCTTTTCTCTCGGGTAGGAATTTTGTAGGGTCTGACAGGTTTGATTGCGCCATCAGCAATCATTGTGTCAAGGATAGCATGAAATTCTTCATCTTTGCATGGTAGTGGCGGATACATCTCCATATCCTTCCGTTTGCGCAAATTGTATTCGTTGGATGGCTTGTCATCTATTGCTAATGTCTGATGCATTTTTTTCTTCTCATTCCTCCAAGTCTTTTGTCCCGTTGGCTTGACGGACATGCTTGTCTTCCTCACAGCTTCCAGCAGCCGAGAAAATTGACTAATGCCGATATTCTCCAAATAAACTCTATAATCTACCACGATATTACTGATGCAGATTTCAACAAGCGCCTCCTCATCCTTCTCATTGTAGCAATCCAATGCCAGGTCCCGGAACCTACGCACAAAGTCCACGGGATCCTCACCATGCTTTTGCCGAGTGTTGTTGAGTTGAGTGGTGGTGACTCGTTCTTCATGTTGGAAATACTTCTTTCAAAACCTGGTTGCCAAGCTTTCCCAAGAGTGAATAGAGCCTAGTGCCAACGTCGTATACCATGTGTAAGCGCGATCGGTGAGACTCTTTGAAAATTCTCTAAGTTGGAGATTATGATCACCGGCATATGGTCCGAAGGCATCAATGAAGCGATTGACATGCTCCTTCGGGCTCCCCTTCCTTCCGTCAAAGAGGACAAAAGTTGGTGCTTCATAGCCTTTAAGATATGGTGCTGGAGCAAGCTTGCTAGGTACGGTGGCTGAGGAAGAAACTTCCAATCTTCTTGACTACGACTCAGCTCCTTTTCCAACATGGCAACAACGTCCTCTTGAGTGGCAAAAGATGGTCCTTTTTGTTCAGACTCCTTTCCAGCAGCAGCAGATTCCTCTTGTGGGTGTTTCTCATTTTCTTCACTTGGCTTTTGAGCCGAATTTTTGAGTTCTTTTATCATCTCTGCCATCTCCCTCTGGGTCTCACCCATAGCATGAATGGCTGCAACAAGGTCTGTGAGGGTAAAAGTTCCATCACTTGCACGTTCTTCTTCTCTATAAGAGGCATGTTGCCTTGATTCTGAGTCAGCATGGCTTGGCCCATCCTGGGAAGTCATGTTGTTGCTTCTGGTCTTCTTTCTTGGAGGCATTGATGAAGATAATGGCTTAATCCCCAGTGAAGTCGCCAATTTATGTGGGGGACTTTTTCTTCCTGCAGCTATAATGGGCTAGGCTGCTGTAAAGGGCAGACTGAGGAGACTGTCCCCTTTGTTTGAGTTCGAAAAATTAAGCCCCAAAAATACTTCGAAAGGGAGCAAAGCCTTAGGAAATATTTTGGTTACCTTCACCAACCAAAATAATGGCTGCTTACAGGTGGTTTTGGCATGCTTACAGATAATCTTTTTAGCTCAGCGTGAGTGGCATGTGGCATGGGAGCAAAATCAACATGAGTTTAGCACCTAGAGAGAATTTAGGCTTGCTTTATGAGAAAAGAAAGTGTTTAGGTAAGAAAGGAGACGTTTTGTGAGGGATTTGGCTAAGAAAAGAGAAAATGAAGAGCAGAGTTCTTCTGGTAGCTGCCAGAAGAACAAACTGGAGAAGAAGATGGACAATGCACGAGGTTGCTGGATTTTTGCAAGTTAGAGAGAAGGCTTGCTCTCTGAATTTGAGTTGCCTCTGTTAGGTAGGGGAAGCCTCAATTTATAGCCGCTGGAAACCACCATTTTTCAAGAAACCCTAATGGCTTCTACCCATTTTGGCTAGCTTTTTCCTCCTTTCTCCTCCTCTTCTTTGACTTCCCTATCTTGGCAAAAATTGCCTCTGTCTATTTGCAAGAATTCAGGAAACTTGGGAGCTCAATGCTCCCTTTCCCGCAGCTGTTCAGTGGGAACTTCCATTCTCAGCTACTGTTTTTTCTTCTTTCCTTCCCCCTTCTTTGGCTAAATCTGATGAAGGAAAGGAAGTGAAAATATACGTTGGTCCAAAATGTGCTTCTGACAGCCTGCAGGCTAGTATTCCTTGGTTCTTTGAGCGTCTCTGGCTTGGAACTTGCTCCCTCATGTGCTGCAACCTCCAGCAATCCTTGTTCAATGATTCTGTAAAACGTAATTTCTATTTTTTTTAGCAAAGGACTGTGGCTTTGTGGCTTATTTTGGAGTTTTATATGGGCCAAGGTGGTTCCCTAAGCAAGTGGGCCTTTTTTGTTAAATATTGGGCTTTTTGGTTGTGTCCATAGGCTATTTTGCTTGGGCTATTGGGCTATTTTTCTCTCTTGTGCTCACCCACATGTTTGGGCCTAAGAAATGGGCTTGAGTCTCGAGGCTCCCAAGCAACCCGAGACTTTCCATTTCTCGGCCCATCAATGGGCCTCATGTTGATTTATTACCATCCATGCCACAACCCACTCAAGCAAGCTCCGGGAATTTGAGTGGCTTGGGCCCACTTAGGCTTGTAGCGTGGTTGGGTGTGAGATAACGATTTCGTGCTTGGCATGGCATGTCGCTTGGCATGTTTTAATTTATCGTTCCTGAGAAGGGCTGCGATGTTTAATTTTGGCATGGGCTTGTAGACCCGGTATATTTTATCTCAACCCCTGGCGAATTTATTTATTAAGCGTGGCATGTGCATGCGTTGGGTTTTTGTGTACTCTGCTTTACGCTTGGACTGTCGTTCTGAGCTAATAATTTATTTGGGCCCAACCATGAATTTTTGGGTCTCAACACCAGTCGTGTTGCCCTACAGACCTAGAAGGATGGATCCTAATCCATTTCCTCCACTTTTAAGAGGCTGGAGAGGCAGAGGGGGAATCAACCTTTTTGCCAATAATGACAGGAACATGCCGGGGGCAAACTAGAGAAATCATCTAGATTTCGAAGAGGAAGTCATGCCCAGACCATACATAATGGAACAGAAGGCTGAACACAATCGGCCAGAACTAGGCCAGAACCTACACCTTATCAACGCCTTAAATGACATGGGAGCATTATAGAGAATGATCAGAGGGATGATGGAGCCTAAGGCCAAAAGATGAGAAATGCCCACCTACAGAAATCCATATCCGATTTGTATTGATCAGATGCCTCTATCCCCAGGATTTAAGGTACCAAACTTCACTTTGTTCAATAGAGAAGACACTCATGCGTCATTAGTTGAACATATAGGCAGATTCTCTGTCTAGTGCATAGCCATAGAGAATAATCCTCTGCTAAAGCTCAGGCTTTTTGGAAATGCTCTCTCTGGACAAGCATTTACTTGGTACACTAACCTACCAGCCAATTCTATTCAGACACGGGAATAGATGGAAAACGCTTTCCATGACTACTACTTCATAATTCAGTTAGAAGTCACCATCAGTGATCTTGCTTTGTATCTGCAGTGCGTCTCATCTTGCTCTATAAGTTCGAACAAGCATAAAAGACTTCTGAAGTCTTCCCTCTCAAACATTTCAAGGATTGCGCAAGTGTAAATGCATGTCATTTTATGTTGCATTGGTGTTCGAAATGGCAGTGGAGATTTTTCATTGTTGTCAACATGATCAGCCATTAACTCCTTGTGTCTCTGTGAATCAAGAGCTCTTTCAAAACGTACAATGAATTCCATCAATGTGTTTTTTCGGTTAATATATTGTTTGAAAAATGAATGATAGCTTTCGGCCCATTGACTACTTGACATCCTAGCCTAAAACACATGTTTTACATATGATGGAACCCAATTCTCCCACATATCATGAATTGAGCTCAGCCACGGATGGTCTTTCAACCCATTGTTTGTGATCTCCCATTTCACATCAATTTTTTTTTTGTCCATACCCTATATGCATTTGCACATTTTCGAAAAACATTCTCCAATATCGGGTTTCTCTGTAAACTTATTCAAGATATGTCATATGCAATATTTATGGAATGTTATCAGGAGAGTTACAGCAATTGCCTTTGACATTGCTGCATTTTGATCAGTGATGATCATTTTGGGTGGCTCACCTGGCATAGCTTTCTTGAATTCCTCTAACAACCATGCAATTGAATCTGTGGTTTCACTAGTTAGGAATGCACAACCAAACAACACTGTCTGCCGATAGTTATTAATGCCTAACAAAGGCGCAAAGACCATCACATAGCAGTTCGTGTTGAACGTCATATCAAATACCACCACATCTCCAAAAAATCCATAAGCTCGTCTTGACCTTGCATCTGACCAAAAAACATTACCCATCCTTCCTTCCGAATCTACCTCCATCTTGAAATAAAAGGCATTCTTTTCTTGCTCAGCCAAAAAACGCTTCTTAAGCAGCTCTGCATCATGCCCAATCACTTCTCCATGCACGTCCTTTACATAATTATAGACATCTCTCTTAACAAACCCAATTTTTTCCAATCCCCCTACTTGCACCTCAAGCAGCACTACTACAAAAAGTGAAAAAGACGACCAGAAAAACACGACGGTCTAAGTGAAAACCGTCGTTGTTTTTTAAAAGACGACGGTTTTATAAAACCGCCGTGTAATAACACATTAGACAACTAAAAAATGGAGTTTCAAATGGCTATTCCTAAAACACGACGTACTTAATTAAAAAACCGACGTCTTATTGAAATAGGATTTTCAAGTGGTAAAATCATAGCCAACAAATAACGGCGGAAGTTATGAACCGACCGACGTAGAAAGTAAAGACGACGGTTTCAAAAAAAGCCGTCGTTTTTACCCAGAAATTAACACGACCAAGTTTTCGTATAAGGCGCCGTATAATTACAAATAAATCCACGGCGGTAAAATACAAAATACCGCCGTATTAAATTAATGTACAACTACGGCAAAGGTAAATATAACGACGTCTTTCTCGTATTTCTACGACGACATCTTTAAATCTTACCAAGTTGGGATTTTCATATAACGACGTATTATACAATTTAACGTCGTATTTGTCCACTTTATACGTCATACATTATATTTAAACCGTCGTCTGAATAAGAATTTTTTTTAACAATTTATTTCTTGGATTTTGTTATCCTACGTCGGTAGATCTACTTAACGACAAGAATTGAAATAACCACGACGGTTTATATAGAAAACCGCCGACATAATCAGATTATTCTGAGATCACAAGGGTTAGGAAATTTTACAAGATGGAACTCTGTTGCTCATCATAATCTTACCAGAAAGACAATATTTTAGAGGTTAATGATGTATGTGTATTTGTGTCTTTGAGATACACAAACGCACATACACATTAACATCCAAAAAATTGCTTCTGAAATTTGACGACGGCAGCCTCAGATTTGCAATCAGAGAGACAATTTTTTGGAAGTTGATGATATTTGTGCGTTTGTGTATCTACACAAACGCACGCACACATCAACATCCAAACAATTGCCTCCTAAAATTTCACGACGGCAGCCACAGATTTGCAATCAGAGAGACAATTTTTTGGATGTGAATGTGTGCGTGCGTTTGTGTAGTCAGAGAAACAATTTATTGAAAATTGGTGATTTGCACAATCAGCCACAGATAACCAACATTCAAACAATTGCCTCCCAAGAGATGAGGTGAGACAGAGAAAGGGGCAAGAAGAAGTTGAAACCCTAATCGAATACTAAAACTGAAAGAACCCGTGGAAAAAAACCCTATTTATAATTAAAAAACCAAATCCACGTCGTTAATATTACACATAACGACGTTTAACAAAAATAATCCTCGTCGGTAACAAATACATTACGTCGTTTTATTCTTACTTAAGACAACAAGAAACGACGACGGTATAACAAAAACTTTATATTTTTATTTGATTTAAATCAGGAAAAGAAACTTTACAAATTCTAGAACATTAATTTCCTCGGGAAAAAAAACTATAAGAAAAAGGGGAAAAAAATTATAGTTATAATAAAAAAAATAAAATCCACGTCGGTTATATTACACATAACGACGTTTAAAAACGAATCCACCTCGTGAAAAAAATAATACGTCGTTTTAGTTTAGTGTTATCCACGTCGGTATATTACAATAAAACGACGTATATTATAAAAATAAACGTCATAAATTTAAAACAACCGTCGTGTTAAATATTTCTACCATGACGCGAGATATTGAGTTATCGACTTTTATTTAGGAGTTTACTATGGCGTTACCTACAACACTACTGTCGTATTTATGTACCACGTCATAAGTTCAAATTAACGTCGTAGTTTGTCTATTAATACGTCGTCGTTCTATGTAAACCGCCGTCTTATTACTATGAAACGGTTTGTATACATATACAACTTTTCGTCTACCTGACTTACACATGCACTGTTTCCAAACCCGAGAAAAAATTTCAATCTCCCAGAGAAAACTTTTCGTCTTTTTTCCTTGTCAGAGCACTGTCAGAGTATCTCATCGTCTTCCTCTTGTCTTCGTCGTCGCCTCTGAACTTAAACACCAAAATCCGAGAGAAAGCTTTCATTGCACGCAAAAGGTAAGCTTTCATTTCTCACTATTTTTGTTGCTATTTTGCATGCTCATACTGTTTTTGTTTTGAAAATCTTTTTACCTTTTTTCTGGCGAAAATCATTTTTATTCTTTCCAAGTTTGATAAAATACACAGACAGAGAGGGAAAGTTTCAACTTTGAACACAACTAATTCAACTAAATAAGACGACGGTAGCTTTGTATTTACGTGGTTAAATATGTAGACCACGACGGTTCGTCAGTCGTCCTAGCGTCGTCTTAAAATTGATCTAAGTTGTTTTTAAAATGACGGTCAATTTTTTATTTGCTTGTTTAGTTGCAGGTTTGATTTCTCTGAACCATGGTTTTCGTTTTTCCTAATTTGATAAAATACAGAGACAAAGAAAGTAGGGTTTGGTATCTTATATAGACGACGGTATCTTATTATTGACGCCGTGTGAATGTTCATACCACGACGTTATACTAAGATACCGTCGTCTATAAAAAGATGCCAAAGCTTTTTTTCTTTGTATTTTATCAAATTAGGAAAAACAAAAACCATGTTTCAGAGAAATTAAACCTGTAATCAAACATTCACAAAGAAAGAAAAATGTTTTTGGTTTCTTATAAATACGACGGTAGCTTATTATTCACGTCGTGTGAATATCCATAACACGACGTTATATTAATATTTACGTCGTGTTAATATGAATATCACAACGTCGTGTAAATATCGACGTAATAAGTTCTTATTACGTCTTATTTAATATTGTTTCGTCGTTGTTTAAACATTTATATGTTTTCTTCTTTAAACATTTATTACGTCTGATGTTATGTTATTACGTCGTGTAAAATCTTATCATATGTCGTAGTTTATAAATAACCGTCGTTTGTGTTCTAATTTTTTCCCGAAATATTTTCACTTGCAGGTTTGTTTATTCTGTAACCATGGTTTCTCAAGACCAAAGTAAGTACTCTGGCTCCAAAAAAAATGGAGGTAAGGAGCTTGGAATGGTAACTCCTCAAGACAAGCCCTTGAAGAAGATGAAGTTTGTTTCATCTGCTGAGACAGAACCAAGCAGCACGACAACAATTTCTGAGGATTCAAAGTCAGGTCGAGGTATGAGCACAATGCCTCGTGTTGTGAAGAGAAAATTGCAGAAAATCAAGCCAGTTGTTGAGTACAAAAAAGGGGGAAAGGATGTGGCCCTGCACATACTGAGATGCAGTCCTACATTGGTGTGTTGGCACGCTCCAGAGTCCCACTTGTGGACAAGAAATGGGCTGAAATCCCCAAGGATATAAAGGAGCAGATTTGGGAAGCCGTTGACATGGCTTTTGTGGTAGGTCAAGGGGGCAAGACCTCGGTGTTATCTTCTGCTGCCAAGAAATGGAAGGATTTCAAGTCTACACTGACGAGGCATTATATCCTTCCATACATCAAGGAGAGGGAGAAATTAAGCCAACCCCCTGAAGTATATAAATTCATAGAGAAAGCAGAATGGGATGCCTTTGTAGCTTCAAGGTTATCCAAAGAATTTGAGTCTGTGCATTCTCAACATTCACAGATTAGGGAGAAACTTGAGTACAATCATCGATTGTCTCGAAAAGGATATGCTGGTTTGGAGGATCAATTGGAGGAAACCATGCCTGGGGTAGAAATTGATCGATCTACCTTATGGAAGAAAGCTAGACAGGACAAACATGGTAACATCCCAGATCCAAAGGTGGCAGAGAAAGCAAAATTAATTGTAAGCCTACACACTCTGTTTTAAATTTTTATTAAACTGTGTATAATTCTTATTACGTCTTATGTTATATTTTTCCGTCGTGTGAATGATTTTACTACGTCGAAATATTTTAAAAAACGTCGTGAAAGATCTAAATCTGGAATCACAACTCTGTTTTCTGTAATTATAGCATAAGACGTCGGTGGTTAATTTTTTCGTCGTGTTAATGTTATTACTACGTCGAAATGTTTTCAAAAACGTCGTGAAAGATCTAAATCTGGAATCACAACTCTGTTTTCTGTAATTACAGCATAAGACGTCGGTGGTTTATTTATTGCGTCGTTTTAAACAACTAACCACGTCGGTTTTAATTAACGTCGTTATAAATATATTATAACGTCGATTTCTATATTGGTGCGTCGTGTGAAATTATATAATGCGTCGTTTGTTTATAAATAACCGTCGTGTGTTTTCTTGTGCTGACTTTTTTGTATGTCTTTGTTTTAGGATGAATTGCAAAAACAAGTGGCTGAAGGCAGTCTGAGTTTAACTGGCAGTAATGATGTGTTGACCTTGGCTTTGGGTCCCGAGCATCCAGGGAGAGTAAGAGGGGTAGGTGCTGGGATTTCCCCTAGGCAATTCTTCAATTTACCTAGACCACAGAGGGTAAAGTTTGCTGATCAATTGAAGGAAAGTGTAAGAATTGTCCTTCAAGAAGAGACTAAGAAGATGGAAGCTAGAACCAAACAATTAGTAGAGGCTGAGAGGGAACATTTACTAAGTCAGCTTTCCCACCTCATCCCCAATTTTGATCCAAGCATGCTTAAACCGAAAACTAGCCCCTGTCAAAACCAAGGTCTACAGCAAAGTCCCAAAAATCCAATGTCTGATAAAGCAAGTTGTTCTGGGGCTGAAGGGAGATCCCTACATTTAGAGGATGATACTGCCAGAAATGGGGAACAGCAGGAAGAAACGGTAACATAACTGAACTTTGAATTCTCTGTTTTTTTTTTAACATTAGACGTCGTTATTATGAATAAACCCGTCGTTTTAAAAACATACCACGACGATTTTATAAATAAACCCGTCGTGTTTATTTAAATATCACGTCGTATTTAGTTTACTTGTTTTACACGCCATTAGACGTCGTACTTTGTGGTTTTTAGACGACGGTTTTAGTCCTTAACGACGTAATATACAATTACCACGACGTTTATTATTTACCATCGTTTAATAATTTTAAGACGTCCATAATTCTTACATACCGTCTTATGTTATGCCTTACCACGACGTTTTGGTTTAATTTTTTTACTCTCTGTACAATCTGTCTTATATATATATATATTTCTTTATTATTTAAAACAGAAATCTGGGGCTTTAGATAATCAAGATGAAGAGAAGAAAGAAGAAAATAAAGATGCACAGAAGATGGGAGAAAAAAAAGATGAAGGGAAGAAGGAAGAAAAAAAAGAGAAAAAAGATGAAGGCAAAAAGGAAGACACAAATGATGAAGAGAAGAAAGAAGAAAAACAAGATGAAGAAAAGCATGACGAGGAGGTATATTCTCATAACTTTGCCTTTTTAATTTGTTTTTCACATTTCAGACGTTGATATTTTTCTTTAAAACCGTTGTTTGTTTTCACATTAGACGTCGGAATTTATTTTCTACGACGTAATAAATTATCTAAAACGACGGTATTTAATTACCGTCGTTTAAATTATAATCAGACGATGTTTTTTAATTTAAACAGTCGTTTTTAATGAATTACCACGTCATTTTATTTTGCTTTATTTCTTTAAACAGGGTAATGAAGTAGTTGATTATTCAAATGTGGAGGTGCCATCTTCCTTACAATCCCTTTGTGGTTATGTGGAAACTACACTAAAGCCACAGGGGAAGATCATGACCTTCAACATTGAGAAGGAGGTGTTTGGTGCAGATCGAAGTACCTTCGTCTTGCATGAAGATATTACACAGTTTGCAGGCATGGAAGAAATTGGGGCTACTGTGGTTGCAGTATATATGAGGTTTGTCCTAATCAAATATCAAACATTATATCATAAGACGTCGGTTGTTTAATTATTGCGTCGTTTTAAACCACTAACCACCTCGTTCTTTTTTACCGTCGTGATAAATTAGTTATCACGTCTGTTTCTATTTCAGTTCGTCGTGTGAAATTGTATAATACGTCGTTTGTGTATAAATAACCGTCGTTTGTTTTATATATTTAGGTGCTTATATGATCTTTTGAGAGAAGCAAATATGTGCAGCATGGTTGGCTTTATCGACCCTGCTCAAGTTAGTGCCAACGCTGGGTCACTAACTGACAGATCACGAATTGTAGCCAGTCGACTTCAGAAAACAGATGGTGAACAGATTTTCATGATGCCTTACAATCCAGGGTTAGTCTCCTTAAAAGGATTTTGTTTGTATGATTTTCACTAATTGACCACTTATAAAACTGTTTAACTAATTCTGTGTCGTTTGAAACATCTAACCACGTCGGTTATTTATTTATTGAGTCGTTTGAAACAACTAACCACGTCGGTAGTTAATTATCGTCGTGATAAATTTATAATGACGTCGATGATTAAGTTATTACGTCGTGTGAAACTATATAATACGTCGGTTTTTATAAATAAACGTCGTTTGTTTTCTGGTGCTGACTTTTATATTAACCGTCGTTTTTTATTTTATTTTTGTGCAGCCGTCATTGGGTCTTGCTGATTGTGAGGGCAAAGAGGGAAACCGTCTATTTTCTGGATCCTCTGCCTGGAAATCGTGTGGTTGATGAGGAGGGCAAAAACATCGTGAACAGTGCTTTAAAAATTTATAATTCCCACATAGGCAGACCAGGCCGTAAAGCACCAATTTGGAAAACTCTGCCAGGCACACCAAAGCAACCCAGCAGTGTCGAATGCGGGTATTATGTGATGCGCTTCATGAGGGACATCATCATGGATCCTTCCTTGGAGTTTGAGAAGAAGGTAAGAAGAAAATTTTCAGAAACATTTTATGTGGTTTTTTGTATTATCAACGACGGTCATTTAAAATTACCGTCGTTGAATCGATAGACTACGTCGGTTATGAAAAAAAACGTCGTCTGTGTCTGAATTTCTTTTTATTTTGTAAAGCTTAATAATCATTGTTTATGGATTGCAGTTTGCCAAGGGAAAAGATCAAGCGCCATACCCCCAAGCAGCCATTGATGAAGTCAGGAAAGAATGGGCAGAGTTTGTTTGCCTTCATATGGATTAGAGGATTTTTGGAACACTTGATATTTTTATATGTACTAATTTTGTCTATAATATATAATGTACAAATTTTGTCTATAATATACATCCTTTTTTTCCCTGAAAATTTGCTGAGGTTTTCATAATATAAAAGAAAAAACAAATTGCGTAACCGACGTGTAATAACTTTCCAACGACATAATTATGTAAAAAACCGACGTAAAATGATATTTAGACGTGATGGGACGTACATAAGACGTCGTTTTGATGACAATTTCGCCATGGTTTCGCTTTTAAACGACGTCCTTTGAACAAGTAAGTCGTTTATTAGGGTTTAGGTTAATACCTTTTAACGACGGTGATTCGGTCGTGGAATATGTATTTTACGTCAGATGGTGAAACATCCGCCATGGTTTCTCTTTTAAACGACGTCCTTTTTACATGTGAGTCGTTTATTATTATTTACAACGTCGTGGTTTGTTGTTGATATAAGAATATTTTATTATTTTTAATTCAAAATTTTAAAAATAAATTTAAAATAAATCCAAAAAATTCAACTTCAACTCCTATGAAGTCATTGATATTTTCTTCCCCCTAAACCCCAAAAAAATGCAGTTTGTGTAATAAAAGTTTAAAATGACCAACCAAAATAAAATTGTTTTGATGAGTCATAGCATCACTTATATAGTTTGATGGTTTAGGGTTTAGGGTTTGGGGTTTAGGGTTGTTATTTATTAGGGTTTAGGGTTAAAGTATAATTTTTGGGGTTTAGGGTTTATGTTTGTTATATATTAGGATGTAAAACCATAAACAATTTTATAAAATTAATTTTACAAATATATAATTTAGGGTTTTAAAGTTTAGGGTATTACTTTTAACGACGGTGATTGAGTCGTGGAATATTGAGTTTACGTCGTATGGTGAAAAATCCGACGTGGTTTCTCTTTTAAACGACGTTTTGTTTACACGTGAGTCGTTTATTATTATTTACAACGTCGTTAGTTACTTAACCCCGCCGTGGTTTTTCATAGTTTTAACGCCTTTTTTGATTTTGCGTGGTACATAGTTTTACCACGACGTCCTTAATGTAATAAGCGTCATGTTTAATGTTAAATTTTAACGACGCTTGTTTTTTCGGTCGATGTTTTAAAAAGCGCGCTTTCTTAAAATATTCGCGGGACCTAAAATTTTCAGATTTGGCTCTTATTTTTATACTTCTAACCCTGAACCCTAAAATTTTCAGATTTCGCGCAACATAACATTTCGCTCTCTCACTTCATCTCTAATTCAAAGTTGGGCCAGGCTGTGTCAAATCCAATTTGGTCATAATCTGTGAGCTCTGCCAACCTGTAAGTACAAACCCTCTCTTCCCCTTGTAAATTCATTGAATGATATATTACGTTGTTTTGTTAAAGGGTTTTAGGTATATGTTTTGCGATCTGTTAATAATGTTGTTGGAGGTATGGGTTCATGGATTTTCTGTTTAATGTTTTCTTGATCACTCTCTGTTATGTTGAATATGGAATGGATTTCATTTTGTCGGATCTTTTAATCACTCTCTGTTATGTTGAATTGGGAATGGATTTATTGTTTTCATGCTTAGTATATGTTGGTTTCATGTATATGTTGGTTTCTTGCTTGGTTTCATGTCTATGTTGTGTTCTTAATAGGGTTTTGGGATCTTGAAAATAAACTGGATATCGACGCGTTTTCAGGCATACGACGACGGTTTTTACTTTAAACCGTCGTTTTTATTACTTATACACGACGGTGTTATTTAACTACCGTCGTGGTTATAATTAGACGACGTAAAATCCGTCGTCTATATATGTCAAATACGTCTGTTTTTGTTTAAAAACCGTCGTCTCTGTTGTATATTACTTGCTATTAGACTTTATATAATCTGCTATAGTGATGGTCATTGCTTGTCTTTTCACTTTATTATATATAATAGGGTATAGTGTCGGAGATGGATAAGTCATGGATGCACTCGGATAGAAGATCGAAGGCATATGAGTTAGGGGTGGAAGCATTTTTGAACTTTTCTGTAGAAAATCTTCTAACTACCACACATATCCGTTGTCCATGTGTTAAATGTGTTAATTTGAAATTGTTTGGGGTTGGAATTATAAGGGATCACTTATACTTTAATGGAGTTGACCAAAGCTATAAGAATTGGACATTTCACGGAGAACCTTGGGAAGCAGCTACTAATGCTAGTAGAAATGTTGAAGAAGATGATGACCATAGTAGGTACAGTTTTGTGTCTGAAGAAATAGAGATGGATGATAATGATTTTGGTGATTTTGGATCTGATCCTTATGAGTTTGCCAATGTGATTGGGGATGGAGATCAACCATTGTACCCTGGTTGTAGAAAGTACACGAAGTTATCGGCATTAGTGAAGTTGTATAATTTGAAGGCAAAATATGGGATGAGTGATGTCTGTTTTACAGAATTATTGATACTTCAAGGCGATTTGCTTCCAGAAGGAAATACAATACCGGCCTCTATGTATGAGGCAAAAAAGACTTTGTGTGCATTGGGGCTGAGTTATGAGAAAATGCACGCATGCCCCAATGATTGCATCTTGTATAGGAAGGAGTATGAGGATTTAACTCATTGTCCTAATTGTGGTATCTCAAGGTGGAAGGAAGGCAAAGATTCAATCTTGAAAGAGGGTGTGCCAGCGAAGGTGGTGTGGTATTTTCCTCCAATTCCAAGGTTTAAAAGGATGTTTCGATCACATGAGACCGCTAAGAGTTTGACTTGGCATGCTGCTAGAAAATCAATTGACGGTTATATGTCTCATCCAGCGGATTCCCCGTCTTGGAAACTTCTTGATGATAAATGGCCCGAGTTTGGTAATGAGCCGAGAAACTTGAGATTGGCTCTTTCATCTGATGGATTCAATCCCCACAGTTCTCTAAGTAGCAGATATAGTTGCTGGCCAGTTATCTTAGTTACATATAATCTCCCTCCATGGCTGTGCATGAAACGAAAGTTCATGATGTTGACCTTATTGATTTCCGGTCCTAAACAGCCCGGAAATGATATAGACGTCTACTTGGAGCCTTTGATTGATGATTTAAAATCTTTGTGGGATGGGATTGGAGGAGTGTATGATGCACATAATGGAGAATACTTTACACTCAGAGCTGCATTAATGTGGACAATTAATGATTTCCCCGCCTATGGAAACTTATCTGGTTGTGTTGTTAAAGGATATAAAGCTTGTCCAATATGCGGCGATGATACACCTAGTCACAGGTTGAAAAATGGCCACAAAATTTGTTACATTGGGCATAGAAAATGGTTACCGATCAATCATCCATATAGGAGGCAACGTGCAGCTTTTAATGGGAAACCTGAATATGGCACGCCTCCTGAGCCATTAACCGGAGAAGAAGTGCTGCATATGGTTGAAGATGGTGACAGAGTTTGTTGGAAGAAGAAATCAATATTCTTTGATCTCGAGTATTGGAAATACCTTCCTGTGAGGCATGTCCTAGATGTTATGCACATTGAGAAGAATGTTTGCGATAGTATCATTGGTACATTGCTGGAGATCCCTGGAAAAAATAAAGATGGGATTGCTGCTCGATTAGATTTATTGAACATGGGGGTCAAAACTGATTTGCAACCCGAGTATGGAGAAAGACGTACCGTTTGCCTCCCGGGCCTTGGAATTTGTCAAGAGCAGAGAAGAGAGAGGTTTGCAATTCTTTCTATGGTATGAAGGTCCCTGAAGGTTATTCTTCAAATATAAAAAATCTTGTATCTTTACAAGATTCAAGACTTCTTGGCCTTAAATCACATGATTGTCATACCTTAATGCAACAATTGCTCCCTGTGGCAATTCGTTCTGTTTTGGAGAAGCCTGCAAGGTAGCAATAACTCGTTTGTGCTTCTTCTCAATCTATATGGCAAAGATGTTGAGGTTTCCAAGCTAGATAAGTTGGAAAGAAGATGTAGTAGTTACTTTGTGTTTGCTTGAGAAGTACTTTCCCCCTTCATTCTTTGATATCATGGTTCATCTAGTAGTACATCTTGTCAGAGAAGTTCGTCTGTGTGGGCCAGTATATTTTAGATGGATGTATCCGTTTGAAAGATATATGAAAGTGCTAAAGGGGTATGTTCAGAATCGTACTCGTCCCGAAGGTTGCATTGCTGAGCGGTATATAGCTGAAGAAGCTGTAGAGTTTTGTACCGAGCATTTATCTGATGTTAGTACAGTTGGAGTGCCTTCAAGCCAAAAGATGGGAGTTTCAAAGCCATTATCAGGTTGCACAGTGAGCGTAGTTGATCGGGACCTGTTGAACCAAGCACATCTATATGTCTTGGAGAATACGGAGGAAGTCCTACCTTATATCGAGTACGTATGAGTTTTATTCTTTAAGTTTCCATTTTAAATTATTTCTTATGTTTATCTTATATGTTTGGGACCGTAATACTTGAATTTTGTGTGTCATGTAGGCAACATATGATCCACATCCAGACCGCTTATCCAAAATTTAGAAAGAGAACAAAGTGGCTGCAGGATAAGCACAATAGCACTTTCATTCAATGGCTACGCTTCAAGGTATATGTTATTGAATAACATATTGGACTTTTATTTTCTTCTTTCTATGTTAGATTGAATTAAGTATGATTAATTTGAGGTTCAAAAGTGAATTAATGAGGACAATATGGCTATCAGGAAAATTTAAGGGGGCTAGGCAGCTGGTCCAAACTGGCAGTTTTGCCATTATATAGGAGCTATCTCATTTAAAGGTATTAAATTCAACATCAAGGCACAAGATGATGTGCGGACAACTCAAAAATAGTGGAGTTTATTTACTTGCACATACTATGCAAGTTGCTAGTGCCAAGGATAAAAACCCAATTCTCTCAAATATGGGTTTCTATGGTGTCATTCAAGAAATTTGGGACCTTGACACCAAAAGTTTACAATCCCAGTCTTTAGGTGTGATTGGATTGATAATACTTCTGGTCTTGTAGTGGACGAACTTGGATTTACCCTTGTAGATTTGAGTAAAATTGGACATAGGAATGACCAATTTGTTTTGGCTTCTCAAGTCAAACAAGTATTTTTTGTTGACGACCCGATGCATCGTGGTTGGTCGGTAGTGTTATCAATGCCTAATAGAGAATATAATGATGTTATTGGTGATGATGTCTTAGGTGATGTGAGAATTGAGTGTGAGCCATTTACTAGGGGGATGCCAAATGTTGACACATTTGATGAAGTGGTGGTTGAGTTAGGGAGTCAAAATATTCGAGATGGGTGTGAAGATATATGGGTTGAATGATGCTTTATGTAATTGGCAGTGTATGACATTAATTTTGTAATATATTGTAATGTGATTTCTTCACTTTCATTATACAGGTTTTGGCCACAAAACAATCAGTACAAAAATTACTGGTTCCAGATTACAAACACGACGGTTTTGATAAAAATGTGAAAAACAAACGTCTGTTCTAATAAATAACGACGTTTTGGAGCATTCAACGACCGCAATATATTTACCGACGTCTTAAAGCAAAGTAACAATGAAGAACCACGACGCTATTGTGAAACAGTTATCCAGGATAACACGTCGGACAAGCATAAAGAACCGCCATGTAATTCAAAATAACACGACTCCAATCCCATAACACCGACGTCTAAAAGACGAGAACTTTAACCTGAACGTTACAAAAGACGACGTCGTCATGAATTTACCACGTCGCATGTTCTTTCATAAACGAAGTGGAAAAGGATGAATTCACGACGGTATTTGAAGTCCATTAAATTTGTCGACGTTAAGATTTATGAATTAGACGACGTTAATTTTTTTAATGAAGACGTATAAATTATTAAACACGACGGTCTTTTTCATGGTACCGACGTTGTATATAGACGACAACGTCGTCCTTATAAATTACTGTGTCGTAATTAATGACCCCATCATTTTTTCCACGTCGTTTATTTTCAAAATATGACGTATAAATTCTGTAATACGGCTCTCATTTATTTGGAACCGACGTTGTTTATTCATTCAACGTCGTCTCTGTAAATACATGCGTCGTAAGTAATGACCCTGACATCTATTTCCACGTCATAATTCATAGAAAAATCGAAGTGGAAAATTTATTTTACGACGGTTGTGTGAAATGTTGTGACGTAGTAGGTGTCAATAACGTCGTCTATTATGATTGTAAAGACGTCGTATTTATATTTGTCATCTGTTTCCTTTTTAACGACGTTGTTTTTGTTGGAGTTGGTCGTCTATTCTCATCCTCGACTGTTTTTTTATGTCTTTTGCAGCACAAAGACGTCGGTTTTTATTTTTGATGACGTTTTTTATTTTAACAACGACGGTTATTCACCGTCGTGGTTTGGTTATGGAAAAGATGTCGGTGGATTCCACGACCATTTGAAAACAGAATACACGACGGTGAATTCCCGTCGTGGTTTTCCTTTTTTGTAGTAGTTTTTTTTTTTTTTTTTTTTTTTTTTTTTTTTTTTTTTTTTTTTTTTTTTTTTTTTTTTTTTTTTTTTTTTTTTTTTTTTTTTTTTTTTTTTTTTTTTTTTTTTTTTTTTTTTTTTTTTTTTTTTTTTTTTTTTTTTTTTTTTTTTTTTTTTTTTTTTTTTTTTTTTTTTTTTTTTTTTTTTTTTTTTTTTTTTTTTTTTTTTTTTTTTTTTTTTTTTTTTTTTTTTTTTTTTTTTTTTTTTTTTTTTTTTTTTTTTTTTTTTTTTTTTTTTTTTTTTTTTTTTTTTTTTTTTTTTTTTTTTTTTTTTTTTTTTTTTTTTTTTTTTTTTTTTTTTTTTTTTTTTTTTTTTTTTTTTTTTTTTTTTTTTTTTTTTTTTTTTTTTTTTTTTTTTTCCCTTCATGGGTGGTGGTCTCCTCACCCACGGCTTGTCCTTCACCTGAGCTAGGATCTGGTGGATTGGGATAGCGAACTCAGTGAAAGTCCCTGTTTCTGAGCTTCCCTCTTGGGGCCGCGATCTGCGCTTATCTCGGGCTTTTTGCTCGAACTTGTTGCTCTTTTGGCTTGCCTGCTTCGTCGGGTGGTCAACTTGCTTGCTAGCTTTCTTTGCGGCGATACGATCATCGTCCCAAAGTGCGTAGCGCTCTGCCGTCGCGAACACTTCTGCCAAGGTTTGACTTGGAGTTATGGCCAGCTCCCGGTATAGCTCGTGCTCGGTTGGCAAGCCCTTCTTGAAAGCTGAGGATGCAACTTGGTCGTTGCATCCTATGATGTTAGCCTTCTCAGCCTTAAACCGTCTCAGGTAGTCTCGTAGAGACTCGTCTGGCTTCTTGCGCAGGTTGAACAGGTGGTCTGCATGCTTTCTGACCGTCTTGTAGGAGGTGTACTCCTTTGTGAAAATGATGGCGAACTCCTTGAAGTTGCCTATTGACGCGAACGGTAGAGTGTGGAACCAATCCTGAGCTGCTCCTCGCAGAGTCATCGCGAACACTTTGCACATCAGGGCGTCGTCTGCCTTGTACAGGATCATGGCGCTCTTGAAGTGCCTCGAATGGCTCTCAGGGTCAGAGTCCCCCTTGAATGGAATGATGGATGGCGTTGTAAACCGCTTCGGCGGCGGAGCTCGTTCCACCTCGTCGGTAAAGGGTGAGCAGTCAACTCGATCAATTTCCTTGCACAGGGCCTCCTCCGTGCTTCCTTTAAGTCGGAGACCTCGGAGTTGGTCATTCACTAGCTTCTCGACATCCTCTGCTCGCAGGGTTGGTGTTTCGGGCTGACGTCTTCGGTGCCTCGAGTGTGATGGCTAACTTCTTCTCCAGCTCCCAAGGGTTGATCCCCTTGGTTGCCTTGCCCATGGGGCAGGAGAGAAGTTGAGTTTGGGAGGATCCCTCCACAGCTTGTTGCCCCGTGTTGGACCTCGAGCGGGCTGGTTGGCGTTGATCGTTGTGCTGGTCGCGTGACCGCTCACGAACTCGAGCTCCTTGTGGACTCAAGCGAGCACGGACATTGGATTGTAAGCGTAGCCTCTCGAGCTCATTGGTCCTGGGACCTAACCTCGAACGACTCAGAGTACGGCTTGCAGCTGTTTGCGTCTCGTCTGCACGATCTCGCTCTCTCCCCTACTGGTTTGCCCCTGTTTGACCAGCCTGTGACCTCTCGAACTGCTCGCTAGCATGCTCGTGTGCCCTCCTCTCCTCGTCACGGGGTCCAAGGTTGGGGCCTTGATTCAAGTTGATCTGCCTGAGTAGCTGGCCAAACAGGTTGTTTTGATCATCGACCTTCTGTGTGAGTTGATCAACCCGTGAGTTAAGGTCCACCTGACTGCGCGGGTCAAGTAGAGTGGTGTGCATCGGCCCAACGGCATGTGGGCTAGGGCTCCATTAGATGCGTACACAGGTGCATATGTCAAGTGTGATCGCAGAGGAGGGAGAGAATGGATCTGCTCCAAGACTGGGACGATGTCGGAGTAGCCGTGGGGCTGTGCAGCAAATCTGGCAGCTGAGTGGTGTGGCTGCTGCTGTGCTCCGACGGCAGGACAGCGAGGCAGAGCAGCTTCGGTAATCGGCGCTAGCGACTGCAAGGCTGTGGAGGTCCCAGGGTCATATGGCGGCTGTTCTGCAATTCCAGCAGCTGAAGGCGGCTGTAAGGCGTTGGCAGCCATGATTCCGTGCGGTTGCATTGAGGTTTCCACCACGAAACCATGAGATGGGCTCGTCGTGGTGGCGTTACTCTTCGTACATCTTGTATCAACCATGGTTGTTTGAAAAAAATGTGTGAAAGATGGATTTGGAGCACGCTTTGAATATATCTCGTGCTCTCAATGAAAGCACCAATTTGTGGGAGCAAATTTCGTCCCACTAGAATATTCGTCTAAAGATTCCTTCGTCTTCTCCACTTCTCTTTCTCCCTGCAAAACAGATCGGGGTAAAAGGACCACACCCGGGGGGTGTTGGCCAAAGGCCCTCCGATGCCTAAGTTAGGTAGGGTATTTCAAGGAAAACCGGGTGGCCGAGCTGTGTGTGGTGGCCGAAGCCTGGTGTCAGAGAGAGAAAGAAAGTGGTGGCTAGGGTTTGTGAGAAATAATTTCTGCAGAGTTTCAGTAGGAATTTAGACGTATCTTAACCTTTGTGTGTGGCCATCCTTTTATAGTGGTCTCGGTTTCAGAGGAATAATTCCATAGTTGGTAAGGAATTATTCCTCCCCGATTTGGCATTGATTTGATTAATTAGGGATTTGATTTATTAGGGTAAGTCAAATCCCTAATTGAGGTAAGAATCAAATCAAATCTCAATTTAATTAGGTAATTATCAATTTAATTGGGTAACCCCCAATTAAATTGAGTAACTCCCAATTAGGTTGAGTAATTCCCAATTAGGTCAAATAATCCCCAAATGGAAGGAATTATTTGACCTAGGATTTTGATTTAATTGGTTCCCACACATATCTTAAGTCGTGACGGTCTTCCCTGCCCTCCTCGAGCCTCCACATAGCTTGCGCTGTTTCAAGATGGCCATGACTCTCTGATTCTGGATTGTCGTACTATTCCCATTTCGTGGGGCTCTTTCTTGTAGCAGCTTAGAGTTTTATTTGAGTTTATGGCTTTACAAGCACTTCTATTCTGTTGCATGGTTTGGTTTTTTCCTTGTTCTTTGAGTTGTAATCTGTTTGGTTTGCTCTCCTGCTAATGAAAGCTTCTTATTGACCAAAAAACAAAAAACAAGAAAGTAATTGTAGTTTTCATTTCCAGTTAAACATCAGATTGAGGCCTGCACCAATAATATATTCCAACATCAATGTCTTTCCTTTAGATTTGACAATCCCCACCCTATAAACAGCGCCCTTGTAGAAACCAAACATCTCATCCAACTACCAAGCATCCTAGCAAATACCAATTTCACATTCCTACATTCTTGTTCTCAAACCATGGCCTCAAGAACTTCCACCCTAAAGTTCTTCTCACTACTAATTTCTTCATTTGCCATTGTTCAAATGGCAATGGCAGGAGACCCGGACATTCTTACTGACTTCGTAGTTCCTCCAAATGGAACAGTAGATGGAAACTTCTTCACATACACCGGCTTTCGTGTTCTTGTTGGAGGTGCTCCTCCCACAGCCTTCAAGGTATTGAAGGCAAGCTTGGCAGAGTTCCCTGCTCTTGATGGGCAGAGTGTTTCCTACGCTGTCCTTCAATTCCCTTCTGGCACTACCAACCCCCACACACTCATCCGCGCTCCGCTGAGCTGCTTTTCCTTATTCAGGGTTCCCTTCAAGTGGGCTTTGTTGACACCAAAAACAACCTCTTTACGCAGACGCTTCAGGTGGGTGATCTGTTTGTGTTTCCCAAGGGACTTGTGCACTTTCAGTACAATGCTGATTCCCAAAAGCCAGCTCTAGCAATTTCTGCCTTCGGAAGTGCAAATGCTGGACTTGTATCCATTCCCAGCACCTTGTTCACCACCGGTATTGACGACAATGTCTTGGCCATATCCTTCAAGACTGATGTAGCCACCATCCAAAAGCTCAAGGCTGGTCTTGCTCCCAAGCCATGAGGATAGAGTTGATAGCCAGTCCATCAGCTTAATGCTTCGTTCTTCATTCTTTTGTTCTATTATCATTCATTTTGTTTTTCAACTCCGTTTTAATAATTACCCTTACTGTGTTGAAAGGGTATGTCATGAAGGTGTATTATATTTATATTGTTTTGTCACAATTCATTTATTGTCAACCATGTAATCACACTTCCACTAATGGTGGTTTATTTTGAGAAGAAAAACCTCAATTTCTTTTGGAATGTCAACTCTGGATTATAAATAGTCATTTGGATTTTGACACATAAAACTTGGATAATGCAATCTAAGAAACTTTCTAGGACACTATGGTGAAGTTAATTAGCAAGGCTTGAGTTGATTTTACTTTGACTTTTCTAATAGTTTATACATTGACAATGCATCAAATCCCAGCTCTGGTTGACTCAAAATTGGCTTTTTTTCGTTGGACGAAACTCAAAATTGGCTTGACATCATTAGGAAGCTGCATTCTCATAACCTTTCATATGGTGATCAACTTGTGATTATGGTGCTACTTTTTTTTATGGTCTACACCTGTGCATGGTAATGCAATGATGCCTACAGCTCCTCAGTCTCATGAAAAATCAAATTGATGAAGGTCCCAGGATGAACAAGCCGAAGGCTGCATACGTCTCTATTGTTGAGAGTATCCCACACCAGAGATGGAAGTCTTGCGCATTAATGGTTTAAATGATCTTGCCAACTGGATTTGGGTTTGATGCTCATATTCTACTTTGGTAGCAAAGCAAGCTATCCATGAGGCGGGTGCAATGGCCCCACATGTTCTCATATCATATCACCCAATAAGAAGTGTCCACGTGTTAGGCGACACACGTGACACGAAATCTTGGGCGTCAATTGATTTTGAGTTGGATGCTAACATCCTTCTGTAAGTACAAACTCTAAATCTAGCCTGGACATCTCTAGAACTTATACTTTTCCAGTCGTACTTAACTTAAACACCATCAGAAGACTTTGGAAAAACACAAAGGAGAGATAAATTTTGTAAAAGAAGCCAAAATGGACAAAATTGCCCTTATTTATTTTTGGATTTCCTAAGGAATCCTTTACATTTGCATGTCTTTGATTTGAAAGTTGAGAGGTTTTTCTGTCTTTTTTGAAAAAGCTTTGGCTTTTTCCAAAAGTGAAAATTTTTTTTTGGCTAAAACCTAAATTTACTCAGAAAACTACAGAGCAGTCCAAAAGGCCGTGACTGGAGGATGAGATGATCTGAACTTGAAACATGTTGGGAGACACAAGGGAGCTTAACAAAATCTTGCCAATCAGCAATTAATAATAGGGGATTTCACTCAAACACCCAAAATGGGAGTTGAAATTATAAAAAAACCCAAGCACTATTTAAACATATAAACACACCCAAAACCCATCATTACACACACTCAAAACTCATTTATAACACACCCAAAAAGTTGACTTTGGAGTTAATTTTGGGTGTGTTTCTATGTTTAAATAGTGCTTGGGTTTTTTTATAAATACATGTCTAGAATTGGGTTTATTTAGTTCAGAAGTTTGGCGAAGGTCTTAACTTGTTTGTCTTTCAAGACGTTTGTATGGCTCTTTAGTTTTTAATGTTAAGGTAAAATCTCTTAGAAATGACTTGATCGAGCCGTGGTTATCAAATTCCAGCTTATAATTTGGTTTTGGTATTTTGTGGCGATGTATATGAGCAAATGTTCTTATGTTTTTTTGGTATGATGTTTTCCAGGAAATGACAAACAAACAACTGTAGAACAACTACAAGAAGAAACATTGTAATCTTCATCTGCATTTACGTCAGATAGGCCTGCAGCAAGAATACAAAAAATCCATTTACCTTGTCCATAAATAGTGCCCTTAAAGACCCCCAAACATCTAAAGCATTATAGCCATAGTGCAATATCATAGCATACTTCACAGATAATCAAGTTTTTCCAACCATGGCCTCAAGAACTTCCAGCCTCAAATTCTTCTCACTACTGTTTCCTTCATTTGCCATTGTTCAAATGGCAATGGCCGGAGACCCGGACATTATTTCTGATTTCCTACTGCCTGCAAATGGAACAGTAGATGCAAACTTCTTCACATACACTGGCTTTCGTGTTCTTGTTGGAGGCGGCCCTCCCACAGCCTTCAAGGTATTGAAGGCAACCTTGGCTGAGTTCCCTGCTCTTGATGGACAGAGTGTTTCCTATGCCGTTCTCGAATTCCCATCTGGCACTACTAACCCACCACACACTCATCCTCGTTCCGCTGAGCTCCTTTTCCTTGTTGATGGTACCCTTGAAGTGGGTTTCATTGACACAAAAAACAACCTCTTTACACAGACTCTTCAATCAGGTGATCTGTTTGTGTTCCCCAAGGGACTTGTGCACTTCCAGTACAATGCTGATGCACAAAACCCAGCACTAGCAATTTCTGCTTTTGGAAGTGCAAATGCAGGAACTGTATCACTCCCCAACACTCTGTTTACCACCGGGATTGACGACAATGTCTTGGCTATTTCTTTTAAGACTGATGTAGCCACCATTCAAAAGCTCAAGGCTGGTCTCGCTGCCAAGTCATGAGAATGGTGAATGCATTTGTTCTAGCATTTTATTTCGTTCTCGCATTTTTGTTTTTCTTACTAATTTGCTTTGAATAGTTGATCTTGTAATGTTGGAAGGGGTTTTCATCAACCTGTATTACAATGTGTCTTTATTTATTGTCAACTTCATTATTACATTCTTTTCTACTTAAATCCTCAATTTATTTAAAATTGTTAGGATAAATACATCAAACTGGACATCAACCACTAACTAAACAATATAAAACAAATTAGAAAGAATACCCTTCATAAATTAAAATGTAAAATCATAAAAAAAAAAAAAAAAAAAAAAAAAAAAAAAAACATAAGTCAGCAAGGCCAATTCCAAATACTACAAAATGTTCCAGTTCTTCAAAGCACTACATCAACACACCTCTAAGAACTACATCAACACACCTATAAGAACTACATCAACGAACTACATCAACACACCTATAAGAACTACATCAACCTTCCAAAATTGAAGACGGAAAGATCGGAAGTGAAATATCTCCAAGCCAGCTTACAATCTTCTACCTCTTCTACCACCCTTCCTTCTGGTGCTGTCAGTTGGGATTGGAGTCACATCCTCTGGGAAACAGAAAGAGTGTACGATTCAAGACCACCACACAAAAAAAAAAAAAAAAAAAAAAAAAAAAAAAAAAATAAAAATTTTATTTAAAAAAAAAATGATAAAGATTCCATGTAGATTCCAAATTACTGATAAATTACTGTATTACACAAAATTTCCACCAAGTCACCCAGTGTAGAAGTGTGACGAGGATAGGAATGATGACAATTTCAGAAATTGCATTCCTTCGATATTGTTTCATGCATAGTGATCTGAAACTTTTTTTTTTTTCAAAAAGAAAATGGCTTACCAATGCGGCCAATTCTCATTCCTGAACGAGCAAGAGCCCGTAGTGCAGACTGAGCACCAGGACCAGGTGTCTTGGTTTTGTTGCCGCCAGTGGCACGGAGCTTAATATGAAGAGCAGTAATTCCTAGTTCCTGTTCATCATTGAAAGTAAAATTCATCATACAGAACAAACATTGAGATATACATCATTTGGTTGCAAATCAACCACAACCTAATTAGCCAGGCAATAGTTTTCAGTTTTTAATCATGAACGTATTTACTGGGATATGAGGAAGACCTTGCATCTCTGAGACACATCCTGTGCTGCAAGCATGGCCGCATACGGTGAAGACTCGTCTCTATCAGCCTTTACCTTCATACCACCTACATTTTAGCTTTTTTGTTAGAATCTGGACTTCAGATACAGCTACTGAGGTCCACATCCAACGCCAATTAATCAAAGGAAAAATGTAGATCCCCAGACAGAGTGAGAAGATTTATATAAATTAAAACTTAAAAGAAAATGACAAAAACAGCCATGTCAAATATACACATCAAACTGGAACCAGCAGAGTGAATTGCATTCCTAGTATACTCTATGGTCCAAGACCATTTGGACTAGGATAAAATACCAACTAGAACCACCTTTAGACAGAGTACACAGCAAGCCAATCTTATGCTTCAGAATTTCTCATGACTAATTTCAGCAGACAAGACTATGGAAACCAAAGTGTCTTCAGAGTGACATTGACATTTAAGTATCCAAGAAACAGTTTATTGGACAAGGTCCAGTCACAACCATATGCGTTTTGAATTGGATGTTACTGGTTCTACAAACACACCATGTTTGATACTCAGATGAGTATCTAGACTTAAAGAAGACAACAAATACAAAAGAACTAAAATGTATTATGAACAGGCCACGCAGATATACTCAAGAAAGAATATTACGATTAGAAACTATGGAATCTTATTTAACTACAGCAATCAGAAATGATATCAAACATACCAGTAATGCGAACGAGGGTTTCTCTTCCAGACAAATCAGTCACATGCTGCAGCCATTAAAGAGAGAAATTATTCAGTCCAACTCAAAGAGAATAGAGGATGGATCTGTAGTTTTAAACACAGATAAGAATACTGATACTTACAATGAAAGTATCATTAAATGATGCAAAAATGTGAGCCACACCAAATGCATGTTCTCCGTCCCGTAAAGCAGGTCCAAGGGTCACATTTTCTTCCTTTGGTTCCCTTTGCTTCCTCCTGGACGACTGCGAGAACCCGCACCCAAAGTATAAAACAGGAAAGGTTAGGATTCTTAGATCTATTTAACTAAGATTTTCTGTCAACACAAAAATATAAATCAAAGAATGTTTAGCTATACGGCTGACATGAGAACCAATTTATTTTCTTCTATAGGATAGAACTAAATAAAAAGAAACATGTTCGTCTCAAACAACTGGTCAATGGCCACTCTATTAAAGACACATATATGCAAAATGAACAATGGAATCTAAGTCCCACTATCATATAACACAAAACCAGGCAAAAGGAAATTTTTCATCCCAAAAAAATTCGGTGCTTTATTTCCAGATTGATCCCAATATTACGATTTCCACAGCAAATAAGGTGTGAAACAGAACAGGCAGCTTTTTTTTTTTTTGCATTTTTCTTTTTTGATGAATTAAATATAGAACATACATATAGGTATGGACATTTCAAGGAAAACAAAACCGTAATCTTCCATAGACACATGAGGAAATTGCAACAAATACTGGTTTCGTTTCTCGGCATCAAACCGAGCATCACATAAACTAAAGTCTGAAGCTTTTATACAGGGAAAAATCGGTTAAAATTTACAAGAAAAAAGAGAAGGGTGGGATTAGAATCGATATGCTTACCATGGCGTCAAGCAGACGAGAGACTGAGAGACTATGCGACAGAAAGACTGAGTATTTCGGTTCGCAAGGAGGCAAGGAGGGAGGCTCGACTTAAAAGCTCGGTTTTTATATGAGGATGAAAGGGGCTTGGGGTTGAAGGGGAGGTGTCAATTTCACTGGGAGTCTTTTGGTTCGATGTAATTTCAACAATACCCTGCCATTTTCATTTATTACACGCAAACCCCTAAAAGCACTTCCACTTGTGCAGGCTAGCATGGGCAGAAGGCCCCCGGCCCTCAAAAACCAACTCCAACGGTGAAGGCCAACCCTGGCAAGGTGTGGGCTCCATCTGGCTGGGCTACTGCCTGAGTTTACTGAGCGACCAATTTAAATACCCTAAAAAATAAAAAAATAAATAAAATCAGAATTCTTTTATTTATAAATACTTAGTCATGTTCTTCACTTTTCACACCAAAACTCCATACAAATTCCTCTACTTATATCTCATGTGAATAGTGTTTGTCTTTACTTGCCATCGCAATGGACGGAAAAGTAAAATAAAAAAGGGTAGGGCGGTCACTGTTCACATGAATAATAACAGCCTTTGCAAAAGGCTTGTTGTGTTTCCACCTATTGTCATGGCAACTCGAGAATAATCATTATTCACATGAGATATGAGGAGAGAAATTTCTATAGAGTTTTGATGTGGGAAGTGAAGAATATGGCTAGGTATTTATTATAAAAAAATTATGAAATTTTTGGTATTTTTTTCAATTTTTTTTTAAAATATTTCGTTGCTAACGTCAGCAACCCCCAACCACGAGCTCGGGCTCATTTTAGTCTCAGAGAGACTCATCGTGCTTATTGTGCAGGTTGAACAGATGGTTAGGGTTTTTCTTGATTGTCCTATAGGAGGTGTACTCTTTAGTGAAGACTAGCACTAGCTCTCGGAAGCTCCTGATCAACCCGGAAGGTATAGTATGGAACCAATCTTGGGCTACTCCAAACGAGGTCATTGCAAACACCTTGCACATCAACGCATCCTCGGACTTGTAGAGAATCATGACACTTTTGAAATGCTTCAGATGGCTCTCGGGATCGAAATCCTGTTTGAATGGTGTGAAAGACAGTGTTAAGAATCGTTTTGGGGGAGCTGCGTGCTCGATCTCATTAGTGAATGGAGAGGAGTTTACTTGATCTACCTCATTATTCAGAGTATCCTCCATGTATTCTCCGACCTTGAGATCTCGGAGTCGATCATTCACAAGCTACTCGACGTCCTCTACTCACAATGATTGTGGTTCACATTGATGTCTCCTCTGACATGGGCATTGCTGATTGACCTCCTCGTTGACTCTCGGGAGTTAATCTCCTCAATTGTTCTACCTGTGTGGCGTACTAGTGGACTGAGCTTGCGAAGGAATCCTCATGGCTTATGATCGTGTACTAGCTCAGACGGAGCAGGCCAAAGAGTGTCTTTCTTCGTGTACTTCTGGAGAAGGATCTTAAGTTGACCTCCCTGAAGGCCTAACCTCTCATGAATGCTACCTTGCGGGCCCAGGCGAGCATGAACATCGGTCCATGGACCCAACCTTTCGTGTACGTTGGTCCTAGGACCTAATATTGTACGGAAGCTCGACTACTTTGACTGGAGCTTACGGATGCTTATGACACGCCGGCGTGCTCAGCAACATGCTCATGTCCTTCTTCTTGCATGCTGGTTCCTACTCGACTTGCTTGGGACCTCTCAACCTGCCTGCTAGTGCGTCTGTCCATCATTCTCTCTTCACCATAGGATCCAGGGCCAAGGTCTTTAACCAAATTGATCTGCCTAAGGAACAATCCAACCAAATTGTTTTGGTCGTCTACTCTTTGAGCCAGCTAGTCGACTTTAAGGTTGAGGTCTGCTTAACTGCTTTGATCTAGATGAGAAAATTGTGTGGAGCCCAATTGCATGCGGGCTAGTTTCGTTGGAGGTGTACGCATGAGAGAATGTTAAGCACAACAGAAAAGGAGGGAATAGATGTACTTGTTCCAAGATTGGGCCGTAGTCGGTTGCGATGCCATGATGGGAGGTTCCACCATGTGTTGTGGCAGAGCCATGATGGTATACCTCGGATCCAGCCGTGAAGCTGAAAAGGTAGTGGCTGCTAGACCTGGCAGTTAGTCCTTGCGGTTGCACGGTGATGCTAGCCTCGAAACCGTGAAGAGGCACGGCGACGTGTGCCTAAAGAGTGCTCTCGGCCATGGGGCCTAGATGAGGAGTAGCAGTAGCGGCCAGGGCCTTGACAATAGGCACGGTGCTGGGATTTTGGGTCGTGGCCTCGGCAGCAAAAAGTGGTGGCTCCCTCAAAGCCACGACGTCGTGGAAGCTAGAATCTATCACAGATTAAGTTGTTGCAGCAATCTTGCTTCGTGTGAGCTTGCTTTCAACTATAGTTGTTTGGAAGGCTTCGGTTGAGTGATGAATAGGTGGAAACAAATTCCTTTGATTCGAGAGCAATGCTTTGAGTATATTTCATTACTCTCAATGAAGGTACCAAAATGTTTGAGAAAATTTCTCATGAAAGAATATTAGCAAGAGATTCCTCACCCTTCGAGTTTCCTTCTCTCTCTTCTTCCTCGATCCTTTTGAAACAGATTGGAGTTAATAGACCACACCTGAAAGGTGTTGGCCAAAGGCCCTCCCATGCCTAAGTTAGTTAAATGGTATTGAAAAAGATGTGGAGATAACAGAAAGGTCGGAGTTTTCTCTAGGGTACGAGAGAACTAGGTGGCTGTAGCCGTGTATGGTGACTGGAGCCGTGAGGGGGAGAGAGAGAGAGAGAGAGAGAGAGAGAGAGGGATTTCGACTAGGGTTTAAAGTGTGAGTTTAGAATTACCTCATGTATGTGGTGTAGCCATGTATTTGTAGTGCTCTTGCTTTGTAGGGTTTGTCAAAGAATAATTCCTATATGGAAGGGAATAATTTTTTCCCTTAAATGGAGAGATTGTATCAATTAGGGATTTTTATGAGAATCAAATATCTAATTTGTGGAGATATCCTTATTTTTGGTCTAAATAATTGGCCAAATAAATGGAGCATAATTATTAACCTAAGGAATATTTTTACTGTCCACATGGTGCCTCATGATTAGTTGCCGAAATATTTGTTCCCACAAATGACCAAATTGAAACCACAAGGACCAAAAGTGATTTTTTTTTCCCAAAAATAAAATAAAAATTACAAGCGATATCTAAATTACAAGGGGAGGGGGTTTCTCACAAACAATGTGCAAATCATCTTGATTATTTAAACTATGTCTTTGGCAAGTCATGGGCACATAGCCCCACTCGACAAAGCTCAAATGGCCTCACTTGATTGCCTTGAATATGACATGTCGCACATAGCTTCGCTTAGCAAGCCTCAAATAGCCTTGCTTGGCAAACCTCAAATAGCCTCGCTTGCCTTGAATATGACAAGGCATGCCTAGCCATGGCAAGCCAAGGTAGGATATACCATGGCAGGATAAGGTTGAAATAGCCTCGGTTTCCGTGAATATGGCAAGGCATGCCTCACATAGCCTTATTTGTCAAGCCTCATAGCATCGCTTCCCTTGAATATGGAAAAGCATGCCATGCCATGGTACACCAAGCCTCACATAGCCTTACTCAACAAGCCTCGAATAGCCTTGCTTGCCTTGAATATGGCAAGGCAAGGCAAGCCACGACATGCCATGGCAGGACAAGGCTCCAATAGCCTCACTTTCTAGGGCGCAATGCATTGCGAAGTCTCGGAATGGCCACCCCTGTGTCCCATTTTCCCCTTTTTAAATGCCTCTTTTCCTTTTCCCAATCTGGTATCCCATGTAATGCCTAGCAGGTGTCTATAGTGTGTTTATTTTTTCAACACATTGATCACACTTAAATTTCTAGGCGACGAGTAGCAACTGTAAATTATCCAAATCCTGAAGGCCATGAAACCATAGCAAGACTTTTGGAAGCAAACACGACAGCAAGTTCCCCAGTCTTTGTTCTGGAGCCAAGAATAGTAATCTGATATTGATGGTGCAAAATCGTCCTCTGCCACTTCTGACAGTCGGGGTAAAGGGATTTTTGGCCTAATGGGGGCAGAAGAAAGAAGAGGGCATGTTATATATTCATCATTTGGCCCAGATGGTGCCTTAAGTATAATTAAGCTGCGGATATGTGGTAGCTGATTTTGCTTATAAATCCTGTAAGTTTCTTGTGGTTGGGATGGTTTACACCCTTATTGGCATGTTATCATTTTTTATTGATGAATAAGTTTCCTTTTTTCTTGGTGAAAGAAAAGAAGAAACAAAAACAAAACCAATCTGGGTCGTTTAATGCTCTCATTACTATGTCTAGAAACAATTGTATATGTAACACATCAACAAAGAATTTCAAATTGCATGTAATTGGCGAGACAACCAGCAAAGTAAAGGACCGTAATTTGTACACAACCCCTGCAATATATATATTTTTTTTAATAGAACAAGGGATTAGGCGAGATTAGCTCCTCAGTATCGGTCATCGGATGCACAAACATCCACCACCCTCAAAGAGGGGACCAACACATTCTGGGAGCCCCCCGCCCGTCCCCTTGATCATAATTTTATTAATAAGAAACATAAATAAATACAAGAAACAGCACGGGGGACCAAGCCCCTTGCAAAAGATTTTGTTACAACTTTAAAACAGAATCAAAACGTAGAGTCTCTATTTGGAGTTGGTGCAATGAGATTATTCATCAGCCAGGATCGCCTCAAATTGTCTTCTTCAGTCGTGTTGATCCCAGATGCTGGCTCTCCCTCAACAGAATTGATCCAGGGAGTACAGTTGAAACTATCATCAAGTCCACCCAATCCTCCAAACACATTGCTTTGTGGATTATCAGCTTGGGTCGCAGTATGCCCGGTGCAGTCAATCGGTAAGGCTGACGTAGAAGCAGTATATATGACCTCATTTTCAGCCCCTTGCATCATGGTACCCACAGCTACTGGTTCTGGTACATCATCAACGCTTTTTAGGACGAATGGCTCCCACAAACTTTCGTCCCATTCTAAGATACTCAGTTCTTCGCTTGCAAATGATGGTACAAAATCAACACAAGGTGTGAGCAATTCTTGTCCCAAAATTTCGTCTTGCACTTGAGCTGCTAATGGTGGACTGTTATCGATCCATGGCTGGAGGTTTTGTGTCACTGGCAGTTCAGCAACGAATGCATAATTTTCTAGTGGTTGTGGTTGTGGAGGTGGTGGTGGCACATTATCAATACATGGTAGCATGCGTTGCCTTTTCTCTTGTGTCTGGAGGCACAATACTTGTCTTCTGTCCTCCTCCTCTGGTTCTTTTCTTTTCTTTTCGGGTTCCTCCTTTTTCCTGAGTAGACATAGAACATATTTCTTTGCCTGCGAATTGGATAAAGATTTTGGTTCAAGAATATATCAAATCCAGAAATTAATCAATACTGAAAAAAAAAAAGAACAAATATAGATACATGTTGGATGTTCTGCAAACATATCAAACCAGATGAATATAATGACTTCTTTTATATTCCATAAACGATGAGATTTAAATCCCTGAATGTTCAAATCTTCATGATTGTAAATACATGAAATATTTCTCCAAAGAACAACATAAGAAAAACGAAGCAGTGAAATAAATCCAAAGAAAATATAACATAATTCTTGGCATGAACACAAAGATAGAATAAAAGAAACAACATATACTTACTTGTCTGTTGTGTATCAGGGATTGACCAAGTTCGAATTCATGCATGAGCCACCTGCCATGCTCTGCAGACCCCTTATTCTCATAGCGAAATCTTTTTTTGATTCCTATAACATGGTCAGTACCCGGAGCACATATTTTTTTGCCCCCATCTTCACCTTTCCAGGTGCCGTCCCCAACAGTTCGGGATACACGCGAGCCATTTGTGGTCTTTGTCTGAAGCTCAGTGAAGAAGTAGAGGTCGTTGCTTATCTTCAAATCGTTTTGTCTTGTTGTTTGGAAGTGATCCCATATCTTCCGAGGTTGGTCACTGTATAGATTGAAGTCAAAAACAACGTGGTTTTCCCCGGGTACCTCCTCACCGTTTACCTTAGGGCGAAGGTAGTAGAGAAGGAGTTCTTCTTCCGAGGGGCAAAAGTGGTAGCCTGGAGGCACACGATCATAAGCATAACCATCCTCAGCCATATTGGAATCAAGAAGTTGCTTATTTCTTAGGGTCGGTTTGATATCTTGTTGATGGAAAAAGTATATAAGAAAGGGCCTGGACGTGAAAGTATAAGTTTCAGGTTTTAGAAACTAATAACTTGGAGAGTGAGTGAAGGGTGAACAAGTAGGGTTTGCTTTTCTTATGGGAGACGAAGTAGGATTTATACAACTTATTAAGCGGGGATCAAATGCTATGTAAGAGATAATCTTTATCTGTGGCAAAAAAAATTAAAAATAAAAATAAAGATTAGCATTTATCTCTTACATAATCTTTATCTCTTACATGTGTATGTAAGAGATAAAATGCAAATCTTTTTAAATGAGTATTATCATGTTTATTAAAATCACGATTATTACATATAGAATGAGGGATGTTCTCTAGGTTTATTTAATCCAAAAATACAGATTACAAAATGTTTATGTCTTGTTGATAAGGAGATTGAAGAGAAGGATGGAAAATAAATGAATATTGAGTAGTTTGGTATCTGATATGTACTTGAGGAAATCTAAGTAAAAAAACTAAATCGAAGTGAAGGGGGTGTTGGGCTCAAGTCTGAGGTCTATTGAGTCGGGGGGGCTAGGATCTGAGTGGGGAAGGATGAGATGGGCGTGGATGTGGCTAAGGGATGGGTCAAAGCCTTTTGAGCTATGAAAAAACCATATACCCTTCTTGTATCCCTCACATGCCGTTCACCCGACTAAAATTTACATAAAGTGTAATGGTGGGACAAATTCGTCGAATAATAAAGAGGTTGCGAACCATTTGAATGAATAATTTAGTTGAGAAGCCAAAATGCAAATCATGTGTAAGTTTGGAGACCATTTGAGTTAAAAACCCTAAACTATAATATTTAAAAAATAATAATTTATTTGAGCTTTCATTGTTATATAAAATTCCTTTGGAATTTTGTACAAATATCCTTTATTTCGAGCCAATTTCTTAGTCAAGTTTAGACAAGGTGTTGAGTTGTATTCTAGGTAGTTTTCTTTTAGCTTTCATTGACAACTTTGTAATAAGGCATGTAATGTATTTCCCAAGCTCAAGGTTATTAGACTAGGTTAAATTGTTATCTACTTTTTCTCCTTTGGCTTTGATCATCAACGGCTCAACATAATTAAGGGATGCCAAAGGTATATTTTACATTACATTCATTAGAATGCATTAGATTATGACTAGTCATCTTCTGTGCATCATGAGGTCTGCCAGCAGGGGCGGATCCACAGAGGAGCAAGGGTGGTCAATTGCCCCCTGCAACCCTTGAATCCGCCACATGAGGAAAGATTGATCCCTACAAGGGCTGGATGGTTGGGCAATTCATGCCTTCCCACTACTACATTTTACTATTAGTGCGACGAAGGGAAATTCGTCGCGCAAAACACACTCCAACGATAGGAAAAAAATTCGTCGCGCAAACGGACGAAATCTTGCGCGACGAAACATTTGGTCGTGCAAAGATGCTTAACACGACAAACAATTGGATCGTCGAGCAAAGTAGGGAAGAAAAACCTAGGTAAATTTTTTTTGGGGCTAAACATTTGCGCAACAAACTATATTGTTGCGTAAAAAAACTGTGATACGGATTTTTTGTCGGCAAATTATTGCGCGACGGGGATATGTTTTGTCGTGCAAAGTATGATGTCGGCACGTTCTCGGGCAACGGAAATTTGCGAATGCGCTACGCTGTTTAGAGTTTGCCCGATGAATGTTTGCGTGACGACAGAGATCATTTTGTCTCGCAAAAGTCTGATGTTGACAAGTTTTTGCGCGACAAAAAAAAGTTATTTTATGAGACGAAAAATATGTTTTGCACGACGATATTTTGGGCGACAAAAGTGGTGTTTCGTCGCGCAAACTCTTTCTTCTACATATTTGGAATCTACCATTGCAAAGGCAGAAATCAAAAAATTTTAAAACCTCTCTCTGTCTGTGCTGCGCTACTGCCTCTGCTGGAAATTCAATACACTCATTGGGTAAATATGATTTGTCGTTTGTTTAAAAGTATTAATGTAAATTCGTATTAACGCTATTAATTTTGTTCTCATTATAGATATTTGTAATTTGCGATTGTGGAGAACGATTGAGAAGGTATGTTATTCATTTTTCCATAATTTTATAGCAAAAAAAAGCCTAGTCGTTGGATTGGAGGAGAGCAGGCGATCGGAGCGCCCAAACGACAACACATGTCTTCTATCTGTTGGTGGAGCGCAGGGCTGACGTCATCCCCCTCCCTTGGGGCTCGAACTCGGGCTAGAGCTGCCTTCGGGCCAGCCCGTCTTTGTGGGTCCCACTCCCAACCCGGGCTTGGGCTCCTCACTGGAACTGGTTTTTTTTTTCTCCCCCCAAACAGAGACTAGGCTCTTTGCTGGAGTTGCTCTTAGTGGCTTTACTATTGGTCAAGGCAGAGCCAGCCCTGGCACAAGGCTACCAGGGCCCAAAACTGTGGGGGCACAAAAATATGGTTTTTTTAGCCTTATATTTACATTTTAAAAAAAACAAAAAACAAAACTGTTAGTGTCCTAGAAGGAGGTAGATGTAATCATTAATCATGGTAGCACCAAACCTCTTTGAGATTTTCTAGGAAACTAAATATAAATTATATAATACTTCTGTCTTTTGCTTTATATATATATAGATAATATTTCAAAGAACAAAAATTAATGAAACTAAACATATGGAAACAAAGAGTTCTCAAAAAACCAAACAAACGTTCTTATACAAAAAAAAACAAAAAAAAAAAAAAAAAAAAAAAAAAGTGGCAGCAACACACATTGGAAAACTTTAGCAATTTGAAGGTCTTTTATTTGTGTAATTCGTTTTTATAAATAGATGTATAATAGAAATTTTGTAAGTGACATCTTTGTTAACTTATTTTTCTTTTTATTTGATTTAGCAAAAAACTCAACAAAGATTCTTGTTCTTCACAATTGGAAATTTGAAGTTTCGAGTTGAAGAAAAAAAATGCTCAAAATCCAAATTTTATTATTCTTTGTTCATGTTTTTATAAAAATTAAAAATTGTTACCTAATAAAATTAATTTGTTGACAAATTTTTTTTGTAATTTTAGTTTTTAATTTGTCTAAAAGGGCACTCTCTAGAAATTTGCCCAGGGCCTAAGAAAATCGAGGACCGGCTCTGGGTCAAGGTAATGGAGCATGAAGTTCGAGTTCAATGTGGAAACAAGTTTGGAGGCTAAGAGTTCCTAATAAAGTTAAGCTTTTTCTATGGAGGGCCTTACAAAATGCTTTACCTTGTCGTTGGGCCCTTACCTATAGACATATTGGAGATGATAGTTGCTGCCCTCAATGCCATGGCTCTCAGGAAACCACTATTCATGCTTTATGGGGCTGTCGTGAGGTGAAAAGGATTTGGAAACTTTCCTTCTTAGTGAAGTGATTAACATTTGGCAAGCAGATCTTTGGTGCCATGTAATTTTCAGTGGGCTTAACTTTGACCTGGAGGTTTTTGCTTACCTTTCTTGGCTTATTTGGCTTGATCGAAATGCACAAATGCATGGCTAAAAGGGACGTCACCCTGATGACTTGTATGCTACTGCTCATCGTCTTTCAGTTGAATTTATCTCCACCAACACTGCACCTGTGCATACTCACTCTCCCTCTTCTACTCATTGGTGTCCTCCCCCTCCTGGTAAGTTGAAACTGAATGTAGATGGTGCTTGTAGTACTTCCGTTTGGAAGTGTGGATTGGGGACAGTTGTAAGAAATGTGCATGGAGATCTTTTGAGTGCTATTTTAGTCCCTATCACTGGATGTTTCTCTGCCAAGATTACTGAACTCTTAGCAATTTGGGAAGGCCTTCAGTTTGCATGGGAGGCCAGTTACGATTCATTAGTAGTTGAGACAGATGCGAAGAATGACATTAACGACATCATCTCTAGCACTGAGGCTTTTGAGGCTGTAGGGGGGATTATCAACGACATCCATATGTTATCTAGAAACTTTGAATCTTTTTCTTTTGTATTTGCTCCCAGATTGCATAATACTGTGGCTGATAGACTTGCTAAGTTTACTTTAGGTGTGTCCATAGACGTTTGACTTGAAGAGGGTCCGCCATGGCTCAATGTGTTTCTTCAAGCTGACGCTAATAATCGAGAGTTGTCATGATATTTTGTTTGTAGCCATTATGGAGCGTGTGACACACTTTTTCTTTCATCCCAGGTTTTGTCCCAATTGGGTTTTCCTGGGTAAGGTTTTAATGAGGCCACGTTTGTTCGCTCGAGTCTGTAACCTTTCACAATTTTAATGAACTTTTACTACTTCCCCTTTAAATAAATAAAAAAAAAAAAAAAAAAAAAAAAAAAAAAAAAAAAAAAAACAAGGTTTAAAATGGTTTATATAATAATATATAAAGGAGAAGTTAAAGGAATTGTTAAATTATGGAGTGAAAAATGATATATAATTTTGTTAATTTTTATATACGGTTTTGTGCAATTATATATCATTATTAAGACTCATAGCATAATTTGTTCACTAAATTCATAATTTTGAGTTAATTGTCATGAAGTGTACATGGAGACGACTTAAACAAAATGATAAATTTTATCTATATATATATATATATATAAAGCAAAAGGCAGAGAATTGTAAAACATTCAAAAGGCCAGAAAATACCCTTGGTTAATTTAAACATTAAGAATTGAAATTCTTAATTAAATGAGGATAATATGGTAAATTCACATGTTTTAATATTTAAAAAATAAAAATAAAAATAGATAATAGGTCCTACGTTTATGGAACATAACTACCTATGTTATCTTTTATTAATTTTAAAAATAAAATAAAAAATAAAACCAATTGGCACATGCGTGAGCATGTGCCAAGGGGCTAGTATCATTGTAAGTAGCATCTAATTTTGAGTTTTGGTGTAAGACCTTCAACCCGTAAATCCTTTAAAATATTATTGGTCTTATGAATTTAAAATTAAATAAAAATCTTTTTTGGTATAGTTTTCATATATTTTGAAAATTCCCTTAATTTGTGCGGGTTGAAGCCACGTCACTCACTAGTTGAAATCTTTTATTTTTATTGTAATTAATGAAAAGATTTAATTATTTCATATATATATATAAAGTAAAAGGTAGAAAATGTTGAAACATTCAAAATAACAGAAAATGCTCTTGGTTAATCCAAACATTAAGAATTAAAATTATTAATTAAATGAGAATAATATAGTAAATTCAAAAATTTTCATATTAAAAAAATTAAAATTTTAAAAAATAATCAGATAATGAATCATATTTTTATAAAATACAAGCGTGCAGATAAGTCAATAAATATTTATAAGAATCCTCTCACTCTCTCTCCCGCACTCCCTTCCCCACCTCTCCCTTTCAAACCCCCACCTCGCTCCCTCTGGTGACAAAAGCACAACACCACCTCCGCCGCTCCAACTTTTACTGACCCGACCCTAAACCCACATGGACATACCCAACCCGACCCGCCTCCGCCCCAAGAAATCCACCACACCCTCCGAACGCTTCCTCGGCGCGTATCCCCACGCGCTGCCCAATAACCCTAGCCCCGCCACCTCCATCGGCGACGAGCTCAACGAGGACGATGTCTTCTGGAGCAACGACGTCGCCGCCGAACCCAGTCACCACTCAACTCCTTCTTCTACCTCCTCAACCCCGCGCCACCATAGCCATCACCACCACCACCATCACCACCATCACAAGGGCTTTTCTCAACCAGAGAGCTTCGGCATCCTCGCCGCTCTCCCGGAACGAGAGCCCTCCAATTCCAATCACCGACCCCACTCCCATTTCTACCACAAGTCCTCGGTCTCATCCTCCGCGTCGTCCTCGCCCTCGCAGCTAATCCCGGCGATTCCGAAGCCGCCTCACGATCGGTTTAACCACCCGCCTTTGTCCTCTGTGAAGTACCACCAGTCGGCGCCGTTGAACGTCCCCGTGTTGGCCAATGCGATGAGGAAGCACCGCGAATTTGACGCCGTGGACGATGACCATGATGACGACGAAGGAGAAGGCGAGATGCTGCCGCCGCATGAGATTGTGGCCAGGAGCTCGTCCCACACGCCGATGCTCGCGTGTTCAGTGCTGGAAGGCGTGGGGAGAACATTGAAGGGCAGAGATCTCAGGCGGGTTCGCAATGCGGTGTGGCGGCAAACAGGTTTTCTTGATTGAGGACGAACTCTTTATAACTTTTCCTCTCTTTTATTTGGGAAAAGAATTTCAGAGTTTGTTCCTTTGTTGTTTTTTTTAATGTTCAATTAGTTGCCAATATTCAAGTGGTTGATTAAAGTGTTGAGTAATTTCAGGGAAGTTTAGTATATCTTGGAAGAAATAGAGTGATTATTGAGTAATTTTTTAATTTTTTTAATTCATGTTCTAGTTTCTGAGGTAATGAAGGCAGAGGCATGGTATTCTTAAGTTGTTTTGTTTATTGTTTATGGCTGTTGCTAAAGCAGAGGGTTCACTCATAAAACCAACAACTTTGACATATATTAACCTTGACAGAGGAGAATCAGTTCATCAACATCAATAGGCTGCAATAAGAACTCTAATTGTCGTTTGCTTAACACAAGTGTTTTATGGGCCAAAAATATATAAAAATTGTTTTATGTATGACTTATTAGCTTAAGATGATGATGATACTGTTTGTGTTCAGTGATGATGAAACGAAAGTTTCACTCATTAGGATTGAGTTCTCTGTCGTTCACATCCTGAACTTTTGACAATGAACTGATAGTGTGTATTCTTTAAAATAAGTCTGAAGAATGGTATCAATGTATTACTCGTGGCTTGTCAACAATGAATCTTTTTGTTAACCGCTAAAAAACTTTTTGGTCGTAAAATATCTAGAATTTTATCTCTTCCTTTTCTCTGTGAGTTGCATGCTGTGGTTAGTTTCACTCCACGATAATGCATAGAAGTTACTAGCATGAACAGATTAGAAAGTGAATTAGAATGAATTGCATTGCTTAGATATTCCCTAAATGTCATTTATTCCATTTTTTTGGTTGGTTATTTCATTTTGGAAAGGGATGGAGAAGGATGTGAATTTGATATTTCCTCTTTACAGAAGGAAGTGGTGTCATTTCCAACTGGGTTGTGCCCTGTCGCCTGTCATAATTCCAATTAAGAGCAATGAGCGTTTTCAAATCTTTTTAAAGCGGAGATTTAAAGAATTAGAATTGAATTAGAAAATAGGTGTGACTACTAACTGGATTATCCCCGGTCACATCATAGTGCTAAATTAGCATACTGAATTTTTTGTGATCTTTCTAAAGTAGAGGTCTAAAGACTTTATAATTGACCAAGAACCAATAATTTTTTTGTGTTTTTATTTTTAAAACTCATTTGCTCCTCGTAGGTGATATTTCTAATAGGATACGCTTTTTCCTGTAGATTCACTGGTATTTGCTTTATGGTAGTATCCACGAGCACTTTATCTGAAATTACCCTACTATATTTGAGGATATTGTTTTAACTTATTGGGGTTGAGTTTGGATTGTTCAGTCATTTTTATTATATTAATGACCTGTTAGGGCAGATGGATGACTTGAAAGTTGGGTCCATTAAAAAGAAATAAAGTGGGAAAGGAAAGAAATAAGAGTATGTGCATATTAATTTTAATTTTTTTATAAGAGAATATTAATCTTAATGAACCCGTGATTTAGAAAAACAAAAGAAAGAAAGAATAGAAATTTGGGGAAGAGGTTCACGCTTCACCTGTTTGTATTGTGCCCTTGATTTCGCCACAAATTTGGGAGAAAGTTCGCACTTCATCTTCTGTTTTTGTGTTCTCGATACCACTCTTTTACTAGGTTTTTAGATCATGGCCTTTTGCAGACAATCCATTGATAGCTTCTTATGCATATCAAACTTATTGGAGAATTTTAAGTAGCTGCAAGATATGGTAGTTTTGCAGTATGAGTCATATGACTGATACCAATGATTATTACTTAGTTAAACGTTTTTAACGCATAATACATATTACTTTTTGTTGAGATGCCTCTTCTGGAATATCCTCATATTTTCATCATATATTCAGCTTGGCCAGCTGGAAACTTTGTAATATGCAGTACTGTGGTGGCTGGGCGTGCCAAACTTAATATTTGAGAAACTATTTGTGTTTTAAACAGATTTGTTAGCTTGGAGGCAATTTTAATGTCATTAATTATATTCTGCAAGTGATTTTCTGAAAATGCATTACCAAAATTGTCTTTCATAAGGATTTCTGCAAGGCTGAACCAAAGTTGCAGTTCTCTTCCTGAGCTTAGACCTTCATGTTTGAATATCAAGATGATTATCTAAGGTATATTGGAATTTGGAACATAGTAGGTTGTACACTTGAAAGAGTCGGTGCATGGAGATAATTTAAGAGTTTGAACTGGTTTTGAGGGAGATAATCGTTTCGTTCCTTTACAGTGTCTTGAAGCCTTTAATCCTGAGTGGAGTGAGCAGCTGGGGTCATTTCAAAGTGAGGGTATAATGTGTCTTTTATGCAATCACTTTGTTTTGTTAGGCATAGTGGGGGGCCTTAGGCATGTACTTGGAAAAGATTCTGAAAGAGTTGGGTGTGAGGACAATGTTGGGGGGCCTAATGTTGCAGTGTTTTCAATTCATGATTTGTCCTGTTAGTTATGTTTAGCACGAACTGTTAAAAATGATGACTGATAATTGATTCGAGCTGTGTTACAGAATTTTCATGCTTCATTCTGAAATCTGGTGCAGGAAAAGTTATGGTGGGATTGGATCTTTATTTATCTTTTGTGCTGAATAATATCTTATCTTCTGCATTTTATTAATTGTGTGCTTCAGAAGGGTTTTGTTGTACATGTTCATGTGGGACTGTCATGTTTTGTCATTATCTTTGAGCTGAAGCAGAATGGATTCTGGGCCATTAGATGAGTTCTAGATCTAGATTGAAATTGTTATTCTAAGTTTGGAGGTCTTGGAATCAGCATCGGAGTTAGGGGGTTCCATTTGTTCAGTGGACGGGGGATTTCTTTCCTGAGCTATATTAAAGTTTATTAGGTGAACTAAATATACAATTATTGCACAGGTTGTAATTGTTTGGATCTTTTGCTGTGACATGAAGTCTGAAGGTGAAATAGATCAAATGCTTTGCAACATGCATGAATAGATTGTGCCTGTGAGCTAGATCTTTTAAGTTGCAAGATCATTAAGCTATTTTCGTCCGAATCAAGTGAATGAATCTTTAGGGGTAAATTTACAGTTTACAGTAATTCACAGGTAAGTTAACCGAGTTGGGTGATCAAGAAGTCTATCTTTACAGCCATCAGATGCTGGCTTTGTGCCTTCAACAATTAATCCCTCTTCTATCTCTCTATCCTCTGGAATCTTCCTAGTTTACTGATTTAATTACCTTTCCTATGTGTTGTTTAGTTTTGCGCGTTAGCTTCTTTGAGGCGCTGTCCTTGTTTCTGTTTTGTGGTCTGGCCTATTTGTTTGGCCTTGTTAGGCTGTTTGGTCTTCTCTGGGCTTTGATTTTTAACTTGACTTGAGCATTTGCCCTACTATCGATTGGTTTCGTGTATCTTTTTTTATCATTCTAAACCCTTTGCTTGCTAAATACAAAAACAAGAGTTTAACTTGAAAGCCTGTTGATTTATGGCCTAGCTAGCTTTGCCGTCACGAACAATGTTCTTGATCAGAGTCTTGCAAATACAATCCATGTACAGGAGTAAAATACAATCAGTTAAAAGGCATCCTTCCGAATAAGATGAATCATTTTCTGTAATTAAACTCGAAATTGATATATAGTCCAACCAAGAGTATACTTCTTAGAAAACCTTCACCCCAAAAGGCAAGGGCAAGGCAATGTTTGACTTTGTTCACGTGAACAATGGCAGCCTTATATTTTTTGGTTCCACCCCAAAGGACAAGGGTAAGGACAAACACTATTCAATTTACTTTATTTTATTTTATTTTTTATACTTAAACCATTAATTCTGATAAGCTTTTCAGATAATATTTTCAGTTGTCACATGTCACTATTTATTATAAAATTACATTAAATTGGAAATGCAAGAAAAAAAAATGATTATGCAAGAAAATATAAACAAATTAGAAATGCAAGAAAGAAAAATTGAATATGCAAGAAAAAAAAAAGTTACATTAAATTGAATAGGCCATTTGTTTTTTTTATATATACAAATGGAAAGTAGTAGAAAAATGAGAGTGGAAATTAAAAAATATTGGAAGGAGCAGAGTTTGTATGAAGATTTAGTATGGAAAGTGAATAAAATTGTTAGGTATTTATAGAGAAAAAATCAAGAATTTTTTGGTATTTTTTTAGCCAAAAAAATCAAGGGAGTTGGATTTTTGCAAAAAATTCAATTGGAGAGTCCGGGAAGCGCCATATGGCATCTTCCTGTTGGGGGCTGTAAACAAAAATTGATTTCCAGCCGCTAATGTTAGCGTGACGTCATGGCTGACGTCAGCGACTTTCGGGCAAGAGCCCAGTCCAGAATTGCCCTTGGGCTTACCCAGGTTGGTGGGTTCCAGGACTTGCCTGGGCTTCCTTTTGCGCGCTGGAGGTCTAACTCTAGCCTTGGGGGGCCTATTGCCTGGGTTAGTGTGTTGCGCTGCACTTGCTCTTAGCTCCCCAATAATTGCCATTGCTTGATAAAGTATGTTGAGTTAAAGTTTGAGCATAATTGTAATTTCAAGTTCAACTCAGCTCGGGCAAGCCTTCGATGTGAAATAACCTAGTTGGGTGAAGCTAGGCAAATCTTAACCAAGACTCCTTCGAGAAATTGGTGTTAGACATGCTGCAAAGAATGGGACAATAAACTTTAATCTTTATATGCATACCATTCAAGCACTAATCAGTTAGTAAGTTAATACACGGAATGAATGTTAACTAGTAAGTGTTTTTTTTTATAAAAATGATCAAAGTTAAACTTCAATGGTACAATCAAAGATATAACTCCCCTCACATAAACAAACAAACATGTTAAAAACAAAACTAAAGCGGACAAAAGCCATACTAAAACTACTAGCCCCCATTATCATAATTAACCATAAGTTCAAACAAAGCCCGCATACCCAGCATAACTAAAACCCCAAAACAACCCATGAGCCTAAACGAACCCTACCACCACCACTTGAAGAAGCGTTGTCGCGGCCACACCCACCACTGCATTTGTAACTGATTTGGGGAAAACATGGTTTCCAGTGATTTACCTGCTCATAAGAGCAAACAAATAAACGAAAACAACTACATTGACAAAGAACAATTGGGTGATTTGCAACAATCTTCGTCAAAGACGATGTAACCCAAATTGAGAGAACATGAGCAGTGTAGATAACAGGTTTGGGAGAAATATTTGTTTGAGAATGCCTAAAAGGGGTGATGAGGAACTTCAATCTGAGCATGGATCAGAAGAAATCACCACAAACGGCTTCTTATTTAAAACACTCAAGTGGACTTATTCACTAACCCAAAAGAAACAAGTGAGGAGAGAGGAGGGGAGGAGAGGCAATGACACTTCTTCTTCCTCTCCCCTCTGTGGAGTTTTTCTTTAGGACTCACAAAAGGAGAGAGCGACTAAAGTGTTTTTTTTTGCGTTTCCTTATGTTCAAACGAACTAGTTAGAATTAAGTTGATACATGGATACTTACTCATTCGAGCTTAGTTTACCATGTCATTTAATGATTCAAACAGTTCATTTATAGTTCATCATTAATGATCATCCTGGAAAAAAAAATTATCATAATTGTACAATTTTTAGCCACAATTTACCATGTCATTTAATGATTCAAACAGTTCATTTATAGTTCATCATTAAGGATCATCCTAGAAAAAAAATTACCATAATTGTATAATGTTTAGCCATTTGATTAACATTGTGAATTTTTGTTGTTTATAGGTACAATTGTGTTAGTCTATTTATCTTATTACAGTTAAATGAGTAAATTGTATTTTGATTAAATTGTATATATAGTGCTCAAGTGCTAAACGATTTAGGGTTTAGACTAATTTAGGGTTCCTCTCTGACATGCATTCTAAACAAGGATGGCCTACCATGCCCATCGCCACAAAATGGTTAGACTGATGCTGGTTGGTTTGTGACGACTTAAGGCTTTTTGAAGCAGCGTCTCTTTCTTTCCAATATGTATCCAAAGTTATGTCCACTTTTGATGTTTCATCTGCCTGTAGTCCCCTATCATTGGACTCCTACCTGTTTGTATTTGGTGCTTTGTTTGCACCCTAGTTTCATTCAAGTACCAGTCCCTTCCACAAAAAAAAAAAAAAAAAAAAAAAAAAAAAAAAAAAAGAAAAACAATTAAATAAAGTAAATAAGGGGCGGAGCGCAGGCAGCAAGGCCTATGCCCCCCCCCCCCCCCCCCCCCCCCCCCCCCCCCCCCCAATTTTTTGATCTCTTGTAATATATTATAAAATATATGATATAGCCATACAATTATTGCAATTCGATTAGTGATGGGCCTCCCAATTGAAAATGGAAAACCTATATGGAAGTGATTTTGAAATTTTGACCTGAAAAGTCCATAAATATACTCATTTATGTACTCTTTTACTTAGGTTTTGTAGGAGACTTAGATTTAAAAAGGGCTTATTACTTTATTTTTCTGATTTTCAGCTTTTCTGCGCTCTTAGAAGGTTTTTAAGAGAAAATCAACTTTTCGGAGGAATTTTAGCGCAAGGTCAATTGGAGATGAAAGCTAACATCTTGAAGTTCAATCTGTGATTTTTCTAGAATTTTCTACTGAGCCAATTGGTATAGTATTACAAGTAAAGTTAGTCCACATGCAGACAGGACAGTTTCGTACATGTTACGTGAATGTGACGAAACAGAAGTTTTCCCGAATTTTCTAAGTTACGTGCTATATATGGTTGGAAAGATAAGACATTTATTTTTATAAAATATATTTTTAATGATTTTTCTGAAAGGCCGAAGATCTCCAAATCCTGTGACAATTGGGCTGAGCTGTATTTCCCTAGGGAGTTAGGAATTGTGATCTTTACTTCCCTATTTGGATTCCTTGTTTACCAAGACTTCTTGGACGACTTTTCAGTCAATTTTAGGGTTTAAAACTCTTATATAAGTGATATAAAAGGCCAGCCAAGGCCCCCATACAAGGGATTCACGTCCTAAGGAGATCAACTGGGCAAGAGGAGAAAGCTGCCAACGAGTTCTTTCTTTTCCTTCTTTTGGATTTTCAGTTCTTACGTATTTATTTTTTAGTTCATCCAAGAACATGAGTAACTAATTTCTTGTTAGTTAGGGCTTAATCTTGAAGCCCTAAACATGATTTCAATTTTATAAACAAGTTTGAATGGATTTTCAGTTTCTACAAGCGTGATGATTTCGGTTTCTCTATGTTATGTGAATTCTGATATTTTATTTCTTTGAGTAGCTAACTTGGAAGGATGTATTGGAATTAAATTGTTGTAGAACATAGGTCAATTGCCATATTGAATGTGTTCTTGTTTGCAACGAATAATTGGGTTAAGAACTAGTTATGAGAAATCGATTCTTGAATTCCTAATAACAAATGCCATGTTTTAGGGTTTTTATGACACTCATATTCTCTTTGATCTTAATGGATTCTTGATTGTTAATTTGAGTAAATTCCATACTAGATTTCAATTAATAATACACGTATTGATGTAAATGTCATACACTTTACATACACTTAAGAGAGAATCATACAACTCGAGTCAAATGCCATGATCTTGTTGTGAGTGTCATCATCATATGCTTGGTAGAAATTGATTATCTATTGTTGTTTATGGATTGATTGATTGTTTGGGGGTGGATAGTGAGTCCTAGCTATTGTTCTTGACTGATTTTAATCCAATTTCTCTTAGACCCTAATTTAAATTATGTTTTGTTTTCTTTTCCTTGTTTTGTTTTATTCACAAAATCAAATTAGAACCCCTCTTGGTGTTGGCATGTGTGTGGAAGTCCTTATGTTTTCGTTGTGTGACATTGATAAACATCTCTTTAGATTACAATCTCTGTGGGAATGACCCTTGCTGCTTACTATACTATCATTTGATTTGTGCACTTGCAAGGTTTTAATATTGTTGTTAAAAATTACCAACACCCCTCCATACTAAGGGGGGTGTATTCAATTAGGATTCTAGAGCGTTTAAAAAGATTTTGTTTAAGTGCCAGCTTTCATAGAACTTGATGGAACTTTAAAATTCGTATAGAACTTGATAGACTTTCAGAAGACTTCTATATAATTTTTTAATAAACTTTCTTAAGATTTGTATGGCTTTTATTCCAGACTTCTATAATTTTTTTAGCTGATATGGTTCCTTGTTCTTTGTAGTTGTAATGAGAAAACTCCAAATCAGCTAACTGCCAAAGGAAAAAAAAATGAAGTATGATAAAATGACAAGGCCCTGAAAAAAAAAACAAAACAAAAAACAAAAGATGTGCTCAAGTAGGCCTCCGTCTTCTACAGAAACTTTGAGCCTGTGGCCATCCTTGTTTTGTTTGCTTTGAGATCTCAACTTTATTAAACTCCTCCCTATCAATGTCTATGTTAATAATACATGTGACATTGTTGTCAATGTATCTAATGGTGATCCAATTTTAAACAACATGAAATAAAATTTTAAACTTGATTTGTACCAACATGAAATAAAATTTTAAACAACATGAAATAAAAAACCAAACTCATAACATATTTTCCTTCAACATCATGAAACAAAATTATGTTTAATGAAAAGTTGAAGGAAAATATTTAACATTCATTCATTATCTTTGATTCTCATTGTTGTCATTGTGCCCAACATCTCTCCACATATCCAAAGCTATACCAACTTTCCATTCATTAGCATTCTGTCGTTGCTGTTCTTGTGTTTGGAAAACAAGTTTAAGATCCCCTTCATTAACCGGTAATGATGAAGATGAAGAAGATTCGTTCTCCAATTCAATAGGAAATTCGTCAAATCTACACTCTTTTCAAAGAAAATTGTGCAGTTATACACAAGCTAACACTATCTATGTTTGTGTCGTATATGGGAATGGAGGTGCAGACTTGAAAATTGTAAATCATGACTCAAATATACCAAATACCCTCTCAATGACATTCCTCAAGGACGAACGACGAAGATTGAACAACTCAACTTCATTTGCAGGTGCAAGACCTTGACTACCAAACTCTTGGAGATGATATCAAACACCTTGAAATGGAGCTAAAAATTGGCGTCGAATTGGAAATTCACAATCCACTAAGAAAAAATTACCTGATAATAGATTACACATATGTTAGTATCCAATGTATGACCTAATGTAAACTATAAGAAAAAATTGAAAATTGAAAAATACCTTGTGGCACTTTAAATCCATTCCTCCTTGTTAAAGCATCTTGTAGTACTCTTGAATCGTGAGTTGAGCCCTCCCACCCACTAAGGACATATATGAATTCAAAATCAAAGTTACAAGCTGCTAATACATTTTGTGATATTGTACCGTGACGATTACAATAGCTGCTTATGTCGCGTCCCGTTACCATTTCTGGAATATGTGTGCCGTCAATAGCTCTGATACAATCCTAAAATAAACTCAAAAGTTTAAAAGATATTATTAAACATAAACAAATTGAATAATACAAGTTGCACCAGATAACACATTTACCTTAAAGTATGGGTAAAACCCTGTATTTTCCCTAATTTTAGCTGGTACCGAGGATCCAGTTTTGGCTAGCATCTTCGATGTTATTGTGTTCAAGGCCTTTAAAACTTTGTTAAAATTTTTACTAGCAATGAAGTGCAATTGGCCAAATGTACCACGTACTAGACAATGTCTATTATTTTGACCCATAATAAGCAAAAAGGTTGCAACCATTTCTTCTACACAAATGAATCTTGTATCTTGTAAGAGTGTTTTTTCTCTAATAATATTGCATAACTTTCGAAACACATTAGGATACATTCTATACCTTTCTTGGAAATGCTCTGGATCTTCATTCAATACATGACGTATATAACCTTTCATAGTAATTGGTCGTTGGGTTAATGGACTTTCAATATCTTCACTATGCATCATAATCTCATTCAATGCATGAGCTACTGCTTGAATCGCCATTAATAAATTCCAAATTGTTTCATAAATTTCTTCATCCTCCTCAATTTCTTGCCTCTCAATTTCTTCTACCTCCATTATATATATATATATATATATATATATATTGATACCACCTAAATAAAATGATAAACAAATTACAAATAGAATTAATAAACAAATTACAAACATAATTTATAATAAATTTCAGTTTTCCAAAAGAAATAAAGGATTCATAAAAGCAAAATAAGTTGATGAATTCATCATCAACTATTTAATAACCAATAGAGTATTTAAACATAAACAACAATGTTTGTTAAACAAAACAAAACAAATAGTCCAAATATCAACCAAAAAACAATCCCAAAAACCAATCATTCCAAACAAACAAGTCATTCCCAAAAACTCTCAAAAAACCCACTCATTCCAAATTGTAGGATATCCAATTTGAGCGCTCCTAAGGAGACATTTTCAAAAATGCATCCTTTTTTGTGTTAGTATTCAACAAAGAAAGTGCGTCATAACGAGCACGTTCATCCAAATTTGGGGTCTCCTTAATGGCATCCCACATATAACTCTGCTGCTCTCTCTCTTTATCCCTTTTTGCCAATAGGTTATGGACTCCCCGGAATTCGGTAGCAATTGAATCAATGCTAAGGCTAATTCTTCCCATAGCTTGCTAGGTGGTCTCATTTTGTTGGAAACAAGAGCTTTCCTAATGACAAGTATTTAGAAGAAAAACTGATAAAAATGATAATAGTAGCAACAACTGTTTAAATAGCCTCACAAAGAGTAACCTACGAATGAAAAAACAGCCCACGTTTAACAAACCTATTACCTGGTAACAGACTAAGTCAAAACAAACAGATACTCCCTAAACAATAGGGATTTATTAACCAAGCAGTAACACACTAACAATAATTCTAACTGCAACCTAACAATTCCTCCCTTAAACTGAATGTAGCTTGCAATCAATTTACATAAGGTTCTGGACAAACACCTAACATACTTCGCAGCTTCACAAATGCATCCAACTTGAGAGGTTTTGTCATCACATCTGCAATTTGTTCTTGACTGTTGCAATGCACCATTTCCACAGTTCCTGCCTTTATAAGATCACGAAGAAAATGGAAACGAACACCTATATGCTTGCTGCGTCCATGCATCACCGGATTTTTTGCAAGTTTGATTGCTGAGCTACTATCACAGTGAACAATTGTAGGCATATCTTGCTTCTCACCAAGCATCTCAAAAATCCTTCTCAACCATACTACCTGACATGCACAAGAGGCAGCAGCAATGAACTCTGCCTCAGTGGTAGATAGAGTTACTATTGGCTGTTTCTTTGATGACCAAGACACATCCCCTGAACTGAATAAAAAAATGTAACCTAAGGTGCTCTTCCTGTCTTTTTGGTCTCCAGCATAGTCACTATCTGTATAAACATTCAACTCTCATTTTCCTCCCTTTTTGTAGAACACCCCAAAACAGTTGCTCCTCTTAGATATCTTAAAATTCTCTTTGCTGCCTCCATGTGAAGCTCAGTAGGATTACTCATATACCTGCTAATAAGACCTACCACAAACATCATGTCTAGTCTAGTAGCAGTTAAATACATGAGGCTTCCTACAATTTGTTTGTAGATGGTGCTGTCCACTTTTACTCCATCTTCATCTCTCAAAAGTTTGCAACTTGAGACAATGGGATTAAGAACCAAATTGCTTTTATTCATTCCAAACTTTTCAAGCACCTCCAAAGCATATTTCTTTTGGCTAATGAATATTCCATCAGTTCTTTGCATAACTTTTATACCAAGAAAATACCTCATCTTCCCAAGATCAGTCATGTCAAACTCAAGCATCATTGATCTCTTAAACTCAGCAAACATAGATTCATCATTGCCAGTAAATATGAGATCATCAACATAAAGACTCACAATTAGAATTTTGACTTCCTTTGCTGTCTTTGTGAACAAAGTGTGTTCATAATGACATCTTTCAAATCCTTCCTTCATGAAATAAGCTTCTATACAACTATACCAAGCTCGTGGAGCTTGCTTAAGTCCATATAAAGCCTTTTTGAGCCTATAGACTTTCTGTTCATTGCCCTTGCGCACATAACCTTGAGGCTGCTCAACAAACACTTCCTCATTTAATTCCCCATGTAGGAAGGCAGACTTCACGTCCATCTGGTAGATTGTCCATTGTCTTTGAGCTGTGAGTGCTATTACAAGACAGATCGTATCCAACCGTGCCACAGGTGCAAACACTTCTGTATAGTCTATCCCATGTTGTTGAGAATATCCTTTTGCTACGAGCCTTGCCTTATACTTGTCTACTTCTCCATTCTCATTAAGCTTCGTTTTATATACCCACTTCACACCAATCTTCTTTCCTCCAGCAGGTAACTCCTTCAATTCCCATGTATCATTCTTTTTCTATTGCTTTGATTTCTGAATCCATGGTTTTTCTCCATTTTTCACTTTTCACTGCATCTTCGAAATGAACTGGATCAGCAGCTACAATCATGACAAAATGAGCCACATCATCTTCTTCAGAGAGACCCTCTCCTGTTTCATAATCTTCCATCCAGACTAGTGGTCTTCTATTTCTCCCTTCATTGAAATTGGGAGGATTTTCTTCAACTAGTTCATCTGAAGAAGAATTTCCCATTTCTTCTCATGTGGTATTATTAAAGTCAGCAACACCTTCATTATTAAAGTTTGCAACACCTTCTTCTTCATTTTCAGCGACTCTGGTTGCTCCTTTTCATTGTTACCCTACTCCAAATCAACTAATATCACTTCTTCATGTCTTTTGTCCCAATCCCAACTTTTATCCTCTTCAAACACAATATCTCTGCTTACAAGTATTTTATGAGAGACTGGATCATACAATCTGTATGCTTTAGACTCCTCACTGACACCAAGCAAGACACACCTTAAGCTTTTATCATCTAACTTTGTTCTTTTGCTATCAAGTACATGTACATGAGAGACACACCCAAAAACCTTGAAATACTCCACTGTTGGTTTAACTCCACTCCAGGCTTCTTCAGGAGTTTGATTTTTGACAGCAAAAGTTGGGCTTCTATTCAACACATGTACAGTCCAGTTAACTGCTTCTAGCCAGAAAATTTTGGGAATTTTCTTCTCCGAGAGCATGCTACGAATGTTCATAATGGTTCTATTTTTCCTCTCTGCAACTCCATTATGTTGTGGAGTATATGATGCCGTCAATTGTCTGCGTACCCACTATCATTGCAAAAATTGTTAAACTCTTGTGATGTAAACTCACCACCTCTATCTGTTCACAGCCCCCTTATACTTCAACCTGTTTCATTTTCAACACGATTTTTATAGCTTTTGAAAGTACTAAAAGCTTCTGCTTTTTCTACCATAAAATAAATCCATGTCTTGCAACTGAAATCATCAATAAAACTGATCATGTACCTTTTCTTGCTATTTGAGATTGGCGTGATTGGCCCACATATATCAGCATGAACAAGTTGAAGTATTTGAGAGGCCCTCCAAGTGCTCATTGTTGGGAATGAATCCCTGTGCTGTTTGCCCACCAAACAATCTTTACATACTTTGGAAGGAGTCTTGAGTTGGGGTAATCATTTCACCATTTGCTTTTGCTAGAGGGTTTTCAAGCCTTGGAAATTCAAGTGTCCATACCTACAATGCCAAAGATGTGTTTGGTCCTCTATGACTGTATTGAAACACGTAGACTCTCTTGGCTGAGATTCAGCAAGTAGAATAAACATCCTATTGGATGACATTCCATACTCCATAAGCAAGCCTCTTTTAGGATGAAAGATCTTGCACTTTCCAAGTTGAAATACAATTGTAAGTCCCTTCTGTAGAAGTTGTCCAATACTCAACAAATTATTCTTTAGCTTCGGCACATAAAACACTCCAGTGATGATTTGATCAACCCCATTTACTCGCAGCCTTATATTGCCTTTCCCATATACTGCCATGCTTGAGTTGTTTCCAAGCTTTACTGAGTCTCTGAAGCTTGCATCCAAATATGAGAAACATTCCTTCTTCCCACACATATGATTACTGGAACCGGAGTCAAGATACCACAAATCTTCCATGTTCATCTTTTTATCATCTACATAAGCCATCATCAATATCTCTTCTTCAGCCTCTACAAAATTTGCTCATTTCTCCTTGCTTGGGCATTCATATTGAAAATGCCCTAGTTTATGGCAATGGTAACATTCCACTGTGGATTTGTCAAAGCTCCTGCCTCTCCCTAGACCTCTGCCTCTAAAACTTCCATGTCCACGACCTCTTCCTCCAGAGGACTCATCATACGTTACCTTCAATACTTGTTCTTCTGTGACATGATCATTCATACATTGCTCATGCACGAGTAGACTACTCTATAACTCGTCGATGGACATAGATTCTAAATCATGTGACTCTTCAATGGAGCAAACTTAGAAGTCATTGACCTTAGAATCTTTTCAATGACTAACACATTTCCCAATTTTTCACCATGTAGCCTCATTTTGTTAGCTATGGTGAGAATCCTTGCGAAGTATTCATTCACGGATTCTCATGCCTTCATGTGAAGAATCTCAAACTCTTTACGAAGAGCTTGTAGCTGTGCTTGCTTGACTCATGTGGTGCCTTGATACTTCTGTTTCAAAGAATCCCATATATTCTTTTATGTGTCTTTGTTCATAATTGTCTCTAAGATTGAACGGTCAATTGCTTGAAACAGATAGTTCTTGGCTTTCAGATCCTTCAGCTTTTGATCTTTAACGGTTTTCCTCTGTCCTTCTGTGAGATCTGCTTCTCCTGCTGTTGCAGGGATCCTATTCTCCACCAGACCCCAATACTCCTTTGATCGCAAGAAGTTTTCCACGAGCATAGACCAGTGATCGTAGTGCCCATCAAACTTAGGAATCGCTAGCTACACATAGTTGTTCTCTGATGTCATATTCACACCTAGAAGACTGCTACTTCTTTTGATTTCAAATTAGGCTCTCTGGAAGGAAGCTCTGATACCAATTGTTGGAAACAAGAGCTTTTCTTATGACAAGTATTTAGAAGGAAAACTGATAAAAATGATAATACCAGCGATGGCCATTTAAATAGCCTTACAAACAGTAACCTACGAATGAAAAAACAGCCCACGTTTAACAAACCTATTACGTGGTACCAGACTAAGTCAAAACAAACAGATACTCCTTAAACAATAGGGATTTATTAACCAAGCAGTAACACACTAACAATAATTCTAACTACAACCTAACACATTTGAGATAGCATTCCCTTCCAAATTTGTTCTAGTTCGTTTCCTCTAGCTTGAGCTTTCTAAGGGACCTTCACAATTAGTGGCCTGAAAGAGTAATGATGAAGAAGAATGTCTGAGTGGTGGATCTTGGTGTGGTGGTTCATTATGATTTGGTATAAAAGCTTGACTTTCATCATCAAAGACAAAGTCCTCTATTCCAACATGTCTATCTTCCACCCTAAAAGTTCTTGCATCAGTATCATCACCTAATCCTAATGAGTTTCTTCCAATAGTAGTTGCATTCCCAATTACAATTTTCAGATCCTCATAGTCCTCACAAGTTTTTGTTTGAATACTTGTGTCTTTTGGGTGGGACTATAACAAAAACAATAAAATAATAATTATTTAACAGAATTATGTATTCAAGTTACCAAACATAATTATTTAAAGAAAATTGAATAACCTAACCTTAAAGTAGTCTTTCCAAACTTCTTCAGGAGCAGTGAATTTCTTTGTGGTTGGGTCCCACCCAAACCCAGAGCTGTGACGGAGAAGTTGTGAATATTTTTGGTATTCTCTTTTTAAAGTACTTCAACCGACTCTGGTATTGAGAATAGGTTTGTGACACCTAAGTTTTTCATTAATCTTGAGGAGTATTTTGGTTTTTACAGTTGCCTTGCTTAGCATTCCATTAGCATCACGTCATCCATGGCTTGCAGCATCAACCATGAGTTGCAACAACATTCTACTATCTTCCACACTCCAAGCATTATAATCTTGTTTGCTCTTCCCTTTCCCATTTATTTTTTGTGTATTTTCATACTCTATTTGAGTAGTGCAGCTATAAATTTTATCATGTCAATCACAAATATAGCATAAAAAATATAAAAAAAACCCATAAAACACTACATAAACAATGTACATAAGAAACCATAGATCTTAACAGACACGACACATCTTATGTTGAATACAAACATGAATGATGTAGAACAAATGGTTGAATGGATTGAAGAAGAATTGGAGTGAAGAATGGAAAAAGGATGCAATAGGAATTTACAAATTTGGCATCCGAACTCCGATTGGGGTGTACACCTTTCTGAAAAGGGAACGATGCCACAAGTCAAACTCACTGCTTTGCTGTGACCTATGGTGGATTTTGGGCTTTTTCGGTCGTTTAGGCTTCCAAAACAGTATTTAAAAGTTGTAGTTAATTTTTGGCTTTTTGTTTTTTTAACTATTTATCTATATTTGTCTCAGTTTTTTTGTTCTATTATAGAAAGGTTGTCAATTATTTCAATTTTCAATCTAGCGATTCAATGAACAATTCTTATAAAGTTGTATATTTCATAAGAAAAACAAGTAGTAACAAGCATAAACCCTAGTAACAAAGCATCAACCCTAACCCCAAACTATAACCTAATAACTAGAAAAACACGATGAAGAAAAATCATGGAAAAAGAAAACCCAACAAGGTATTGATCAAAGAAAAAAATATGGAGCATACCTTCTGCTTGGGCCAAAATTCTGCACGCCAGCCCATTTTTGTCGAGAGGCCCATGAACCGAACATTTGGGCTTTCATCTACAGGAATCAAAAGAAAAAAAAACCAAGACACTAGAGAAGCCCAGATCTTTCTTGTTCAAATTACAAATATAGCAATAATCTAAAATAAATAATAGGCCTTTTTATCACAAAACGTCCCTGACGTTTGAGAAACTATCAGATTGCATCCTTAAAGTTTTTTTGTATCACTCATGGTCCCTAACGTAAATATAGGTGCTCTTAAATAGTCCCTTTGTCAAAAAAAACTGTTAAATCCAAGGATATAATCATCAAATCAATCCAAAATTATAAAATTTATATATATTTATTTCCTTCCCTTCTTTCTTTCTTTCTTCTTCTTCTTTCTCTCCGCCAGATTCCTTATCTCTTCTCTCTCTATTTCTCTTTTTTCCCCTATCCTTTGTCACTCTCTCCTTTTTCTTCTTTCCTAGCAGCGGTCAACTATTACAAAAGAAGACAAATACAATATTACAGTGAGGTTTTTTTTGTTATCTTTTTTCTTCAGACCACGGGGGAGAAATAACAAAGGGGATGGGGGGAACGAACGGGTCTGTGTCTCTGGATTTTTTTTTCTCTTTTTCTTCATCAGAGAGGACTTCTCCATTTTTTGCAACCAAAGGAAGAAGATCAGAATCCCTTTATATATATACATATATATATATATATATATAGAAACTTTGCACCAAAGTAGGTGGCTTTTCCAAGAGATAAGCAGACTACATTTTCAAAGAGATAAGTAGGTAGAAAGGGAGTTGTTCAACAAGAAAGCAAACTAACCATCATGGCAGATTGTGTTCTTTCTCTTTACAAGGAACAAACAGAGAACAAAGAGAGTTGGTCTTTCTTTCAGAAAAAGCAAGGAAAATACCACCATGGGAACTGACCGTTGATGGTTCTTCTCTGCCAGAATAGATAGCTTCCCTTTTTGTGGCATTTAAAAAGAAAGATCTTTTTAGAGGATTTGCTGCCCATTATTCAAAGATTAAAAACCCCACCCCAGCATTTAAAAAGAAAGATCTTTTTAGAGGTTCTTTTTTGTCCTTAATGTTCTCCCTCTATATATATTTGTTTCTTTCTTTTTAAATTTTTATGTTCATGAACCCTAAGTGTGTACAAAATGTGGTTTTTGTTTTTATGGTTCAGGAATTAAGGTTTTGGTGAAGTGTGGTCAAGTGAAAAAATTGGCAATGGCAACAACAGAAAAAGATGGTTCATTTGAGACTAAGCTCCCATTAGGCAACTCAAAATCTCCTATGAACTGCCTTGCCAGGATTCTTGGAGGGCCAGACCAGCTCTATGCTTCAAGGAAAGTCATGGCTTCTGAGATTGTCAAGACCCAAGAGCCTAACTCCTACACCATTTCAACTCCTCTTGGTTTCACCACATCATGCCCTTTGAACATAAAAGAGGCAGCTTGCAAAGCCATGAACAAGTTTGGCTCATCGAAGACCGTTAATCTGCCTGTGCCTCCAGAGTGGGGCTTGGCACCCTCAAGCTATTATGTTCCCTTCATCCCTATCATTGGCATACCTTAAGTATCTTGTGTGTGAAGCTAGCATGGCATAAAGCTCAGCAGTTCTCTATATGTTTTTACTTTGCTTTTGTTTGTCCACTATATATAGCTTGTGGGGAGTGGTTTTATTGTGTGTTTTTTTTCTCCTGGGTTTTAAACCAAATATTAGACAAGTAGTACTGCTAATTAAGTATAATTAAGCAGACTAGTACCGTTATCTTTCTTCAATATATAGTTTGAATGTATACATATAGCTATATAAATTGTTGTTCTTCTATTTTGTATAAATAAGTTACTTTTGACGTCTCTGAGCTTTCTTGTGACAGATTCACCAACTTCCGAAGGTTCAACACCAAACTTTCAAAATCCTTAGTTACAATTACACCTAACTTTTCTATCGCCATGTTTGGGCTTACCAAGTATAAAAATTGTATCCCTCTAAAAAAAACCCAACAAAAATTTACAAATGAAAACTGTGGATCTCAATTTGGTACACAAAAAGATGAAGAAAAATCATGGAAAAAGAAAACCCAACAAGGTATTGATCAAAGAAAAAAATATGGAGCATACCTTCTGTTTGGTACAAAATTCTACACGCCAGCCCATTTTTGTCGAGAGGCCCATGAACCGAACATTTGGGCTTTCATCTATAGGAATCAAAATATGAAAAAAAAACCAAGACACTAGAGAAGCCCAGATCTTTCTTGATCAAATTACAAATATAGCAATGATCTAAAATAAATAAAAGGCATTTTATCACAAAACGTCCCTGACATTTGAGAAACTATCAGATTGCATCCTTAAAGTTTTTTTGTATCACTCATGGTCCCTAACGTAAATATAGGTGCTCTTAAATAGTCTCTCTGTCAAAAAAACTGTTAAATCCAAGGATATAATCATCAAATCAATCCAAAATTATAAAATATATATATATTTTTTTTTCCTTCCCTTCTTTCTTTCTTTCTTCTTCTTCTTTCTCTCCGCCAGATTCCTTATCTCTTCTCTCTCTGTTTCTCTTTTTTCCCCTATCCTTTGTCACTCTCTCCTTTTTCTTCTTTCCTAGCAGCGGTCAACTATTACAAAAGAAGACAAATACAATATTACAGTGAGGTTTTTTTTGTTATCATTTTTCTTCAGACCACGAGGGAGAAATAACAAAGGGGATGGGGGGAACGAATGGGTCTATGTCTCTGGATTTTTTTGTTCTCTTTTTATTCATCAGAGAGGACTTCTCCATTTTTTGTAGCCAAAGGAAGAAGATCAGAATCCCTTTATATATATATATATATATATATAGAAACTTTGCACCAAAGTAGGTGGCCTTTCCAAGAGATAAGCAGACTACATTTTCAAAGAGATAAGTAGGTAGAAAGGGAGTTGTTCAACAAGAAAAGCAAACTAACCATCATGGCAGATTGTGTTCTTTCTCTTTACAAGGAACAAACAGAAAACAAAGAGAGTTGGTCTTTCTTTCAGAAAAAGCAAGGAAAATACCACCATGGGAACTGACCATTGATGGTTCTTCTCTGCCAGAATAGATAGCTTCCCTTTTTGTGGCATTTAAAAAGAAAGATCTTTTTAGAGGATTTGCTGCCTATTATTCAAAGATTAAAAACCCCACCCCAGCATTTCCTATAAATATGAGAGGAGGTGAACAGATCAAGGACAACCAAAATTCAATCAAGACAAAAACTCTCAAAGTCATAACTGACAAACTCAAAAAGATCAACTAATCCCAAAAGCTTTCAGACCCTAAAAGCAGCCAAAAGCTCTTTGATCCACAAGAAACAAATCAGCTAGAATTCAAACCTCTGGTTTTAGTTCAGTACAGAGAAATAGTTCTACAAAGCGAGATTTCTCTCAATCAGAGTCCGGGTTTTACAAATATGAAAACCTCAGCAAATTTACAAAAAGCCTTGGTCAAGTAGAACAGGCATCATAGCACAGCTCTAGCTCAGGGACCATCAATCTATCCACTTCTGTCCTCGTCATACCTGAGAAACATCAATTCTGCCCGTTCAGCAAGCCTTCCATGGCTCATAATAAATTAAAGCTTTGCCAAACTCAAACGTTGGTATCGATTTCCAACTGAAACTCATCAGTTGAAGGTGTTGACAATTCAATCCAACATAAACTCATCCAATCTAGCCCGGTTCAGAGGCACCTATCCAGGTAGAAATCGAAATCCAACCTTTTGTTGTCTTATTTCGGAGTTGTCATTTCACTTTTGAGTCTTATAATAGGCAGTTCTCCAGCCCGGTTCAGAGGCACCTATCCAGGTAGAAATCGAAATCCAACCTTTTGTTGTCTTATTTCGGAGTTGTCATTTCACTTTTGAGTCTTATAATAGGCAATTCTGCCTAAACAGTTTGTCTTCTTTTCATTTATTCTGGCCATAACTACCAATTTTGTACTGTGAAAGATTATGAAGTCCTCATTAGTGTGAGGCAAAGAAAATAACTTACTTGGGAGATATTCGTCACCCAAATTCACTATTGCTTTTTTAAAAGTCAGTAACTTGGAGCACAAGTTATCTATTTTTTAGAAGTCTGTTAGGGCTTTGAATTGCTAGCAGTGCCATGCTCACGCACAAAAGAAAGTTGACTTGTTGACCACCAATGGTTGTCAAGCCAATGGGGAACTTTACCCTGCCATCACAGGATTAAATCAAAATGGGTGAACACATTCACAGATGAAGGAAGGAAATTGTTCGTCTTCTGTTGCAGAGAGAAAAGGTAGGGCAAGAGAAAAACGTCTGATGAAATACTTGGGGGAGAGGTTGGATTTATTATGGTCTTTGTTATTCATAGCTCTCCCCTTAAAACCTACGAAAATTTATCACTTAATGAAATCCTTCCAAATATATGACCTTTTGAATACACCTAGATTTGAATCAACTTTTTTATAATCCTAATTGAATACACCCATATTTGAATGGATTTTTTAAAAGTTCATACAAGTCGGAATTGAATACACCCAGACTTGTAAAACCTCTTTTAAAGTTTGTATAAATCCAAATTGAATACACCCGGATTTTTAAAATCTTTTTAAACGCTTTATAATCCTAATTGAATACACCCCCCTAAGAATTCTAACTCCGCCACTGGAGTAAATTGTATCTTATTTCAGTTAAATGAGTAAATGAGGTTCTCCTCCTACTGATTGACAGTCTGGTACATTAACTGCAATACTTTACACTAGCTTAGACAACTTAACATGCAATAACCTACTCTCCTTTCGGCGCCAACTTCAGTTATTTCTAGCGACCTTTATGTGCTGCAGTACATGTAATGTTTTAATTCAGGGATTTGGGACCGAATGCCGTTGTGCATTGGAATGATTAATGGCTGGATGAACTATTAGGTATAGCATGCATGGAATTGTCATTAGAAATGTTTCAAATGCTATTTGCATTTTTTTTTTTTTTTTTTTTTTTTTTTTTTTATTTCGAGCTTGAACTAGTAACAAAGTTAAAGCAAGGGAGAAGCGAAAACTAGGCCAAAAGTGGCCTTGGCCCCTCACTCTTTTTATCAGTCTCTTAGAATTCTAGCTCACTCTCATTCCAACTTAGTAGCCCGATAAGTCCTCAATACGGATATACATATTCTTGCAAGTTGAAAGTTCAATTATTAAAGAGAATGATAAGAGGAATATGCATGGATATCATGGGTGGCATTGTACCCCTAAAATTTGAAACAAACACGCTCATCTTGTGCGGAGAAGGACATCTAACCTCCCCAATAAATAATATACAACAAGAAAATGGGGCGGCAATATTCATCATCGCCGAATTCGTTGTTCATTTAATTTTTGTTTCCTATTATGCATGCCAAGTGAAGGTTACGTCTCTTATCTAGACATAACATCTGCACTAATCACTCTATTATTTGATATATTAGTGTTAGCCAGTGAGCTATACAAGAGTGTCTTTCATATGACGTTTTATTAGCATTTTTTTCTTCGCTGCTTCATCGCATTAAGTGCAAACAGTTAACGTTTATATTTTAGTGGTAGAGTATGTACTTGGATGGGTAAATGTACGAGTTCGGAGACTCATGCTACAATATACTAGTTGGAGTGTTTGCACCAAGTACAGTACTGGAGAAAAACCGATTTTTCGGTTATTAGTACATATATAATGCATAAAAGTTACAAAGCTAGAAAATATCAGATCCAAAAGTTTTAAGCCTCTATAAGCAAGAGGTAGATTCATTTCCCGCAAGTATCATATCAAAGATTTAATGGTATATCTTAGTGAGTGATTGTAATGTACAACTCATCTAAGCGTTAACAGCACTTATATAATGAAACTATAATATGACGTTTTTAGAATATGAAACTTGCTTTGCTTGTAAAGTTATTTCCATAAGTCATGAATTATTTAAAAATTTAAGGGTATTTTCCGTCTAAAAAAATTTGGACACTTGTACACGCGTAAAATGTATCGATTAGCCACTCTGACAGTATCATAACTTAGAGCTCCCAGGTTAAAAATTCTGAACCACATTTATGGCATCACATGCCATAAAATAAAAATATCTTGACACCCTGGTTAAAAATATATTGACATGGATACCTCGACCCTGAAAAAAAACCAAAAAAAAAAAAAAAAAAAAAAAAAAAATATGATATGCTCTATCCTGGGGAGATCATGTGACCCAAAAATTGTGGGTCATTTAATGAGATATGTCTAGACCCAAGGGAACCAATCTTGAAGAACCAGCTAATGGAGGGACACCACAAACCCAATTCCCTTGGCCACTTGCCCTAAGCTAAGACCTATTCCCCACACAAGTTAATTACTTTGGAGGCAAAGATCTTCGGGTTGTTTGGTTGGCCTTGTAGGACTTCACACCAGTCACAACTCTATAAGTTACATTCTTGATCTAATTGACAGGAAAAATCTTGGTTGTCCCACATTTATGTTTGTGCTCCTCTGCACGTATTTTTCGGTGTGTCTTGCACTTGTAACATGAAAACAATAATCATAAACAAGGAGATTATCAAATGCCCAACTAATATTCTAATAAAGATAAAAGGTGTTACAATTCGACTAAAACATTATTTCCTAGATATGTTGGACTATTTTAATTAAATTGGACTAATGTATGTTCGATGTTTGACGAACTTATTATTGAAGCTTTGGACTCGTTAAATTGAACAACAATCCAACACAGTGTGTGTCAAGTCCCAATTGGAGAGGTGAACTCACAAGAACTGGCTTTAATAAATGTTTTGAAAGTTCAGAGAGCTCAAAGCCAGATTAAAAATCTAGAAGACAATGTAGGACACAGGCAGTAGTTGATGGGGAGGCAGCTAAATTTTTCCTTACAGACTTAATTTTGAAGGAAGACAGACTTAATGCATGAACCAGCGGATTGGGTACGATTTTCAGAAGATACATAAATATTGAGAAAGCAATAATCAACAACCTTCCTGCAGTAAAGTTAATGTTCTTTCTTCTGTATTTAATTTGACTTTCCCTGTTTGTTGTGCTAAAATCGAATTGATGCTTGGAATTAGGTAGATGTTGAAATTTATATTGGTATGTGGTTAAGGGCAGAGCCACTAGGGGACCAGTGTGGTTTTGGGCCCCACCTCATTTTTATATTAAAAATATTATATATTAATATCTTTTATGATACTTCTAATATTTGTAGGGTTTTCTCTTCAAGTTTACATTTATTTTTTTTATGTTTTAGATCAATTTTCTAAAAATTTAGTATACATATTATTATTTTTACACAAGTCCTTCAAACCTAAGAGTCATTCTCACCCATTTCTCTAGATTTGTGACTACTTATTCTCCATATAATATATTATCAAGTTTTTAAAAAAAAAATTTGTCAAAATTATCAAGTTTCAATTGAGTTGACTCACTTAATTAAGATTGTTAATCTTTCGCTTATTTTTTTTATTGTTTTCTCTTTGCCTTATGGTTTGTTAGGGTTTGTGAAAATTTGAATTATTCTCTATTAAGTTCAATGGATCTTTCAATTAATTTGTAGATTACCAAAAGAAAAAAAAAAGTATCATTATATATATATATATATTAATATATGATGTTTAGGTCTTTTTGGTTACTTTGGAATTGTGAGTTCAAATTTTTTTTTTTATATAAATATTTTGTAAGAGGCCCATGAAATTCTGGCTCCGCCACTGTATGTGGTGGATTCTACTGACAATCCAGTGGATTGAAATCAGTGAATATGGGTGTTTACTATTTTTTTGGGAGATTCATTATTATATCCAATATAGGAAATCAAATTATTAAAAATAAAAAATAAACTATATGAAATGGACTTTAGAAACATACCCAAAGTCCATTTACAACATAACAAAGAGGCTTTTAATTTCTTATAAATTACAAAACTGTCATCGCTTTATTAAAACAAGCCCACCCCCAAAACCTCATATAAAAACTCAAAACATTCAATAGGGCATCAAAGTAATTTAATAATCAAAATTAAATTCAATAAGGTCAGATATCATTTTTGGGTTTGTTTATAAAAATTAAATTGTGTAGGATTTATCTATATTATTAGTGCTAAGAATGGGTATATAACTAAATACCTCTTGTTTTTTTTCCTTCCTCCAAACTAACCATTGTCACATATGGCCGGATTCTGTTAGCTGCTAATGTTCTTTATTGGTGAATATAAAGGGATGCTCTCTTTTTCTATCCCTTTCATTTTCTCTAGCTTTCCTTTTCTCAGTTTTCAAATGTTAACGCTTTAATTTTATTTAAGAAGAATCTAGCAGTGCACTTTTCTCATTGAATTATTGTTGACAATGGAATAAGACTCTCAATCTTTTTAGTTAAAGCAAGACTTTGAATCAGAAATATATATAGTCGCTCTTTATTTGAAAAAGCTTGTCCCTTCTTTGTTTGACTTTAGATTATGTTTAAGCAAGTTTGTTAGCTTAATTGGATGGGTCCAATTAGTGAGGATTGGGGGGAATTTAGGTACTTTTTGGTTGAGGTTAAGAAAGTAGAAAGCTCAGTTCCTAGCCAAGTTGGTATTTTGCAATTGTTTATTTCCCGAAAAAAAGAACTCCTAGCCCATTGGGGTTAATGAAGCTAGCTTTCAAAAAAATTATTATTATTATGTTCAAGTTAGCTTTAATGGATGAGATTTGAAGAAAGTGAGATAGCAAAGAAAAGGAGAGAGAGCCAGTAAGTATAGCTCAATTGGTTGAATTCTTTTTCTTTTATTTATATGAGCAGATCGATTCAAAACTTCCAAGCACTTAACGAATATTTGTGTAAACCCAACTCTTTTAATCGCTTGTATTAAATAAAAACAAAAATAAAAGCGCCAAAAAAACATAATAATTAAAGCTTTTCGATTGAGAATGGGAGCAATAATATAGAAATTGCTAAAATAACATACAGTACAGGACAAAATGCACAATGTACCTATATATATATATTTTTTTTTGGGTCTGACATATATTAACTAACTAGCCATTAGATATGTTACATCTGTATTTCTGATGCAGAGGGCAGCTTCAGCAGGGTGACCGGGAAAATGTAAAAGAAAGTCACATGCCCATAAATTTGGACAAGTAAAATTTAAGGAACCTTCAGTCAGACCACCAACTAAACTGGCCATTCATTTAATGGGCCTTGTTCACATCTTCTCTTTATAAGCTTCAACATAGCCATCTTTTCTTCAAATAAGTTTGCATTTTGTTTCTGTGAGTAATTTGCTTCCATGGCGCTTTCCTGGGTGCTCCCAACAACACTTCTCTTTGCTCTGGCTCTTGCAAACATTCAGCTCTCCACATGCCAAGTTGTGAAGGCCAAGGTCACTTGCCTTGACTGCCATCAAAATACTGATTTCTCAGGTTCTTTTTTGTCCTTAATGTTCCTCCCTCTATATATATTTGTTTCTTTCTTTTTAAATTTTTACTTTCATGAACCCTAAGTGTGTACAAAATGTGTGGTTTTTTTTTTAATTAAGGTTTTGGTGAAGTGTGGTCAAGTGAAAAAAATTGGCAATGGCAACAACAGAAAAAGATGGTTCATTTGAGACTAAGCTCCCATTAGGCAACTCAAAATCTCCTATGAACTGCCTTGCCAGGATTCTTGGAGGGCCAGACCAGCTCTATGCTTCAAGGAAAGTCATGGCTTCTGAGATTGTCAAGACCCAAGAGCCTAACTCCTACACCATTTCAACTCCTCTTGGTTTCACCACATCATGCCCTTTGAACATAAAAGAGGCAGCTTGCAAAGCCATGAACAAGTTTGGCTCATCGAAGACCGTTAATCTGCCTGTGCCTCCAGAGTGGGGCTTGGCACCCTCAAGCTATTATGTTCCCTTCATCCCTATCATTGGCATACCTTAAGTATCTTGTGTGTGAAGCTAGCATGGCATAAAGCTCAGCAGTTCTCTATATGTTTTTACTTTGCTTTTGTTTGTCCACTATATATAGCTTGTGGGGAGTGGTTTTATTGTGTGTTTTTTTTCTCCTGGGTTTTAAACCAAATATTAGACAAGTAGTACTGCTAATTAAGTATAATTAAGCAGACTAGTACCGTTATCTTTCTTCAATATATAGTTTGAATGTATACATATAGCTATATAAATTGTTGTTCTTCTATTTTGTATAAATAAGTTACTTTTGATGTCTCTGAGCTTTCTTGTGACAGATTCACCAACTTCCGAAGCTTCAACACCAAACTTTCAAAATCCTTAGTTACAATTACACCTAACTTTTCTATCGCCATGTTTGGGCTTACCAAGTATAAAAATTGTATCCCTCTAAAAAAAACCCAACAAAAATTTACAAATGAAAACTGTGGATCTCAATTCGGTACACAAAAAGATGAAGGTAAAACTTTTGCCATGGTTCCAAAAATCCGTACGGTGCATCTTTCTATAAATAAAAAATCCCCTACGGTGAAAAACAGGGATTCAATCTTGCAGAATAATTCGTAGGTTGGGTAAGGTGTGGGACAATCCACAAATCAATTAGATAGACAGTTCATTCCTCACATTGGTCTTGTCAAGCCATAAATATATGTGAACCCCTCAGTCCTATTTACTGAATGGGGAATGCTAACAGCCTTCTCTCCAACTTTCTCTTTTGGACCTTATCCATTTTCCTTATGACATGTGTCACTTTTCATACACTTAAAATAATGACATTAATACATCAAACAAACCACCTTTTGTTTTCCAAATTTACCCTTATTAAATGTATTGTCCATCAATTTATCCTTTTTTTTTACAAATCTCTTACCATATGTAAAAAATTAAAAATTAAAAATTACAACTCTCTCTTACAATTCTGAGTTTACACTCTTAATTGTGATGCATATGCCAGAGTTTCTTCGATCATGTGTGATCGTCAATGGAGGAGCCCCAACTTAATTTTGATATTAGATCAGTCTATTATTGTAGTGGCCCTTTGTGTCTAGTGATTTTTCTTTATTGAATTATAAATGTAATCTCATAATTTCTCAACAAAATAAAAGTTGATATAGACGGTACTTCCAACCTGGGGCGACTATGAAATTTTAGAGGCCTTGTACAAAATTAGTAATAAGGCCTCATAAAAAGGCTTGAACAAAAATATATAAAAAGAATTGGACAATATATATTGATAGCATATTTAAAACTACTCATCAATATTGAGTTTTTTTTCAGTCGTGCCTCTAGATTTTGTTTAGATTTGGCAGAGGTCTCTTTCTATAAAGATCCGTTTTAGATATGTGGATATATCTCACTGTCATGAATGTCCTTTTTTTGGTGAGGATTAGGGTTTTAACTTTTGAGACGAGAAGCCTTGGTGGAGAATTACAGAGGTTTGGTGCTTAGGTCCTGGTTGATGTGAGATAGTACTCTGGTGTGTGGTTGAGCATCAAGTGGTAGCTAAGTGGTTATGCCATTTCTCTTGGATGTTTTCTTCCTCTCGAGTCCTTGCCAACTTAGCGTCTTGGGTTCCGATTAGGCATCGCTCCTGAAGGGTATGATTGCTCTATTCTCCTCATGGTTTGGCTTCTAAGGCCATCTCCAGTCATAGGGCTAAATATTTAGCTCTCCAAAATATTAATTTTTTAAAGAATAGTGCATTGCTAAATTTTTCATCTCTAGCCATGCAGGGCTATATTTTAGGGTCCTTTATATTTTATTATTTTGAGAAAAATTATGGTACAACACTCATGCATTCCACAACTATGTATTGTTTAATTTAATTAAACTACTATTTAGAGACAATATTCCATGACCAATAATTTTTTAAATTTTTTTTAAACAACACTTGAAAACATTTATAAAGGTGGCCACAAAAAAAAAAAAAAAAAAAATGGTTTGACCTCCAACAGTCATGGCCAGTAATTTTTTATAATTTTTTTACAAATTGAAAACATTTAAAAAGGTAACCACATTTAAAATAAAATAAAAATGGTTGGGTTTCAATAGTCTGACCTCCAATGATCATGACAAATAATTTTTTATAAATTTTTCTTAAACAACACAAATTGAAAACATTTAAAAAGGCTTTTAAAAATATATCGATGACATTAGCGCTTTTATTGTTGGCTGTTTGATATGCATTTGCATGAGATGATTCGTGCTCTTGCCCACACTTGATAATTTATCTTCTTCAAAAGCACATACATAGGACCCACAAAAAATTTGACCTAGGCCAAAGCTGGGCTAAATCTGGCCCGGTTGGAGGGCTTAAGCTAAATGTGGCATCCAAATTTGGCCAAAATTTTGTTTAGCCCATGGCTGGAGATGGGTTTTGCATTATTTTAGGGCTGGAGATGGTCTAATGAGCTAGTTTATTGGTCCTTTTTTTGGCTCATTGTTAAAAAATTGTTAAAAAATGGGCATATCAATACAATTTTACTTTTATTCTTAAAAAAAATTGTAAAGAATCCGTACTCCTTAAGAAGACCATGGTCTTTGAATTTGTATTAGGCCTGGCAATGATTTCTGTCGTGTCATGTCAAGATAACAAATGTGTCAAGAATGCTCTACCCAAACCCGACGTATTTAATAAACGTCTCGTGTTAAGTACAAGTCGTGTTAAATAGGTTATTAAACAAGTTAACTTGTCAATAACCTGTTTAACAAATTATCATAATCGCTATATTTGATATCTTATTATAATAAAATAAGAATGTTTTCTAAAGCGTTGCAATAAATTGACTTGAATTGATTGCATTCCTCTAGTTTATATTCTCCCATAAGTGTGGTAGCAACTAATATTTTTTAATTTTTTTTGTCAATAAGTGGTAGCATAGAAAGTTGAAACGGTAGACAAAGAAAGTTTATTATGTTTTTTTTTTCTTTTCAGAATCACTTGCATAATTGGGTATTGGGGTAAAAATTAAAAAGAAAGGATAACTTGCATGGCCCATACAAAAAATTACTTGCATAATTGAGTATTGGGCAATAAGTAAAAACAACAAAACCCACATCTCAATTTCACAAGGTCATCAAAAAACAAATAAAAAATCTTAATTTTGATAATTTAATCAAGTAATTGTTGTTTGAAATTTATTTTTTATTTTTATAAAAAAATAGTGATTACATGTTACCACTATGTATGTATAAAGATTGAGAAAAAGAAATTTTAAAATTTTAAAAAATTGGGAAAAATGAAGATGAAGAAGAAACAAAAAAAACAAGTTATGGGTATTACACGGGTTGACACAACCCATTTAATAAACGAGTTTCATAAGTATTTTAGTGGGTTGGTGGGTTGACTTGAAATCCACCCATGAGCATCTCCATCGGTGCCCCCCCAGTCCGAGCAACAAGGGGCCTAGCCCCAATTTGTAGTTCCAAAGGGCTTTTATAGCCCTGGCAGCTCATGGGTCCCAGCAAACCAGGCCAGCCCAAAGGTAAGAATAGCATGGGCTGTTGCCTATGTTTGCTGACATCAGCGATGACGTCAACAACCAAAAAAATTTTAAAAAATCTAAAAAAATATTAAGAATTTCAGAATTTTTTTTAATAAATACTTGGTCATATTCTTCATTCTCACACCAAAACTCTATACAAATTCTTCTCCTCATATTTTATGTGAATAGTGGTTGTCCTTGGGTTGTAATGACAATGGGTGGAAACACCACCAACTTTTGCAAGGGCTGCCACTATTCACTTTAATAGTAACATCTCTTGCCTTGCCCTTACCATTTGCTATGGCAAATGGTTGAAAGTGCTCTTAAAGGCAGCTGATCCCCTTAGAGCATAGCAAGGGGCCTTGGGGGAGGGCTGGGAGGGGGCAGCAAGCACAAAATGGTGTTTCCAGCAACAAAAATCTGCCAGGGCAAGGTGTGGGCCCCAGCGACCTGGGCTAGCCCTTGGGGAGGTTCGGCCCGAGGAGGAAAACTCGTTTTGGGCTGACGTCAGCGTTGCTGTTTAAATTTTTACGTTGGCGCGTGCGTTGCCATCTACAGTGACCGCCCAACGGGTCTATTCCACATGGCGCTCCCAGCAGCTGTCCGATCCACTTTATTCCAAATCCAACGTCAGCCATTTTTCGCGAATAAAAAAATGAAAAAAAAATCGAAACTCCCACCCAACGGCTCTCTTCCACTTGGCGATGATCTGGGTGCTCCGATTCATTTCTTCCAGCAATCCAACGGCAGCCAATATTCTCCCCAAAAAAAACATGAAAAAAATCGAAATTTTTTTTAAAAAATACTGATTTTTTTTCCTATAAATACCAACCAATACTCTTCACTTTTAACACCAACTCTTCATACATTTTCTTCTCCTTCTACCATTATTCACTTTTTAGTCAATATTTTTTTCAATTTGAAGTTGTATTTTTCTAGAAAAATTTATGGGTTCTTCTAGTGAAACCGGAGGGGCATGGAGCGTCATGGAAGATGTTAGCTTGTGTGAGTCTTGGCTCCACATTAGTCATTGTCCCGTAATGAGCAATGAGATGAAATTCTGTCATATGTGGAAAAAAATTCATCAGGATTTTTGTGAAAGAGTAATTGGTTCGACCCGTACAGATCAGGCACTATCTAGTAGGTGGAAAATTCTTAACAAAGAGTTGGCGAAATAGAGGGATGCCTTGGCAAAGGCGATGGACAACCATAGAAGCGGGGAAAACCTTACCAGTGAGGTAAATTATTTGTAATTTTTGTTTTATTAATTTCTATGTCATATTAAAGTTTATTTAAATATTTCTTGCAATTTATATATTTTGTTAATATTTCTTGTATTTCCAATATTAATATGAATGTTTCTTGCAATATTTAAATTTTGTTTTGCATTTCTAATAAATTGTTAAAGTTTCTTATATTTCCATTTTTATTATTTTTTTGCATTGCCAATAATTTTTAAAGTTTCTTGCATTTCCATTTTTTTTTTATAGACTATACAAGCACAAATGTTTTTTGGTGCTACTGGGCAAGGAAAAAAAAAGTTTCAACCATACCCATTGTTGGGAGGTAGTGAAGAATTGTAAGAAATTCCAAATTATTCCAACGGGTCCGACGGTACTCTTGAACGAGACGCCACTCCATGAGACACCGGCATCGGATTCACCTATGGATTCCCCGATGAGTCAAGACTCACCTATCGAAAAGGGGTCGAGGCCTATTGGGAGGAAGGCGGCGAAGGAGAAGAAAGGGAGTAATTCTACCAATAATGTATCTAAATTTTTGGAGGAACTTTCAAAGATGCAAGCCATGAGAATTGAAATGGACATGAAACAACAAGAGCACGATATGGCAATTGATGTAGAAAATGCAAAAGAAAGGGAGTATGTACGGCAAGAAAGGGAGTATGCACGCCAAGAAAGGGAGTATGCATGCCAAGAAAAGATTGAAAAAAAGGATCGGGCTACAATGACCATGGATACAACCCATATGTCCCCTGAAACAAAACACTATTGGAAGCTAGAACGAAGGGATGTTATGAGACGAAGACTTTTTCGTGACGATGGACCTAGCAACACGGATTGGTTAAATGATCAAAACAATTAAGTTAGTTTGCTTGCCTTTCATTTCATTGTACCATTAAATTAGTTTGCTTGCCTTTCATTTCATTGTAGTTTTTTTTTTTGTTTAAAAAATTAGTGGTAATTCATGTATTTTATTTTATGAGTTGTTTTGATTTTCTTGTAGTGAATGAAGAAAATATTCAACAAAATTCCTTTTTATTCAAAACATTCCATACATAAAAATCAAACCACAACAAAAGTATAAAAAATAAACAAACCACAACAAAAACATAAAAAAACAACAAAGCATAACTAAAAATACAACATAAACATAATGCACTAAAAAAACATGTTCACTTCACTTCATTGACCTTCATTGCCTTTCACCGCCCATAAATGCTCCATCAAGTCAACTTGACGGTGTTCATGAATATACGACGATTGCATCTCCGTATAGCGCTCAATCATACGATGCATGAAAGTACCGTCTCTAACCAACGGATCATGCTGCACTGGTTCTCTATTTGGCCCCATAGGTTTTTCATAAATTCGTGTTAAGGCCGTGTTCATTGGATCTGGTTCATACACTTCATCAACATCGTAATCATACTCATCTTCCACAATCATGTTGTGGACCAAGTCATCATTATACTTCTAAGCACCTCCTCGTCAAATAGACGCGCCGCGCCCCTGATAATAGCCCACCGAGCTTGAAGGATACCAAAGCACCTCTCCACATCTTTTCTGTACCCCTCTTGATAGGCAGCAAAAAAATTTTCCTTCTGTGATCGGGGATGTGGAATTGATTTCACAAATGTTGTCCACCTCGGGTAGATACCATCAGCTAGATAATACTCGTTCTGATAGACGGTATTATTGACTTGATATGTGATATTTGGGCCTTCACCTCTCAAAATGTCATTGAACACCGGGGCTTGACCCAGGACGTTCAAATCATTTTGAGAGCCGGCAACTCTAAAGAAGGCGTGCCAAACCCATGTATCAAAACCAGCAACTGCTTCGAGGATGATGCTTTTCTGCCCTTTCCGATTCCCATAATCCCCTTGCCAAGCAGCTAGACAATTTTTCCATTGCCAGTGCATGCAGTCAATGCTACCAATCATTCCAGGAAATCCATGAGACTCAGCTTTTTGTAGAAGCAGTTGCGGTCCCTGGGCGTAGGTCTGTGCAGGTAGTCCCTGGTGTACAGATTTTCCACTGCATCACAAAATCGCACCAAGCTCTCCAAAATAGTGGACTTTCCCATCCGGACAATCTCATCCACCTGATCAGCAGATGACCCATACGCCAACATTTGTATCACAGCTGTGAACTTTTGCTCGGGAAGCAGCCCCAAATCTCCAGCACAATTTTTGTTTTGAGCAAAGTAGTCATCCTAATTGCAAATATCATGCATGACTTTATTGAACAAATGGGGTTGCATTCTATATCTTGCTCGAAAATAAACATCAGAGTACAGAGATTGTGGGATAAAATAATATTCCATAAGATTCTTACCCCGAGAATGTCTATGTCTGTCCACATTCGATGCCCGGCCTTCTCGTGAACCACGGTGGCTCTGGTTTTCTTCCTCCAGCAAAGCAACAGCCACACCAAGTTGCTCATCTAGTTCTCTCTGCGCCTTTTTGCTTGCAGCTCTTCTACGCATTCTTGCTCGCCTTTCTCGCTCTTGCCTCTCCAAAACCTCTTCCATGTCTGACATTGAGAATGGAGAATGAAATCTAAAATATGATAAATGAAATCTAAAATATGAGAAATGAAGATGTAGAGAAGATATGGTGAGGGAGGTATGAGCTGAGCCTCTGGTTTTATAGAAAAATTTAGGCAGATAGAGATGACACGTAGCGCAATTTTAGAGGGTGAAAATCTTATCTGAAATTTGAAATTCAAATGAAATTTGAAATTTGAAATTTTTCTGGAATTTGAATTTCGAAATGTATATGAAATTTGACATTTTGAATTTATCTGAAATTTGAATTTTGAAATGTATCTGAAATTTGAAATTTATCTGAAATTGGAAACCGAAAATCTTATCCGATATGAATAGTATTGACACGTAGGAACCGAAAAATCTTATCCGAAAATATTATCTAAATTAATTGTTTAAGTAAACAAAGTTGTGAAAAAAATAAAAATATGAATAATATTTGTCATGGCAAACCTAAATTGCTGGAAACACACTTAGCTGGGGGGGCTAAAGCAGCCACTATTCACGTGAATAGTAGCTGCCCTAGAGCTCCCCTTGCCATGACAAGGGGCTAACTGGTGGAAATGCTCTTACAAGGGTCCCGAGTTTTTATTTTCATTTTTGTATTCTTATTTTCTGGTAACGTCATAATTCAAACCGTACAATAATTACAAACCCAAAAAGACCAAATAAACCTGGACGCGTGTAGAAGAGAATTTGTTTCTCAAGTCCGCGTGCAAGGATTGGGATTTGATGGCACACGAGATTTACACTCCAGGTACGCTGCAGTTTAAGATTTATGTCCCCTTTATTGTCCTACAAGACTGGGTCTTTGATAGCTGACATTTGACTTTGCTTTGAACTTGATTATCATATTTTACAGGAAAATAATGAATCTACGGTGCTAATGGCTTGAAATATGTTGCTTGTACAGATGTTATAGTTTTATGTCTCTTTCAATTTGATCCCCGTTTTAATTTCTCTTTCAATATATTTGTTAATTAATTTCTCCTTTCCATATTGATGTTGATGTTTTCAATATATTTGTTTGATCAACAGTGCTTACTTGACCTTTTTTTTCCTTTTGCTAATTTTTTTTTTTTTTTTTTTTTTTTTTTTTTTTTTTTTTTTTTTTTTTTGAAATTTTATATTATATCTTCAGTCAAAAAACAAAGGTTAGTCACAAACAAACTAAGCCACAAAGAGCCATTACAATAAGGCCATTTCCAGCAGCCCCCTCGGGCTCGGGGTGGGGAGAGAGCCCAAATGCAAGTTCCAGCAACAAAGGCTGGCCCGGGCAGTGTGGGGTCCACTTGCCTGGGCTGCCCGAGCAGCAGCCCGAAGGCAGCTGATGTCAGCGTGACGTCAGCAGGCGCGAATTTTATTTTTTTTTCTTTCAGCTGCCACGTGGCGCGACCTGGTCCTTCCGATTTCCGAATTTTCATCCAATTCAACGGCCTGGAATTTTTCAAGGCAAAAAATTATGAAAAAAATCTTAAAAAATTTTAAAAAAACCCCAAAAAATACTGAATTTTTTTTTATAAAATACCAATCCATACTCTTCATTTTTAACAACAAATTCACTTTCTACTAAATAATTTTTTCACTTTCAACTCTAAATTTTTCTCACTTTCAAGTTTAATTATTCACTTTCTACTCAATAATTTTTCACTTTCAACTCTAAATTTTTTTCACTTTCAAGTTTAATTATTCAATTTCTACTCAATAATTTTTTCACTTTCAACTCAAAAAATTTTTCACTTTCAAGTTTAATTATTCACTTTCTACTCAATAATTTTTTCACTTTCAACTCTAAATTTTTTCACTTTCAAGTTTAATTATTCACTTTCTACTCAATAATTTTTTCACTTTCAACTCTAAATTTTTTTCACTTTCAAGTTTAATTTTTCTCTATCAAAGAAACTATTAAATAAAATTCCTTTTTATTCAAAACATTCCATACATAAAAAAACTAACCACAACCAAAGCATTAAATATATAAAAACAAACAAACTACAACCAAAGCATAAAAAAACCAAACATAACTAAACATAAAACATAAACATTAAAATCTTTAAAATGTTCTTCACTTCACTTCATTCACCATCATTGCCTTTCACCGTCCATAAATGCTCCATTAAGTCAACTTGACGGCGTTCATGAATATATGAAGATTGCATCTCCGTATATCGATCAATCATACGGTTCATGAAAAGACCATCTCTAACCAACGGTTCATGCTCCACTGGTGCTCCATTTGGCCCTATTGGTTTTTCATAAATTCGGGTCAAGGCCGTGTTCATGGGATCGGGTTCGTACACCTCTTCAGCTTCGTAATCATACTCATCCTCCACAATCATGTTATGAAGGATGATGCATGTCATCATGATGCTCCTCAACACCTCCTCATCAAACATACGCGCCGCACCCCTAATGATCGCCCACCGAGCTTGGAGGATACCAAACACCTCTCCACATCCTTTCTGTAACCTTCTTGATATGTAGCAAATAATTTTTGCTTCTGGGTTCGGGGATGCGGAAGTGATTTCACGAACGTTGTCCACCTCGGGTAGATCCCGTCAGCTAGATAATACCCATTTTGGTAGACGGTATTATTGACTTCATATGTGATTTTTGGGGCTTCTCCTCTCAAAACTTCATTGAACACCGGGGATTGACCCAGGACGTTCAAGTCATTTTGAGATCCAGCAACTCCGAAAAAGGCGTGCCAGACCCATGTATCGAAACCTGCAACGGCTTCAAGGATGATGCTTTTTTGGCCTTTCCGATTTCCGTAATCACCCTGCCAAGCAGTTGGGCAATTCTTCCATTGCCAGTGCATGCAGTCGATGCTACCAATCATTCCTGGAAACCCTCTCCGTTCGGCTTTCTGCAGAAGTCGTTGCAGGTCCCTGGGCGTGGGTCGGCGCAGGTAGTCCCTGGTGTACAGAGTTTCGACTGCATCACAAAATCTAACCAAACTCTCCAAGGCAGTGGACTTCCCCATCCGGGTAATCTCATCCACCTGATCAGCAGATGCACCATACGCCAACATTCGTATAACAGCTGTGAACTTTTGTTCGGGAAGCAGTCCCAAAACACCAGCACAATTTCTCTTTTGAACAAAGTATTCATCATAATTGCAAATATCATGCATAATTTTATTGAACAAATGTTGTTGCATTCTATACCTCCCTCGAAAATGAACATCAGAGTACAGAGATGTTGGGATAAAATAATCTTCCATAAGATTCTTACCCCGAGAATGCCTATGTCTGTCAACATTTGGGCCACGGCCTTCATGTGAACCACGACTGCTCTGGTTTTCTTCATCAAGCATGGCCACAGCCATGACAAGTTGCTGATCTAGATCTCTCTGCGCTCTTTTGCTTGCAGCTCGTCTACGCCTTCTTTCTCTTATTTCTCGCTCTTGCTTGTCCAAGACCTCTTCCATGTCTGACATTGTGAATGGAAGATGAAATATGAAATCTAAAATATGAGAAATGAAATTTTTGAGAAGATGTAGTGTGAGAGGTTTGTGAGTTGAGCCTTTGTTTTATAGAAAAATTTAGGTCGATAGACATGACACGTGGCGCAAGTTGATAGGGTGAAAATCTTATCTGAAATTTGGAATTCAAATGAAATGTATCTGAAATGTGAAATTCAAATGAAAAGTTGAAATTCAAATGAAATTTATATGAAATTTGAAATTCAGATGACACATGGCGCAATTTTATAGGGTGAAAATCTTAGCCGAAATTTGAAACTCGGACGAAATTTATCTGAAATTGAAATTCAAATGAAATTTAAAACCAAATTTGAAATTCAGATGAAATTAATATGAAATTGAAAACTCGAAATTTATCTGAAATTTGAAAAAAAAATTTATCTGAAATTTGAAACCGAAAATCTTATCTGAAAATCTTATCCGAATATTTTATCAGAAAATCTCATTCGAATATATTGTCAAAATTAATTGTTTAGGTAAACAAATTTGTGAAAAAAACAAAAAATTGAATAGTACCCCCCCTTGCCCTGGCAACTGCTGGAAGTGCAACTTACTTTTTGCAAGGGCAGACACTATTCCCGTGAATAGTACCCCCCCTTGCCATGGCAACATTTTGACTGCTGGAAATGCCCTAACGGAGCGATCTAATATCAAAATTACACAGAGGACCCAAAGAGTCTCTGGGACTTATTCCAAACATAAAGAAACTGCAAAAATAATAGTGATGGAAATCCGACGCCGAAACGTAGGTGGAGATCCAAAGCCAAGACGCAGCTACCTACGATAGTTGGAGGAAAATCATAACAAAACAAAGACAAATAGGAAAAATTTTTTTTTTTTTTTTTTTTTCTTAAAATGAGGGAAGAAGAGAGGGAGGAAGAGAAGAGGGGAGAGGGAATATTTAAATAGTTTGATATTTTAACATCGTCAAAGTTTTAATAGCTATGGTATGAAACGCTATGACAGATTGCTACAATGTTTTTGTATTGCTATCAAAGGTTATTTTCTTACAGTATTTTAAGCCCACCCATATCTTTTTAAGAATGCAAGGGCCATTTGCTTGCACTTCTATCGCTTATCGTAAATAAATAAAAAGAAGGGTTAATTGCAATTTAATATCTTGTGATTACACCCTTAAGACATGTTAGTCCATATCTTTTCAATTTTTACAATAACATACCCTAGTATTTTAAATTTGTTACAATGTGGTTCCACCGTGTTTCCGTTAGATCTTTCTGTTAGTTGCCTACGTGGCACTATAGGTCCCACATATTTTTTCTTTTTTAATTTTAAATTGATTAAAATATGAATAAATTATTAAATAAATAATATATATATATATATATATATATATATATATATATATCTCTCTCTCCGATCTCTTTTTCCCCACCCCCTGTTACAACTATGAATAGCTCACCATTGTGGTTGAGTCCTTATATTGTATTTAGTTGGCTTAGTCTAAATTTCCGTAATTCAGTTAGTAAAAGGGTGCTGACGTCAGATTCACACCTTTTGGCTTTATGGGTTGTATTTAAACGATTTCCCTGGAGATGAATGCCAAGCAGAATCAGATATTTCTCACCATTTCTTACTTTGTTGCATTTCCATTCGCACATAAACCCTAGTCCCTAACACCCCCCGACCCCCTTGATTTCTTCTCAACCCCAACGACGCGGGACCGATTTTAAAACCTTAAGGGGTTTTGTGAAAACATGAAATATATCATAGGGTGTTAGTATAAATAACCCTTATTTCTAAATCTTTTTTTTGTTGCTATTTAATGAAACTTTTAATCGTTTTATTAATTCTATACTACTCTTATTAGTACTTTAAAGACTTATCTGACTGGTGCATGCTCTTCAATGGACAGGGGTGGTTTGACAAAATTGCCTTTAAGAGCATGGATACATGATCACATGTGACCTTTTGAACGAGAAATTTGACGAAATTTGACAATAAATATTAGGGGTGGACACTCAAACTGGCAAACCGGAAATCCAAGCCGAACCGCACCAAACCAAACCGGAAAAAAACCCAAGTTGACCAAAAAGTCAACAGCCGGTCAAAAACTGAACCGGATCGGTTTGGATTGGTTTTGGATTCAGTTCCATGTCTTCAAAAACCAGACCGGGCCGAACCGAACCGGTCAAATTAAAAATATATATAATTTCAATATATATTTATATTTAATGCTATATTTTTAATTTAACAAAAAAAAAAATTAATATTTATCCAAGTTCAATTTCAAAATATCTCTCTTTTCTAACTTTAATATTTATTTTTATATGAAATTTAATAATTTGTTAATTTTCAAGTAAAAAATAATAATATTTCAATTGAGAATTGTATTAAAAAATAATTTTTATAATTCGGTTCAAAACCGAACCGAATCGGAACCGGTTCAACCTAAATCAGACAATTTTTGAAATGTTTTTATTAAAACCGAATGAATAATACAGGATCGGTTCTAATTTGAGACAAAAACCGATCCAACCCGAACCGTATCCACCCCTAATAAATACAATATTATTGATGCGCAATCAGAACTAGGTGGTCGACTTAAATCGATTGAATGCGAGGAACCAAAATGAGCAGTTTGACAAACTTCAAGACTATTTGAAAAATAAATAAAAACACGATGAACTTCAATTGTAGTAAACAAAATTTTCTTTATTAAAATGAGTGGTGATGATGTTGGAAGGGAAAAGGTTACGTCATAAGGACCATTGTTGGCTTTTAATGATGCAGATAATGATGCAGATAATGGAGCAGCTGACTAGTTCAAAAAAAACATTTTAAGTGAAACAAATGGAATAAAGAATAGGACAAAACTGCCATTCATAAACGCGTGGAAGTTTCCACACAAACCCCATTTTTTCCAATTTCACTCGGAAACTCTCTCTCTCTCTTCATCATTTCTACTTTTGTACCCCCTCTATATAAAAACAGCTCCCCTACCAAACACAAAACATGGTATCATTAATCAAACACAGACATAGAAATTCAAATAAATACAATGGAGGAGCTGCCACCAGGTTATCGCTTCTACCCAACAGAAGAAGAACTGGTCTCCTTCTACCTCCTTAACAAACTCGAAGGGAAGCGAGACGATACTCGTCGAGTAATCCCAGTCGTAGACATTTACAGCAAAGAGCCATGGGACCTTCCAAGTACAATTCCATTAACCTTTCAGCATTGTTTTCTTTTTCTTTATTTTTTTCCCAGGTTCGGCCTAGCATAAATAGAGGCGGAGCCGGAGCAAGGCCTATTATAGTTTTTTTTTATTCATCGTGGGCATTGACAAAAGGTACACGTAGAGCTTATGTAATGGTTCACTCTGTTTTTCTGTTGCAGAGTTTTCAGGGGAGTTGTGTCATGGAGACACAGAGCAATGGTTTTTCTTCACACCAAGACAACAAAGAGAAGCCCAAGGAGGAAGGCCCAACAGGACCACAGCTTCTGGGTACTGGAAGGCCACGGGCTCTCCTGGGTATGTTTACTCCTCAGACAATAAGGTCATTGGAATGAAGAAAACCATGGTTTTCTATGAAGGCAAAGCTCCAACTGGACGGAAAACCAAATGGAAGATGAACGAGTACAGAGCCATTGAAGCAGATAACCCAACTACCACTACCACTACCACTAGTGTCCCCAAGGTATGTACTGTGCCACGTTTGGTGTTTAGGGTTGAATTGGATTGAAAAATTCGCAAGATTGATATGTTGAAGTCAGAAATGCGCGTGACGTTGAATTATTTTTCATTTTGACAGGATTAGAAGTGGATAAGTTTCTTTCATAACTAATTCATTTTCTACCTTTAACTCGGTCAAAATTTGAAAATTAGCCTCCATTTTTTCTGCACTTTACCTGCTTCAATCCCGACGTCACTTTGTAATATTATTTGTTTTCCTGTGTAGTACTTGAGGAATGAATTCAGATTGTGCCGGGTGTACGTGGTATCTGGGAGTTGTCGAGCATTTGACAGACGACCATTAGAAGGAGGTGGAGAGACGAAGCATCAATTGAGTGAGTCTATGGGTGGAACCAGCACCTTTTCTCTGAAGGCTCCAGTGGTGGAGAAAGCAAGCTCATCGGATGAAACTTATTCATATTCAGGAGAGCTTGCTGATCTCCCAGAGACGTCTGCAGGGATTAATAGTACTGATTGGGAGATTATTGAAGGTCTTGAACAACCTCTATGGGAATGGGAACAATTAAATTTGCTTTAATAAGCCTACAGCCATTTCTAAACCTGCAGCAGTGGATAGCTATCTAGTCAGTATCAATCCATTTGAGGAAGCAAGCATAGGCCTAATTTAATTAATTAATTTTTCTTCTAAACAAAAGATATTCGAAGGATTTAGATTCAAACGCACGTTCTTGAGTGTAGTAAAATTTCGAGGATAAAGAAAAATTCCTCTCTTCTTTAAATTTGCGAATTCTTTGTAACCACTCGTAGTCATAGTATATGTAAAATCAATAGTTATATTTAAATGTAAAAATTTAAATCTTGGAATAAAAAAGTTTGAAGGAGAAATTTGTCACCATGGCCCGTTGACTACATTTAATTTCCTGGATAGACTTCTATTCACATTACTTTTGAAGAATGCCACCTGTATTTTGTCCTTAATAAAAAAAGTTAGTAGAGTTCAAAAGCTTTTCTCCTTTGTAATCCGTGTATGGTTTAATGAAAAATCAGTTGACTAAGAAAAAAAGGACTCGGAAATATGCTTGTGGAAAAAAGAAAATAATTTAAATAAGTGAAAAAAAAAGGACTATGTTTGTGCCACCTCAAACAGGTGACAGCACTAAGTTGAAATTGTCAGTATCCTTGACGCATTCAACCAAACGAGAATCCTAGCGGAAAAATATTTAAAAATCAAAAGAGAAAAAGACAGGTGGTCAGAAGCTAACTAGCTTTATATTCAACCAACCAAGGGTTTCAGATTAAAAAAAACCCAACAAAAGGTTATGTTGTTCTTAGTACAAACACATATTGGGTGAGGTAAGAATACGTGTAGTCGTTGGGTCCAATACGTGAATTCCTACTCTGATATCATGAAGAAAGTTGAGGTTCTATCTCAAAACCAATTAGCAATGTGGAAAGTAACCTAACTCCTTATAAATTCAGACTAAATCCCTTAATTTTTCAATATAGGACAAACACTCTCAACACAAAGTAGTTGAAGATGCTCTAACGCGTGAAAAATTGAATCCACTTACTAGTTAGCATTGATATTGATGACTTTGATAAATTGATCTTTATAAGTGCATTCAATCGAAATTTTAGTAGATTTTAAACAAGTTTAAATGTTAATGGGGATTCAATCATGTAAACGAAACCAAGATCCCCAAACTAACTACCGATTGACAAGAGGGGGTATGGGCTAAATCACCATATTTGTTTTATCTTCTTCTCATTCAGATTGTCTTATCCTTTCACTTCTTGTTTGATTTATTTATTTTCATAAAAAATAACTGAAAGTCAGATTTGTATCAACCGCGTAATATTAGAACATGTGTCACACATGTTATAAACACGACAAAGTTATATATTTGCTTTCAAATTATATCATCTCTATTTCCTACTTCGTTTCCTTTTTGCTTGTTCCCTTTTGTCTTTAAAAGAAAAGAACAAAATGGTTATGATGAAAAATCTTGAAATTCTTTTCATATTTGTTGTTACGTAGAACCTTTATGGTGCTCTTCACCCAACAAAAAGGGTCATAAGTTTATTAGACCTTTTACCCAAAAAATAAAATAAAATAAAATAAAAATATTTATTGAACAGTTTTATGTCAACTTCCATCCAAAAAAAAAAAAAAAAAAAAAAAAAAAAAAAAAAAAATAAATAAAAAAATTTTAGAAATTTTGAAATTTTTGAATGGAATTTGTCATCATTTTGAGATTTACAAATAATTAGAACTAGTGGAAAGTAAGACTGGGATTTTCATCCGACAAACTGAATAACCGACCGACTTGACCCAATTTCTTTACCCGAAAAACCAATGTATTTAATCCTTTCTATTTAAGAGTTTAGTGGTATTCAATTGTGATTTTTAAAAAGTATTTAAAAGTATTTAAAAATTTTGTGGTATCGAGTTGTGACTTTTAAAAATTCTTTAAATGTTTGGTGGCATCCAAAAATTCATTAAAAAATAGTTAAAAGTATTTAAAAATTTGGTGGTATTGAGTTGTGACTTTTAAAAAGTCTTTATATGTTCGGTAGCATCCAAAAATTTAATGACTTTTAAAATGCTTATTAAATGAATTACTTTTGCATACTTTTAAGGCTAATTGTTAATAGCAAAAGTCCTGCTAATTTACTAATGACTTTTATCAAATCCATCAAAGTGTTTAAGAATTTATCAACTCTATAAAAGTTACTCACTTAAAAAAAAAAATCTTTATAAATATGAATTCGATACAAACCCCTAAGTCACTAAAAATTCTATAAGTCTTTTAAACTTTATGTTGAAATCAACCAAACTCCAATAAAGTCTCCACCAAAGTCTATAAGGAGTTGATAGAAGTACATCAAAATCCACAAATTCAAGAAGAGTCTATCACTCCCTTAAAAACCATTAAAATATTAATTGAATACAGTTCAGAAAAAATTGTATATGCCTTTTAGAGTATGGATAGAAGTTGTTAGCATGACGAATCTCTAATTGAAAAGTGATGAATCTCAACAATTAGAGTGTTTGACTCTATATTAATGTGCTAGTGCGTGAGTGGTGGTTGTGAGAGGTGGAGGTGGTTGGGTCTTCAAGGGGGGTTGAGTTTGCTACGTTTCTTCTTCTGCTTTATAAAGATTTTTTTTTAAGTGAGTGACTTTCATAGAGTTGACAAATTCTTAAATGCTTTTCTAAAGTTGATAAAAGTCTCTCGTAAATTGGCAAGATTTTTGTTATTAACAGTTAGCCTGAAAAGATGGAAAAATCATTCATTTAATAAGCATTTTAAAAGTCATTAACTTTTTTGATACCACCAAACTTTTAAAGACTTATAACTACTTTTTAAAAGCCACAATTGAATATCACTAGACTTTTATAAACTATTTAAAAATTGAAATTGAATACCTCTAGAATTTTAAACTCTATAAAAGTCATTAAAAGTTTGAATTGGATTGAGTGCTGCTAAACGAACCCTAAAATTAATTGAGTATACACCCTACTACCAAACTATTTATTGAATTACTAATTTACCATAATATAAAATGATCATAAATGATATATTGAATTATGAAACAAATATAATTTTAATAAACACACTCTACTCACAATATTCAACCCTAATCAAACGTAGAGAAGTTTTTGTGGGTTAAGCAGCAAGTTCAGCAACGATGAGGTATATTTTGTTAAAATGTTTTGTTAATTAGCTTCAGTACTTAATTACTTTAAGTATCTAACGTTGATGTTTTATTGACCGACTAGCTGTAAACGAAAGAGAACCAAGTTTGATAATTTTACCGAACATGAAAGTCTTCTACCATCACCCAAGTTGAGGAGAACCATGCAATTCTTGGAGCTGAATGCCCCATCGTTGTTAAGTCTATGATACGTTCAAATGTTTCCTCTTGGTTTTGTCCAGTAGTAACGCTAGGAAATCTACGATGGAGAAAATGGGAGATGGGATATTCACTTAGACATTATAGATTAGCTATGGACTTCTCAAGATGGTGTACTCAGTTCAATAATAAAAAAATGGAACGTATGTGATATTTGGCCAAATACTCCATCGTTGTTAAGTCTATGATACATTCAAATGTTTCCTCTTGGTTTTTTCCTCTATATTTTGTTAAAATAGTTTTACAATAATCAAGCTTTGAATTGAAGGAGCTAGCAAATCTACTTCCACAATAGTTTATTATACTAAATTAAAGATTTTGATGCAAAGAGGGCACGAATTCATGTAAAAAGAGAAACCTGGTTTAAGATTGGTATTAAGCTGTTGTGTGATAGAGTGTATTAGGATGTACCGGGGGTATTTTTGATATTAAAATAGGGTGTACTTAGTTAATTTTACATTTTGATTAAAATATTATGGTGTACTTAAATTATAGGGAGTACTCAGTTAATTTTTGGGTTCCTTTAGCAGCACTCTAATTTTTTCTTAAGGGAGAGGAGGGATCATTTGGTTTTATGGTGTAAATGAAAATTGTAGAGGTAACTAGGACATTTTATAAGTGTATATTGAACACCTAAATGATTATAGTCATTTTAGATATTGAACACTTGAGTAGGTTTCACAAGCCCATTAATTGTGTGTTTACTAATCAGGAATTGGAATTCTCATCAAGAATTGAATTCTACCTATGGAGGATTCATGCATTTACTTCACATCAAAGAATAAAAAAGTAAGTGGGGTCCGCACAAAATTAGGAATTGAATTCCTGATTTTGGAGGAATTCAATTCTTTGGTGGGAGGTGATATTCTAATTCCTCGAGGACTAACCCATTAGGAATTCATATTTTTTACCCATTATATCCTCACACAAATTTTAAATTTTCAAAGTTGCCAACTACTTTAACCCAACAACGAGGATATTTTAGTAATTAGTACCACTCCTACCCCAATTCCATATGATTTAGTAAACAACTTCAATAGGAATTCGGAATCTAACTCCCCTCAATCCATATAGTTTAGTAAACAACTTCAATATGAATCCGGAATCTAAGGGCTTGTTTGGTATTCAACTTGAATCCAACTTTTTAAACTCAAAAATAGAATTTGAGTCCAAAACAAAGAAAACCTGTTTGGTAGCCCTATTTTTAAAAACTCAAACTCAAGAACAACTAAAAAAAACACTCCAAAGATTAAAAACAAATTTTTTTTTTTTTTCTAACAACCCACAAGTTCTCAAATTTTAAGATTTGAAAACAGTTTTCAAGTTGCATACCAAACAAGTTTTTGAATCTTAAAAATAAATTTAAGAACTCCTTGTTTTTAAGAAAAATCAAAGTTTTTGAGTTCCCTATTTGAATAAGATACCAAACGCCCCATAATTCTCCTAATCCAACTCCTCCTCAATTCAATTCCTCATAATCCAACTCCTCCTCAGTTCTATGAGCATTCAGAAATGCACTTGCTCAAAGTATTATCACCACACGTGTGGTTACGTTTTTGTTATAGTGTGTTTTTGGGTGATGGCAGTTTCTCCACTCAACTTTGGCCATGGTGGTATTGTCCATGCCTTCACGGCGACGTCTTTGTGGATTTTGTGCTT